ACAATTAACGGACACTAACGGAATAACATTAAACAGGGCGGTCACAAATAATTTAACTTTTAATAGTATTGGTAGAATGACAGCAGAGTCAGATTTAGATGTATGGGGTGAGTTGTTTTTTCAACATTCCTCATCAATAAAGGAAACATTAAACGGAAGTGATTACGACTTGGATATTAGAAATGGAGACACAGACAGAGCAATTAATTTTATTATTGGAACAATAGGAAGCACACCCGAAATTCAATTAACAGAAGGAAAAGTTACTTTATTAGGTAATTTAGAAATAACACATACCGACGTTGCAGGTTCGCAACGAGTTTTAATTAATAACCCAGACACAGACGGATTTATTAGATTAAGTAATAATAATTTATCGCGATTAGACGCAACAAATAACGGTGTTGATATTTACGGTGACCTTTCATATACAGGTTCATTAATTCCTTCGTCGGATAAAAGACTAAAGAAAGACATAAAAGAACTAAATAGCAAAAAAGCAGTAGAATTAGTAAAATATATTAAACCAAAAACGTATCATTTTATTGATGACAGACTACAAGGTAAATCGTGTTGTGGATTTATTGCTAATGATTTTATGGAATACAAGAAGATGCCGGACGAATGGCAAAATTTAGTAAAAGAAGGAAAAGATGGTTATCTGAAGTTTGACTATACCATCACTACACCTATTTTATGGAGTGCTTTACAAAATGCTTTAAATAGAATAGATAAGTTAGAAAAAGAAGTAAATAAATTGAAAGGTAAAGGCAAGGGAAAAAGCGATAGTGATTGATAATATTAAAATATCATAATATTATTAATCAATAATTAGTTTAGCGTCAAAACGCTTATAAAACATATCATTAACATCTGCTTTCATTAAGTTAATGAACAAAAAACTATATGGTTCTTCTGTTGCTAAATTATACACTTCTAATAATAATTTCTTTGCTTCTGCAAGATTTTTAGTATCTGCTACAGAAGATTTTTTAATCAATACGGCGCTTAATTCTTCAACCATTGTTTCTATTTCTTTGTAATTCCTTAATCTAAAGAAGAACAACTGACGGCTATTAACGCGAATAATTGGAGACAATGCATTAAATTTTTGTGTAGATGTAATAATATTAATTGCATTATGTCGCCCCCTTACGTATAATTGATTTAATAAAGGCGAGTTTCTCGAGAATGCTTTTGAATCCGCAAAATCATCAACAATAATTAATATCGAATGTAATTTATTATGGTTATTCTTTTTTTGATATTCTATAATTTTATGTTGTCTGTTTATGACTTCTTCTAATTCAGAGGGGTTATATTCGTCAAAGAAAACCTTTTCCTTTTCTAAATCTACCTTGAGTTCGTTTTGAATATATCTTTTAACAGGGAGCCAATTAGCATCAACGCTAATTGAAGGGCTCCACACATATATTCTCGCAAAGACGTCCTTATAAATGTCTAATATCATTGACTGTAATAAAATACCTTTTCCGCTTCCAGAAGGCCCAGTTATTATTTGACTAAAAGGTAATCTCGGAGCTACTTCATATTTGGACTGTTTGAACTCGTATTCTTTGACATTGACAGGCTTAACTATTGGAATGTTTGACATTATTATTAATACATAGAATATTTTATAAATTATTATATATGCGCGATTATGAAAGCTATATAGAGACTATAAATGAAATAGAGAAATTGGATGAAATAATAAAAACACCAAGATATAGAATGTGTTGTCGTAGTTTGTTAGAGTTCTTGAAAGCAGCTTGTTATTATCTTAAGAATATGAAAAAATCTAAATAATATTAATGGAAGAGAAGAACGGAGGATTTCACATAGATAAAAGCAGTGTTGATTGTAATTTTTGCAAGTGTGGTAAAAAAGCACTTTTTAAACAAACTAAAACAACAACAGACAAAGAGGGTAATGTCGTAGTTAATCAGGTTGAGAATCGGAGTAGTTGGAAAGTTGGCAGGAATACGACGCCCGACGGAAACGCTATATTCAAAACAAACATGAAAGATAATGAAGATGTTGATACAGTAGATACAGGGTTCAGGTCAAGAAAACCAACACCCGAAGAAAGGATAGAAACATTGGAAAAAGAAGTAGAAGAACTAAAAAAGAATTTCAGATTAAATAGCATGGATTAACATTAAAGGTTTGTTTTTATTAACATGTGACAGTTGCCCCCAAGCACAGAGCCCCGTTGTTTCACGTTGGATTGACGCATGAAAGGGAAGTAGTGCGTTTTATTCAATAGCAACTCATAAGAAGTTGCTTAATTCGTTTTCCCCCTATACATATAATAATAATAAATTGTTATTATTATTAATATGGCTAATATAGTAGAATTTAAATTAACAAATGAACCAAACGAAGGTTATAATCAAGACATCGGATTTTGTAAATATTGCCGTTGTTATGTTCCCAAATCTTATTTTATTGGTTGTTACGGTAAAGTATGCAAAACGTGCGTTAAATGTCGGGAAAAACATTTAACATATATTTTATATGGGAAAACTTCTAAACATTTACCAGAACAAAATGAGTATTCTAAAAGTAGCTGAAAAATGCGATTATTATGTTACGGGTATTGATTTAGATTGTTGGACGAGTTTAGGATGGGAACAAAGATTATTGAAATATGAACCCGAAACATTTAAGTTTATTTGGGCACAGGTTGATTTAAGAAAACCAGAGAATGAAACACAGATTAAGAAAATAATTGAACACTTGAAACCGAAAGGGTGGTGCATTCAACACGTAAAAGAACCTTTGAGTGATGCCGATATTGAGGAAATTATACGATAACTTCATATGAAGTTAAGTTAATATAAATTGATAAATTTATATTACACGTATTTAAAGGGTAGAATACGTAATAACGTATATGACCGAGGGTAAGGTGAGCACGGATGAGATTTATAACGCTATTGTAGAAAATCACAATATGACTCAATTGAAGATTAACGAGATTTTAGGACTTGTTAAACAGTTAGTTAAGGATAAGGATAAGAAACCAATCACTTATGAAAAGAGCACAACAACAACACCAGTTGATAAAAGCGAGAAAAGCGATTGGAGCAAGAAAAGGAAAACTTACATGGAAAGACTGAATAAGTCCGAAATCAAAGTCCCAAAGGAACAAACTTTAGAATACTATCAAATCAAATTTGACAAAGAAAACGAAAAATATGTTCTTGATGATAAAACCACTTAAACAATAGAAAACATTAAAAAACAATATGGAGACATCCACACCAAAGAGGTATGAAAATGGAAAAATCTACATAATCCGAAACACAATAAACAAACAAACGTATATCGGAAGCACATGTCAAAGTTTAAGTCAAAGAATGGCACAGCACAGGAAGGATATGCAAACAAAACAAGCAAAGATTTACAAAGCGATGAACGAACTCGGAAGAGACAAGTTTTATATTGAACTGTTGGAGAACTGTCCATGCGAAACGATTAGCGAACTAAGACGAAGAGAAGGCGAATTAACACGTGAGTATCAATCTGAATTAAATTCAAAGATTAGCGGAAGAACTACCGAAGAATACGTAGAGGAGAACAAAGACAAAATCAGCAAACGGAAGAAGCAATGGAAGAAAAACAACGAAGAGAGATTAAAGGAACAAGATAAAGATTATTATGAAAGAAATAAAGAAAGGATTTTAAAACGACAACAGACATATCATGAAAACAACAAGGACGTTAAACAAGCATATTATAGTAGAAACAAAGACAGTATTCTTCAATATAAGAAAGCCTATTATATGGAACACAAAGATAAAATTAACGAGAAGCGTAGAGAACAGGCAAGGCAGAAAAAGCAGGAAGCACCCGCTAAAAGCGAGGAATGAGATGTGATTTAATATTATTTGATAATATTAAAACTCATCAGGGGTAAATGTGATATGAAAAATTATTTAATTTGTAAATGGCTATTGTTTCTTCAAGATTGTCAAGTGCGGTTTTAAATACAAACCAATTATCTTTATCTTCGTTTTCAACGGGTATATATGTCCTTAAATACCATTCGGTGTAATGTGAAACTCCGTTCAATATATCTTTTATTACCTTGCCCCGTATATCTTTGCAAACTTCATCATTTACAACATATTTAAATATTACTTTACACAGGTGGTCTCTATACAGTTCGGGGTTATCAATTGTAAATATACATTCGCCTAATGAGAATTTGGGATGAACATGTATAGGTTTAGGATTTTTTATTTTAGCAGAAGGAGTTATTAAAGGTTCTGTGTTTGTTTGGCGGGTTGATGTTGAACTTCCCATGATTAACGGTTTAACATAACATACCTTTAAACGTGTATTTACCATGGTTTGGATCACAGAGTGTATTTATCGTGGTTTGGATCACGGCGTGTATTTATCATGGTTTGGATGGCGAAATAACGTAACACAAAACGGCTTAAAGGGATGAGACCTTAGTATATTAGTGATGAATTACTCTGATTTTAAAACTTATACCAGAACTCAGGCTAAGTATATTAGAAAAATATTTCAAATAAGGACAGTCCAAGACGAATACAAAGGTAAAATATGTGAGCTTACTGAATTAAAACAAACCTACAAAAATGAATTTGATGAAGATGATTTTAAGAATATTGAGGAGGATATACAAAAGCTAAACAGCGATATAAATAATGCCGAAAAGTCTATCAACAAATGGGCTGAAATGATTGAACATATTGAAATTCTTTGTAATTCATATGGTGGTTCAGGGAAAACCGAGTATTTAAAACAAAAACCAGAAGGAGCTAACGAATGGAAAAAAATGACGGTGAAAGACTTTGAAAACAGATATGGTTGTAATCTTGAAAATTTAGGAGAAACAGATGAGTCTGAAAGGGAAAGCACCACAAGCACCAAAAGAAAACAGAAGAAGGGAAGATAATGGGAAGACAAATATAATTCATAAAATGTAGTTTAATATTATAATAATATAATATTAAATTTCATTAGAGGGACACGCTCGTTAGAGCCTTGTTTTGCAAAAACAACCTTGCCCCAGTATTAGGCTTATTGTTATTCTTGGGTTTTACGGGTTAGGGGTTTGGGTTGAGGAATAACGGGGATTTATGGGGGAAGGTGTTTTTTCTTGGGTTTAGGCTTGGGATTTTGGGGATATGGTTTTACGGGGGGTTTTGGGCTTGGGGTTTTTGGCTTGGGATTTTGGGCTGAGGAATAACGGGGATTTGGGAACATGGTTTTACGGATTGATATTTGGCTTATGGGTATAACGGGGTTTTGGGAATATGGTTTCGGGATTTTTTGGCTTGGGATTTAGCATATGGGTATAACGGGGTTTTGGGGATATGGGTTTCGGGATTTTTTGGGCTAAGATTTGGGCGCCGAGTTGGCCAAATGGTTCCATAAATTTTTGGGGCAAGGTGTCGGCTTACTCACCCCCCCCCCCCCCCCCCCCCCCACCCCCCAACCCCCCCCCACCCCCACCCCCCCACCCCCCCCCCCCCCCCCAACCCCCCCCCCACCCCCCCCCCACTCCACCCCCCCCCCACCCCACCCCCCCCCACTCTTGTCTTCTCTTCCCCACCCCCACCTCTTCTCTCCACACCCCCCCCACTCTTCTCTTCCCCGCCCCCCCCCCCCCCCCCCCCACCCCCGTAAGATGGACACTTAAAGGCTATGCTGCACGTGCGTGCCTTGTAAACAAATAATTACTTTACAAAGGAAACGCCCGCAATAGACGCAACGCACCCGCAGAATAGACGCAAGCACCCTGTCAGCGCACTGTGTCCTGGGCGGGGGCGCGGAGGGCGCGGAGGGCGCGGAGGGCGCGGAGGGGAGGGCGCGGAGGGCGCGGGGGTGCGCGCAGGGCGCACGGAAGGCGCACGGAGGGCGCGGAGGCCGCAGAGGGCGCGCGGAGAGCGCACGGAGGGCGCGGGAGGGCGCGGAGGCCGCAGAAAGCGCGGAGGGCTGCACGATGGGCGCACAGGAGGGCGGCGGAGAGCGCGCGAGGCGCCGCGGGGCGGGGGGTCGCGCGGAGGGCGCGCGGAGCGGGGGCGCGCTCCGCAGAGGCGTGCGGAGGGCGCGCGGAGGGTGTGCGGAGGGCGTGCGGAGGGCGTGCGGAGGGCGTGCGGAGGGGAGGTGCGCGGAGGGGCCGTGGGTGCGCGGAGGGCCGCACAGAGGGGGCGCACGGAGGGCGCGGAGGCCGCAGAAAGTGCGGAGGGTGCGTGGCGCGCGGAGACCACGCAGAGGGCGCGCGGAGGGCGTGCGGAGGGCGCGCCGGGGGTTCGCACGGCGCACGCCCCACGGCCCCCCCAACCTTACCCACCACCCCCCCACCCTCCCCCCCCCACCACCCGGCCACCCCCCCCCCGCCCAAACCACCCCACGCACAAATGAAAACCTTGACCAAACACACCCAACCCAACCCCACCCCCTCCCTCTTTCTGTCCACAACCCCCCCCAACCGGGGGGGGGGGGGGTGGGGGGAGGGCGGGGGGGGTGGGGGGGGAGGGGCAGGGGGGATTATGGATCACATGGCTTGGGACCTGTGCGGCCGGCAAGGTCTAAGGTTTTTAGAGTGTGTGTGTGTGTGTGTGTGTGTGTGTGTGTGTGTGTGTGTGTGTGTGTGTGTGTGTGTGTGTGTGTGTGTGTGTGTGTGTGTGTGTGTGTGTGTGTGTGTGTGTGTGTGTGTGGTGTGTGTGTGTGTCGTGTGTGTGTGTGTGTGTGTGTGTGTGTGTGTGTGTGTGTGTGTGTGTGTGTGTGTGTGTGTGTGTGTGTGTGTGTGTGTGTGTGTGTGTGTGTGTGTGTGTGTGTGTGTGTGTGGTGTGTGTGTGTGTGTGTGTGTGTGTGTGTGTGTGTGTGTGTGTGTGTGTGTGTGTGTGTGTGTGTGTGTGTGTGTGTGTGTGTGTGTGTGTGTGTGTGTGTGTGTGTGTGTGTGTGTGTGTGTGTGTGTGTGTGTGTGTGTGTGTGTGTGTGTGTGTGTGTGTGTGTGTGTGTGTGTGTGTGTGTGTGTGTGTGTGTGTGTGTGTGTGTGTTGTGTGTGTGTGTGTGTGTGTGTGTGTGTGTGTGTGTGTGTGTGTGTGTGTGTGTGTGTGTGTGTGTGGTGTGTGTGTGTGTGTGTGTGTGTGTGTGTGTGTGTGTGTGTGTGTGTGTGTGTGTGTGTGTGTGTGTGTGTGTGTGTGTGTGTGTGTGTGTGTGTGTGTGTGTGTGTGTGTGTGTGTGTGTGTGGTGTGTGTGTGTGTGTGTGTGTGTGTGTGTGTGTGTGTGTGTGTGTGTGTGTGTGTGTGTGTGTGTGTGTGTGTGTGTGTGTGTGTGTGTGTGTGTGTGTGTGTGTGTGTGTGTGTGTGTGTGTGTGTGTGTGTGTTGTGTGTGTGTGTGTGTGTGTGTGTGTGTGTGTGTGTGTGTGTGTGTGTGTGTGTGTGGTGTGTGTGTGTGTGTGTGTGTGTGTGTGTGTGTGTGTGTGTGTGTGTGTGTGTGTGTGTGTGTGTGTGTGTGTGTGTGTGTGTGTGTGGTGTGTGTGTGTGTGTGTGTGTGTGTGTGTGTGTGTGTGTGTGTGTGTGTGTGTGTGTGTGTGTGTGTGTGTGTGTGTGTGTGTGTGTGTGTGTGTGTGTGTTGTGTTGTGTGTGTGTGTGTGTGTGTGTGTGTGTGTGTGTGTGTGTTGTTGTGTGTGGTGTGTGTGTGTGTGTGTGTGTGTGTGTGTGTGTGTGTGTGTGTGTGTGTGTGTGTGTGTGTGTGTGTGTGTGTGTGTGTGTGTGTGTGTGTGTGTGTGTGTGTGTGTGTGTGTGTGTGTGTGTGTGTGTGTGTGTGTGTGTGTGTGACTGACTCAAGCACTCGAACGTGTCCTCGAAAACGCACTTTTTTAGTGTAGAAAAGTGCGTTTCCGATATGTTTTTTTTGGGGTAAGGTCAGCGAAGAAAGCAAGCGAGCCCATTTTCGAAAATGCACTTTTTTCATGTGGAAAAGTGCGGTTTCGGGTATGATGTTAAAGTTTGTGTGTGCGTGTGTGTGGCTGAAGCACTCGAACGTGTCTTCGAAAACGCACTTTTTTGGGTGTAGAAAAGTGCGTTTCCGATATGTTCTTTTTTTGTCAGGTCAGCGAGGAAAGCAAACAAGTCCATCCCCGACCCATCTTCCATCTGTTTTTCACTCACACACAATGGCGGAGAGAAAGGTTGGGAAGGGGGGGGGCGGGTGGTGTGGGGAGAGAAGAGTGGGGGGGGGGGGGGGGGGGGGGGGGGGGGGGGGTGGGGGGGGGTGGCCACAGAACAGGCCTGGCCTCGGGTCGAAGTGGTGGTGGTAGTAGAGCTTCCAGTAGTGCTCCACGTGCCCCTGCTCGGCTTCGAGGCTCTTAGGGTTTAGGGTTTAGGGTTTAGGGTTTAGGGTTTAGGGTTTAGGGTTTAGGGAGGTTCTGGCTGGGTGAGACGCAAGGGAGGCCTTGAACCCTATACACATGGGCCATGGGGGTTTACGAAAGTAAGGGACCCCAGATATACACCCCCAAATAGTAGGACTCCCTAAAGAAGAGGACCCCAATAAGGTACCCCTAAACTTCGGGAACCCCCACATGCGAAGACCCGTTGTGTGAACGTAATTGCAAGACTGGAAGCCCTCACCAGCCAGCTATGGAAGACCTATTCTGGGCATCACTGTCCAGGCATAAGGTTATGCATTTCGGCCCCAGTCCGTGAAACCTGGGATTGGGGTCTTCCGCGGGCGGTCGACTCTAGGAGGGTCGGGTTTGGGGCTTCCTGTGGAGGCGCGTCCCAGAAATTGACGCTTTGCGCCCACCACTTTGGTCTGGCTCGTTCATTTCGTCCGAACACTGCACCCATTAACATTCAGGATTCAGGATAGTACCCCGCTTCGACCATAGCCACAGCAATCTTCCTGGAGAATTCCGTGAGACCCCTGAGATTGAGTGCCTACCCCAGCAATCCCCAGGAGTACAGTGCGCAAACGTGCGTTTCATTTTGAGAACCTGCACATTGCCAGAGTTCTGTGTTGTCTCTACATCACAGAAATGACGAAATCCTAAACCCTAAACCCTGAACCCTAAACCCCTGCTCAACGAGGGTTTCGAGATATTTCAACCCACCTCGGGGATGCCCCGCCGTTCCGGATCATCGACGTCGGCGAGGAAGGCGTGGCAAAGACTCAGCTCAGGGGCTCGGCAATTCAGGCTTATTAAGGGGTATTATAAGGGGTCTTCCGGGGTATTCAGGGGGTATAAAGGGGTTTTAAGGGGTATTGAGGGGTATTAAGGGGTATTAAGTAGTAGGGGGTATGAAGGGGCATTAAGGGGTATTGAGAGGTATAAGGGGCATTAAGGGGTGCAGGGGCATTAAGGCGTATAATGGGGGACCCTGGAAGGGACCCTTAATCTTGTTCCCCTTTAAATGACCCCTACTTGAAGGGTCCCTCCTTTAGTCCGTTGAAGCAACAATCATTTATAAAAGCCGTTATAGTGACTTTAGTGTGGAAAACCAGCCACGCGCCCCTAATTATGCTTACCGTGATCCCGAAAATCCGAGAATCTAGATCCCTGTGGTCATCCGCGCAGACCCCTGTAGTAGTACCATGTGGTGCCCATATTCACCCCTCACTCTATATAAGCTACCCCAATTCTCATTTATATTCGGCAGTACCTGTATGAGGGCGGTGCAGGTGCAGCTCATAACGCCAGGAGAGCACGATCCAGTCCTGCGTAATGGTTATTCCGGGTGGTTTGGGTATTAGGTGGTTACGGGGTTTCGGGGGTGGCTTTGTTTTGTTAGCCTCTTTTGGTGATGAGGTGAATCCTGAACCCTAAGATGTGTCTCGTCTTCAGATGGATGTCAGATTCTCACCCCTCGAGGTGGCTGTGAGACTGGAGCTTTGACGAGGGAAGTACAAAACCAGAGAAGGTCATGTCGGGCGGCCTAAGTGGGAAATTGGACCCCCCTTTTTGGATCTTCTAGGTATTGTTTAGGGTTGAAGGGCTCATGATTCAGCAGTCTGTTGAAGAGTAGGCCCGCTTTTTGTAGCCCGCAGGACATGTATTGGAGTGATTGACAACCAATCGCATTCTGAATCTGCCACTGGTTCCATTGTTATTCCTTCACACATGCTTGCATGCTAGCGCGGTAAGCCTTCTGCAGGCATTCCTCGTACTTGAAATTGGCGTAGATGGGCGTGCCCTTGCCGTCGCCATCGTGCAGATCCTGCGGTCACGAACCCCGCAAGCACCCAAGCACGGTCTCACATGTGTTCCTATGACCTGGCAACCCAACAGCCAGCAAGCAAAAAAGTGATCAAGGACCTTCCCCCCCTCCCCCTCCCCTAAACCCTAATGCTGAAACCTTACACCGTAAACCCTAAACCTGCAACCCTAAACGGAACCCTAACCCCACCCCCCAACCACACCACAGAGGGGGGGACCCTAAACCTAAACCTTAAACCCTAAACCCTGAACCCTATCAAACCTTAAACCCTAAACCCTAGCCCCAACCCGCCAAACCGCCACGGAGAAGGCAGGGACCACACCTCGGGGAGGGGGGGTACCATTGTCGGTGGGTGGGGGGCGGGCGTGTCAGTAGTTCCCCCTCCTATGGTATCCCCCCACCCCACCCCCCCAACCCCACCTAAACCCACAACCCTCACAGAAAGCCTAAACCCCTTACCCTAATTAGCCCTAAACCCAAAAGCCCGAAAACCCCAAACCCAAAACCTGCAACCCTAAACAGGCGTATCAAACCCTTGAAACCTTTCAAAACCCTACGCAAAAACCGCAAAACCTTGAAACCTTAAACCCTAAAGCCCTAAAACCTAAAACCCCTAAACCCAAGCCCTCAACCCTAAAACCCTACATCCTCCCAGCCCAACCACAGGGGGGAGGGGGGAACCATACAGGGTTATAAATAGGGGGTATGTTTATTCCCAATAAGGACTGTTAGGAACATCCCAATGCACATGCTATGAGGGCACAGAGGAACAGCAGCTTCGAAACTGGCAAAGTCTCCGCCAACCTTCGCATCCCCGAGATTGATCTCTGCTGCCTAAGAATGCCAGCAACTCTCCAACAAGGAGCTTCAAAGCCTACTTGGAGGTTCATGGTACTTATGAACCTACTTATAAGTGGGTTCGAAGTACAGCTATAATTGGCTCATAAATACCATGAACCTCCAAGTATGTAGGCCTAGGCGCGACTAAAAACATGACACCGGCAAGTTGCACCGCACAGCGGAATCCCCCCTGAACCCTAAACCCTAAACCCTAAATCCTAAACCCCCCCTGCAGTGGTTGTAGCTGAGACCGCGGCCAAGCCACTCAACGCAGGGTCCTTCTCGGCCTTCTTGCTGAAGGTAATCTGCCTCAGAGCCCCAGAAGTCCCAAGAAACCCCAAAACTATTTAGCATCAACGCCTCCCCCAACAAGTTAAAAGCAACAAAAAAAAGAGAGCAAACTCCCCAAAAACCAGATGCTTGGTAAGATGGAAAACCCTCGGGCGTTGCCCTGCACCGAGGCCCCGCACCCCTGCTTCAGGGCTTTCTTCAGCTCCTTCCAAGCCTGGAGAAGTTTAGGGGTTCGGGGTTCAGGGTCCAGGGATTTGGCGTCTCCAAACATGTCAAAATCGCTGAGGTTCTCAAACCCTGAACCCTGATATCCTGCAGCTCTGAGGCATAAAATCCCATCCCAGCGAAAAGGCGGAGGCCGGGGCCTCCATCCGGGCGTTAAACCATGGGCCAGGCCTCAGGCCCGTCACCACATGGCTGGCCTCACCAAAGGGTTTAGGGTTTGGGGTGGGGCTTAGGGTTTGGGGTTTAGGGCTCCATCAAACAACATGAAATGCTCCCCTCTTTTCGCAACAGGAATTCTGTGACAATTGGGGTAAAACTCATGAGCGAACGATACTATCAATCAGGATCCGGCATGGAGGTGCCATCAGAGTTCTGTTGCAAGAGCTCTTGCGCAACGAGCCTCTTCTTTTAGCAAACCGCAAGACGAGGGCTAATCAAGAGCTAGCCGGTGATGGGGGAAAAAGACGATAGAAAGAAACCAATCAAAATACCCAAAGGCCCCCTTTGGCAGCATTGTATGTTTGGGCCACAATCACTTGGTAGGGCTTTGCGGTTTTGGCGTTTGCCCTCAAGGCTTGATGGTTTTCAGGCTTGTTTTTGGGCTTCAGGCGTTTTTCTTTTGGGAAGCTACGCTTGGCCGCGTCTCCAGTTTGCATTGCTGCTCTGCCCACTTCAAGCCCAAGACCCATCAAGGTGCTGCGTATTCGCGCTGGGACGCCCCCCCGAAGGCCTTGCGCTGCTGCTGCCAGGCCAGCAGCTCTTGCCGCGCGGCTTCCTGGCGAAAAGAAAGTTTTAGAAGATGATGTTTGCGGGTTTAGGGTTGCACAAAGTCCTCCTTCCCTTTTCTGCGGCTTTGTGGAGCAGCTTCTTCGGGACACTCTTGTGAGGGACCCTCTTTGGAGCCCGAGTGTATCCGATACATCGGCTTCCGGCCGAGTAGTTGCACCACAGGCTGTTGTAGCCTCATCCAGAAGGCCAGGCATGGAAGATTCTGCAAGCCCGTCTCCTCTGGCTCTGGAGCATCCTGCAAACCAAAGCCCCTGAACCGTTCAATCGCTTTTGGTCTTCTCCTCCGGCGTCTCCTCGGTCTCCTCCTCCTCTGGTGGATAGAGCCAGCCCCGCAAAGTTCGAGCCACAAACCAAGCCACCAAGCACCTTGGCAAGGAGGTCTCCTAGCTCTCCCAGCTAGCAGGAAGCCCCTGTGCCTAGAGGGGCCGACAGGGGGCGTGGGGGGGGGGGGGGGGTGAAAGGAAGATCTGCAACATGCTCTTGGTGCGCGACACTCCCGCGCCGATCATCTGCTTCTGCAAAGCCTCTTCTTCGGCCGGCTTCATCTTGAAAGGCAGCTCTCTCGGCAGATTCGCCACTCTCTTGGTCAAGTCCTGTGGCGAAGGGCTCCGAAGGACCCTCTGCGGCATCAGCACGACCAGTCTACTTCAGAGCCTAAGGTCTACGGTCTCACGTGCCCTCTTGTCATTCGGACACTTACCATGCAAAGCATTCCCAAACTGCATGGAAAAGTGGTCTTGACAGTCGTGATGCCCCACAGCCTTGCCAGTGTCCGACAGCCCCAGATCCACAAAGCGTGTCAGGTCGCACTTCTCCACCAGAACGCCTACCTTGTCCGGACGAGCAAACAACAGCAGCAGCAGCAGCAGCAGCCGCCGCCACCGCCGCCACCGCGTGCGACAGGCGGCGATGGCAGCACGGCCCATCATCAGCAGCGCCATCAGCAGCGCCATCACCAACCCATCACACAGCATCGCCAAACATCAGCAACCACCCCAACCACAACCACTCATCCTCATCCTTCTCCTCATCACCATCATCACCACATCATCCACCCCGTCGTCTCCACGTCAGGATGCAAGACGTCACCATACAAAGGTTCCAGGCTCCGAGCTTCCCACTCTAGTTCATGAGTCGCCTCGCGTGCTGTGAAGCATGGGATACATCTCTGCCGAGTTGCATACAGAACGGCAGCCTTCCAGTCACCCAAGATACTGAAGGCGACAATCGCTGCCACCAGGGAGACCCAAACTGGGAGCAGCAGCAAGCCTGCAAGGCTCCGAGATTGAAGTCGCAAACGTGCAGCAAAGCATCTACTTCCTGCTGCGATCGAGTCAGGTGTCAGGATGCTTACCCTAAACCCTAAACCCTAAACCCCATTGCAGCCTGCCTATGATGCCATCCAGCCCGGCGAGCGTCAGTCCGACGGCAGCCAAGCCAGTGCGAAGGAGCACAATGAAGTCCTGTTATCATCGGGCAGATCTAAGCGCAGAGGCATAATGTGATTATACTACATATGATATGATATGATCTGATATGATATGATATGATATGATATATATGCAAAATAAATTTTACGTGAGCAAGCGATCTTTTGCCCGCTTCACAGCTGTCCCTGCCACGGGCAGCAAGCACAGCCCGGACGTTCTCCTTGCTTAGACCTCAGCTGCACTGCAAAGCAAGGGGACACAGCCCTTAGGGTTTAGGGTTTAGGGTAGGCCATTCCCTTTTTTGCAGCCTCTGGCTTGTAGGCTACGGGGGCCCACCAGACACCTCTCGTCGTCATGCGCTCCAAATGCACCAAGGTCACCCCAGCGCTGCAGCTCTTGTTCGAACATGGGGTTCTCCAGAGCCTGTATGAACACCTGCACAGGAAGCTCAGTCGATGTGAATGCGATAACCCGAGCTCTGCGTTGAGGCACTGACAAGTGCCTCCGCGCCTGGCACATCAGGGTGCCAAACCCTGATCATCTGTAGCGAAACTCCGAACATGAAAGCCTCGACCTCAAAATCCCCTGAACCTTAAAGCCTTACCCGAAACATGAAAACAGGACGAAGGAAGCCCCCGACATTGCTGCCCGACTACCTGACTACCGGTCTGGCATGTTTGGGGTTGAGGGTTCAAATGGCCAAGGGACAGCTTGAGGAGGTTTATTAATGACGTCCGCCTGGCTCATGGTTATGAGGACTAAAGTACCCTTAGACCAGAACTCACGTCGAAACATACGGCCTTAAAAACACATTAATACGCAACATATAATGCAAAATGTACAATGTATAATACATACTTTGCAAATAAAAATGTATGTGTATATATACATATACATATACATATACATATATATATATATATATATTTATTTTATTTATCTATTTGTTTAGTTCTGATATTTTATTTACTTATTTATGTCGTTATTTTAATTTATGTATGTACTTATCTATTTAATTACTTATGATTATTTAGTATATAACATGTAGCATACAATAACATGTAAGAAACAGTATACAGTATATAATTAATATATAACAATATGCACAGAAGCCTTAAGGTGCGTACTTGAAGGGGCGCGTGGGCTCCCCGGAGTCGATGTGTGCCTTGTAGTGCATGATGGAGAAGCCAGCTTGCAGGACTGCCTCAGGGTTTGGGTTTAGGGTTTAGGGTTTAGGGTTTAGGGTTTAGGGTTTAGGGTTTAGGGTTTAGGGTTTAGGGTTTAGGGTTTAGGGTTTAGGGTTTAGGGTTTAGGGTTTAGGGTTTAGGGTTTAGTTTAAGGGTTTAGGGTTGAAATTTTGGGTTTAGGGCAGGGTTCAGGATGCTTCACGAACGGCTCTGTGGATTAGTACAATTACTCCATATTCTCACGTCTTGCGAGCCAGCAGCGCTAGACAGGAACAGGACAAAGATCAGAATAAGGCGGACTTGAAGTGCAGATAGTCCCAGGTGTATTGGCTTGCCGACATTTGACCTGAATGGTGATTTTGCCATGGCGAAGTCGGACAGCTTGAAGGGGTCAGCCCTACTTCGCTCTTCCTGTCGCACCCATTCCACGGGCTTGCTGTGTGACGAGTATGCTGCTGCTAGCTCCTACAGCAATGGCGAAACCGTCATGCTGAGCCAAATTTGCTGGAGTAACCAACGGCTGCCTTGCTGGTAAGAGCACCAGGATCCACTCACTTTGGGACATCCTGCGTTTGCAAACACGAAGCGCACGAGGACGACCGAGCATTCAAGAAATCGCCGGGTGAAACACCTCGAGGTGCTGGCGCATGCACTTAGGAGCAAACCCCTCGCGGGCTAATTCCCAGACGACGGTCATCTACTATTTGCTTAAGAAACCCGCCCCAAAACAAAACACAAAAAAGAAAAAACTATTCCCTGTAAGGGCAACATAGGGATTGTTTTTCAAATTTTTGGGGGCTCTGAAGCCAATAGTAATCAACATCATAAGAGAAGCCTTTAAGTGCGATCTGCCATCACCAGCTACCTTAGCATTAGAGCTCCTTACGGCTACTAAAATCTGAAAGGCTCTTGCGCAGCCTCTGACCAAGCTCGCATCCTATCCAGAGCCCTTCAGATGTTACCTTCAGATGTTACAAACCATAAGTCCCGAGCCCTAATGCTAAGAGAAGGATACGAGCTGGTCAGAGACTTCGCAAAGCGAAAGTGTGCAAAGCCCATCGCATCACGGTCCCGGCATCTGATGGGCAATGTTGATGTGCTCATCAGCTGCTGCCGCTTTCAAAAGTTATGGCATTTCCCGTGCAGCTTGTCGCATTTGAAAATGCGTGTGTCGTGCGCGACAAAACCGTCCAGAGAGATGCTTGTCTTTACAACCGCGATGAAGCATCTCTCTGCTTGCAAATTCGGTCAGTGAGCCACCGCACTCGCATCGCATGCGCATTCACAACACAAGCTTGAGCAGACAGCTTTGAGTCTTTGAGCATTTGGCGAGTTCAACTCTACTTGAGCTCAAAAGCAACATACTAGCACGGCACATCAGGGCCCCGAGCTATCAAAAAAACCTGAAAACTGCTGACACAATCCTACCGGGTGGCTGTACAGGTGGCAGCTCACCGACAGAAGGAAACTCAGCCAGGTCCCTTTTTGTAAAGACCTCTGTTGCCAGTGGAACTCCTGCAAGAAAGGGATCCTGCGCTTGGACTGACTACTGTATTTCCTGCATCACTCAGCAAGGTCTGCGCCAACGACAGGGGCAGAAGCCACGAGTGCTCGGCGCCACACCTGAAGTCCGGAAGCAGGGGCCAGCAAAAAACCCACCAACCAAAAACCCCAAATGGCTCTAAGGTCTAGGGTTTAGGGTTTAGGGAAATTCCCCAAATAAAACCCAAATGGCTCTGACTCTTAACCAGGCTACGAGCTGCGCGGTGATCTTTGAGAGGTGTCGGACCTTCAACCTCCGCCCAGTGCTCCGACTCACCTGTGACACTCGTTGAAGCCCCACGCTTTGGGCTTGTTGTCCATGCCGCTGGGCTGTCTGGCTTCAGGGCTATGAGGCGCTTTAGGATTGGGGTTTAGGGTTTTAGGGTCCAGACCCAGACAGAAAGCGGGCTGTTCTGAGAATTGTGCCGCAGCGTTACGACTTCTTACAGTAGAGGCAGTGTCTCCCTCAGGCATTCTTGAACCTCTCTCAAAAAGCAAGAAACAAAAGTTGACAGGCAAAGGGATCCCATACCCTAAAACCCCTAAACCCTGAACCCTAAACCCCAAACCCTAAGTAGCCAAGCAACACGGGAGCACCTTCGGAACAGCCCCGGGCCCAAGTGGGTCCCTGTTCAGGTCCATGACATGCTGCAGGACTCCAGCAGAATGGCTTCCTTGCAGCTCCTGGTCTGGGTTTAGGGTTTAGGGTTTAGGGTCTAGGGTCTAGGGTTTAGGGTTTAGGGTTTAGGGTCTAGGGTTTAGGGCATAGGGTTCATGGCGGGGGCATGGTCTGTTCAGGCTGTGGGGTCGGCAGCAGCCACTCAACCACTCCACGTCTGGAAAGGCTGAGGGCGGAAACCGGCTCCTGAACTGCGGCCACTGCATTTGATGCAGACAAGAACTTGACCTTTCTCTTCGTTGCTGCTGGCAGCAATGGATATATGACGTTCCAAACAGGCTGTAGTCCCAACGGCGCGTCCACCATCATTACCTCAGCTGTGTCTCGCTGCCCGTATCTATTGGGAGGAGGGTTCATGCTCGATCGTCGTTTCGAGCAGAGCAAGAATGCAACTACAGCAGCCATGACCGCTGCCGGCACACGGTGCCAGTAGCGAACAGTGCCTCGACCCGCCTCGACCCTGGACCCCAACTCCCGAAGCCTCAGCCCCCGCTAACCGATGCCACCATATACCAGACCCTAAACAGTGTCGGGTCCTTAGGCGCCGGCTGTTCGCAAGCGATCTCGGTAAGGCTGCCGGAGCAGTTCGGCAATCCCGATCCTGTGATTCAGCAACGTGTAGGAGGAGCAGGGTTAGGGAGGCTTTAGGGCAGCTGTTTTTCGTGATTGGGGGTTTATACGGGCGCACTGTAAGTTTTTTGGTAGGCTTTGGGTGGGTTTGGAGGTCTACGACAAAAACCACAACAATCATGTTCAGGGGCTTTGAGTCGACTCTACAAGGGAATCATGGGAGGTACACCTGATGAAACAAGGGCTGATGGCACTGCGCGCGTGTCTGAGAGGCCAGAATACTCCACCTCCTGGACTTAACAGTGCCAAAGTCAAAGATGCATAAACCCTAAACCCTAAACCCTAAACCCTAAACCCTAAACCCTAAACCCTAAATGAAACGCATCCGAGGGTTCACAATTCTCGGGTCCATGTTGTACCAAAGGCAGAAGCCATGACAGTCGATCACAGCATCCACCTAAGTGAGTCAGTCTCGGAGTGGTGGTTTCCGAGCCCTAACTGCACCTGCCTTTGCCTCCCTAGGATGATTTTCACACCATCTCAGATTCGGCTGAATACTTGAACTTGAGGCCACTAGCATCTGACATCTGTTTCGAGCAGTGCCTGGTGGCCTTCGCCTTGCTATTTGTTTGCATGATAGTTTTAGGTTTTAGGGTTTAGGGTCAAGGTTTAGGGTTTAGGGTCTAGGGTCTAGGGTCTAGGGTTTCGGGTTTAGTTTATTGCAGTGTGCCCAAGCTGGCCCTGCTGCTGGAAAGCGACCTGCTGCACCCCAGGCCGCATCTTACGCACGGCGGTCTCCAGAACGCAGGCGACATGGTCCAACGTGTCCGCGACGTTGAAGCTACATGTCTGGTGGCGACAGCACCTGCTAAAAACAGCACACAGCAAACCACCTACCGTAAGCCAAGCTAGGGCTGCTCACGACGGTTTCTCTTAAGCTTTTGTCTAGAGATTCCAGCTGGTCAGCATCCAAAAAGGAACACTGCCATCTGCGGTCACAGCGCAGGTAGAGCAAAGGCTGCCCCGCTGTGCCCTGCGCCAGAATTCGCAGGTCGCCTTGCCACTTGGGCAAGCGGCTGCCAGAGAGAACGTCCTGGTACGCTGAGAGCAGGCAGCTCTTGCTGACAGCTTAGAGCAAACGATCCAACATCAAAATCCTAGAGCCTAGATCTTAACCCCATAGATAGGCCCACAAACAATATTTCAAAACCCCCAAACCAAAACTGCTAGACCTTAAATTCTAAACCGCAATCCCCGAATACAAAATCTAAATAGTTTGGGATTTTGGTTTGGTGTGCTTGAGGGGAGTACATTTTTTGGTGTGGTATGTACCGTAATTTCTAAGCTCATAGAGTATGTCCAGTTTAGAATCCATATGGTACATTAGTGCAACATATACACATATATGTATATGTATATTATACATATATATATATACATATATATATATATATTGCAATTATACAACGTGTATTTAACACATACATATATATATATATATAGTACATTCCAAGCTTGTAATGTATAAAGTGTGTGGCATACAAACAACTATATGACTTGAGATTGGGGCTACGAAAGCTATACAAACGCCGGACAGAGAAGCATTGCATTTTCGAGGGATGAATGAGAAGTGCGGATGCGGTCAGCGCAGCTGCAAATTTCTTGACTTGAAGCAAGCCCAGACACCCTAAGTCCTAGACGCATCTGACACATCGAAGTAAGGATGCAAGGTGCCTGATGGGAGGAGCGGGGGGAGGGGGCGAGGGGGCCGGGGGCAAGCCCGAAATCAATGAATGGGGGGGCACCCACCCCCGCAGCCCTTTAACTCATTGATATTAATACCAGTTCAGGGTCGGGGTCGCTTGTTGACCCACCTGAACATTAGAGAGAAAGGAATGTAAACGACAACCCACGTATGTATACGTATATGACACGCACAGCTGTTTCAAAGGCCACACTCCCGGTACTGCTCGCGCCAGAATAGAGCCTGGGCCAGTATCTGAGCTGCTGCAGCCACATCTCCATGACGGCCGCGGAGAAAGATCGAGACCACCTGCACACAACAAGTAAGCCGCAAGCACACGTAATTAAACAAGAATCAAACTTGCGCCAACAACTGTCTCCTACAGCCGCGGCTTTCAACCTCTGGTAGACATCGATATCTACTGAGGAAGGGTAGGTAAAAACTGATTGCAGTTCTGCTGCTGGTGGTCAAACTTGTGGGACAAACTGAAACCCCTGTTCGGAGCTTCGCATCGACTCACAGCAGCCTTGCGGCCATCCACCAACAGTACCAGTGCTTATGCGACGTCTTCGGCCGACAACCTGATATCAACTTGCCAATTATGCTGAGCATGCTACGAAGCAGCAGGCCAGCAATGGGTGCAGGCAGGGTCGTTCTTGCCAAAGTTTCCCGCGGCAGCGTGCACTTAGTCTGGCTCCTGCCGTAGTTAGCTATGGCAGCACTGACGAAGCAACAATGGTGGAGGGACGTCTGTGGTGGAAAGCTTGTTGCGAATGATAATTTTGCCGCACTCCTGTCGCAGTTCGCTGTGGCAATGCGGCAATGAGACATCAGCGGTGGAGAACTTTGCGCTTGCCAACTATGCTTGGCATGCTACCAATCAGCAGGCCAGCAATGGGTGCAGGCAGGGTCGTTCTTGCCAAAGTTTCCCGCGGCAGCGTGCACTTAGTCTGGCTCCTGCCGTAGTTAGCTATGGCAGCACTGACGAAGCAACACTGGTGGAGGGACGTCTGTGGTGGAAAGCTTTGTGCGAATGATAATTTTGAGGCACTCCTGTCGCAGTTCGCTGTGGCAATGCGGCAATGAGACATCAGCGGTGGAGACCTTTGCGCTTGCCAACTATGCTTGGCATGCTACCAATCAGCAGGCCAGCAATGGGTGCAGGCAGGGTCGTTCTTGCCAAAGTTTCCCGCGGCAGCGTGCACTTAGTCTGGCTCCTGCCGTAGTTAGCTATGGCAGCACTGACGAAGCAACACTGGTGGAGGGACGCCTGTGGTGGAAAGCTTTTTGCGAATGAGAATTTTGAGGCACTCCTGTCGCAGTTCGCTGTGGCAATGCGCCAATGAGACATCACTTTGCGCTTGCCAACTATGCTGGGCATGCTACGAAGCAGCGGGCCAGCAATGGGTGCAGGCAAGGACGTTCTTGCCAAAGTTTCCCGCGGCAGCGTGCACTTAGTCTGGCTCCTGCCGTAGTTAGCTATGGCAGCACTGACGAAGCAACACTGGTGGAGGGACGTCTGTGGTGGAAAGCTTTGTGCGAATGATAATTTTGAGGCACTCCTGTCGCAGTTCGCTGTGGCAACGCGGCAATGAGACATCAGCGGTGGAGAACTTTGCGCTTGCCAACTATGCTTGGCATGCTACCAATCAGCAGGCCAGCAATGGGTGCAGGCAGGGTCGTTCTTGCCAAAGTTTCCCGCGGCAGCGTGCACTTAGTCTGGCTCCTGCCGTAGTTAGCTATGGCAGCACTGACGAAGCAACACTGGTGGAGGGACGCCTGTGGTGGAAAGCTTTTTGCGAATGAGAATTTTGAGGCACTCCTGCCGCAGTTCGCTGTGGCAATGCGGCAATGAGACATCAGCGGTGGAGAACTTTGCGCTTGCCAACTATGCTGGGCATGCTACGACGCAGCAGGCCTGCAATGGGTGCAGGCAAGGACGTTCTTGCCAAAGTTTCCCGCGGCAGCGTGCACTTAGTCTGGCTCCTGCCGTAGTTAGCTATGGCAGCACTGTCGCAGTTCGCTGTGGCAACGCGGCAATGAGACATCAGCGGTGGAGAACTTTGCGCTTGCCAACTATGCTTGGCATGCTACCAATCAGCAGGCCAGCAATGGGTGCAGGCAGGGTCGTTCTTGCCAAAGTTTCCCGCGGCAGCGTGCACTCAGTCTGGCTCCTGCCGTAGTTAGCTATGGCAGCACTGACGAAGCAACACTGGTGGAGGGACGTCTGTGGTGGAAAGCTTTTTGCGAATGAGAATTTTGAGGCACTCCTGTCGCAGTTCGCTGTGGCAATGCGGCAATGAGACACCAGCGGTGGAGAACTTTGCGCTTGCCAACTATGCTTGGCATGCTACGACGCAGCAGGCCTGCAATGGGTGCAGGCAGGGTCGTTCTTGCCAAAGTTTCCCGCGGCAGCGTGCACTTAGTCTGGCTCCTGCCGTAGTTAGCTATGGCTGGTAACACTCCACTATGCAACTCTGAGGAGTACCGCCCGCAGCTTGAACGCGAAAACAACGCTGGGCACGCTACGCGGCAGCAATCTTGCCACAGTGCCCAGCGGCAGCGCGCTCCCTCTGGCTAGGTAGCTGTTAGCTAAAAAGAGCATGACGAATGTTTGCTGCTTTGCGTCTCCGCTAGCCGCTAGCCGGCGTGCTACACTATGTGGCTGCTTTTCCGAGTATTGCTGCGGCCATGGCTTGGCAGTAGTTCCACGAAAACCCAAAAACCCTCCCTTTAACCCCTGGGCTGAGGCCGGGACAAAAACCCTCCCTAAACCCTAAACCCTAAACCCCAAACCCGAAACCCTAAACCCAAAACCCTAAACCCCAAACCCTAAACACTATCTGTGAACACGTTTGCCTCTTCGGTGCACCAGCCACGCTGCCAGTCGGAGAGTTCGCACCCCAGGTTTTGAGCCGCTGCTGCAACCACCTGCTAAGGGGGAAGAGTCTCCGAGCCTAAGGCAACATTGGTAACATGCTAAGCCAGGGCTGACGTGCAGCAGCTTCATGCCCCTGCGCTGCCCAGAAGACGCAAAACGAGAGCAAACTGTCCGTCGCCTGGTGGATGGAGGAGCTTTGACGGGCAGGGAGGAGCACCTGGGCAAGGCTGGCACATCACACGCCCTCCCCGAGGATAGGGATAAGTAGACCAAAGCCCTAAACCCTACACCCTAAACTCGCCACCGACCTGCAGCTCAAAAGGGTACGGCAACCTACAGTATGCAAGAAGATGCTTTGCCGTGTCTCGGTGCCTGGACACTGCGACTATGCGATCGCAACTCCCTCAAGTAGTTGAAAGGTTCTTCGCAAATATCCACCACCCGAACAGCATGCAGGCTTGCACGATTTTGGTCGTGTGCAAAGGACAGTACATAGCTTACCTCGCAACCCATGGTGTGCAGGGCCTTCACTGGAAGGGGGCGCACGAAACATGACAAAGTGCATAGCATAGGGAGAAACATCTCGCCTCCTCTGCCGGCCGGCGGATTTTCACCAAGGGCCGGTCCACATAGCAACACGCGGAAAGCATGGAGCTCACGCGTGGTGGTTCGACGGCTAAGGTCAGCTGCGGGGCGTCTGTTCGGGTTCGGGCCTTTGGGTTTTGTTGTCGTTAAGTCTCACGGCTTGTTTGTTGTGTTGTATTCATAGGGGATTTGTTGAGTGTTTTGTGGAGGCTTTCCGATTTGAGTGGTGCAGGGACAGGGATGGAGGAGCCGAGAGAAGTTGGAGGGCTCTGATAAATTTGGCTTCGCAGGGTGTTTGCTTAAGTTTTTGCTGTCTTGAGGGCTTACTCGACATAAGCATATAGTGGGCTTAAGGATGTTGGAAGCTCAAGTCCCGAGGCTTGATGGGGAAGTTTCCTCGTTGTAGGTTCTGAAGCTTGATAAGGCCAGCGGAGAGGAAGCACGTCTACGATCACTCTGTGGCTCAAACAGGGCGGTGCAGGTAAAGCTGCTGTCCAGACAAAAGCGTAGGAAGGATTTAAGCTTAAGTTGATGGGCACACCACTCAAAGATATGCTCAGATAATTGGACAAATCGCGCCGACTGCAGCCACTGCAGCCCATCCCCCTCCGGGCCTCGTTGGCCCATTCATACCGAACCTCGTCGAAACCTTGGCGCTGTACTTAGGTTTTATTGGAAAAACTTCCGCGAAAGACATGATGAAGCATTCCAGGCTCCCCACCTTCGGAGGTTGTTGGCAGGCTGAAGTGGGCGAACTCGGCAAGAGCCCTGCAGGATGCCGGATGTAGCAAAGCGGTGGCTTTGAGAGGTATCCAACCTGAAGTTCCAGCACTGGCAACTCCAGATGACCGAAGGTGCCCTTCGACTACTTAATAGGATAGTTTTCCGCATCTCCTCCCACAGCTGCATTCTGGCAGGCAGGAAGCAAAGGGCAGCTGGAAAAGCTGGAGCGCCCAAAAAACGTTCCATGCATTCGCCTGATTATTATGGGCCTTTGCGACTGTGACATCAGATTCAAGGAGGCACCATGAAGCATCTTCGTCTGGCCCACGCGATCGTCGCTTGCGTGCATCGGAGAGGGGTCTGTCACTGTGATGACCCCCTTCCTTGCTGGAATGGCGGGCCTCCAAATGAGGGCACTTCTTGGCTGGCTCAAGCCAGTAAGATGCATGAACACAAGCCATGAGTGTCTGTCCTCCATCCCTTCCTTTCGGATGATGAAGGCATCTTGAGGGCATCTTGATTGAAGGTGGAGCATGATGCCGTCGTGTCGGACATGTCGCGAGCACAGCTCGCACGGAGATAGAGGAGTCCAGGCTGCAACGCACTTAGCTAACACAGCGTTTTCAGCAGCAAGCGCTGAGGCCCACCCCAACATCTCCGTGCCGCGGCAACTGCTTTGGACTTTCGATGACACTCGCTCCACATCTTCTTATTAGCGCCTCTGTCCTGCATCCCTTCTTTTCATGTGCAACCAGCACTAGGACTTAGGCAGAGAAGTCTGAAAAGTGTGCGCGCTCTGTGGAAATTGAACCCTGTCCCCACGGGTAGTGACCCCCTCCCTTGCTAGCTCTTGCTGGCCTGTCTGCAGCATCAGGAACGGTGGTGGAATCGAAAGTCTCCGAAGCCTCCTCTTTGCACCAAGGCATTGTCAAGACCCGTATTCCCCCCGAATCCCCAAGGCCCGAAGCTAGGAGGCAAAAAACTAGACTACCAAGAGCTGTTGACCGGGCACTGTAGGAAACTGCAAAAGTGACATGTGTGGTCGCTGACCCCAACGTCCTCTGCAGCTTCGCCAGCTGCCTGGAACGAAGAACATGCACGAGAAATGCCGTGTGTCAACGAGCAATAACACAGAAACCAGGACAGAAAAGATTACTGCGGGAAAATGCGAATGACAAATTAAGTTCGCGAACTCACTGCGCTTACAACATTCAGTTCGTGCGCTTTGTTCGCTAATTCGCTTCTTTGACATTCCATGCACGCACATTTCATGCTTCTGTCAATAGGATGTTAATACACGACGCATGAAAAGAATTAGCGACCGGAAGGAACTCTCTTTAAATAGGAAGTTGCTGGGTGTTTTTACCCATTCTCTCTTTCTTCACTATAATCTTCTTACACCCTGTATTATATATTCACTCATGAAAGGATTATTACGGCGCGTTTAGTTGTTCTCTCTCTTTTTCCTTGTAATCATTTAAATGAGTCTTTTACTGTACCCTGATGAAGGCAAGCGCATCACTGGGAGATGTGGACTCGAATGGCTCACGTCATCCGCCTCCTTGTCTTCGTGGTCTTTCCTGCGGAAGAGGAAACCAGCAGCGCACCGCAGAAGAGGTGGGATGGCAGGGCTCGGCAAACTACTTGCGGCTCAGGGCTTCTGCGTGATGGCAAACTGTTGGCCTAACACCCCAAACGCAACATCGAACACGGTGACTTCAACCGCTGCGTGCCTTCGTCGCCGCTTCACCCAATCTTGAAATTCGGCCGGCGGGCTTCCAAAAAGGATGGCCGCAACCTGTTGGACAAGTTTACACTTTCTCGTCGGTGGGGTGAGCCCAATTTCCGCAAAGGCTACCTACAGGTCGCCCCAATGAGTTTCAGAGTTTTCAGATGTTTCCAGCAGGCTCTGGTTCTGGCAATAGCTGCCTTAAGAGGTGGGTCAGGATGTCGCCGAAACTATTCTCAAGTCCGGAGCTCTCGTTGGTTCTATTTTTCGTGGCAACTCCCACCAGGTTCAAAAGCCCAGTTGGTACAAGCGCAGGGCCTTTCGAGCATCTGGGTGTTGCTGCAAGAGTGCGCGACGATCGGCCTGCATGTCTTGGCTATATGGGTCTCCGACATCTGCCAACTGCCAACACAGCGCGGCACACCGAAGCTTCGGCAGATCATTCTCTAGCTTCAAGGCGGCAGACCTTTGCTTTGCTCTGGTAACAAAGCTTCAGGACTCAGAGCAAGAAAGATTGGAAAATGCATGCACATGCAAGGGGAAAAAGATGAAGCCCGGACGTGATCGGACGTGCCAAGCTCGGAACATAACAAAGGATGAGGGCACTTCACAAGCTGCCAGAATACGGGGGTCATGAAGCAACAGCACCCCTAGACACCGCATGGCATTGAAAGCGTTCCATCCTGTAGGCTTTTGCGACGCCTCTGCGAGCTGGTGGCTTTGACCCAGCCGCAACCGACATGGCGGACATCGGGGGTAACTCGACCAATGGACCCCGGATCTCCAGGGATCAAGGGTTTTAGAAATCAGTTTCTGCCTCTGTGGCAGCTCCTCTCAGATGTCCGCACGAGCTCAGTTGGTCGTCAGCGGGCTTCGGGCGGCCGTGTTGACTTGCCCAGTCCCGCATGATGGCCAGGGCCTTCCCACGTCGGATCTGCTCGACCTCCGCAGCATCTGCAAAGAAGCAAGTGGACCTTCGAATGAGTGACCCTTGTGCCTGAGAATAGACAGCCCCTATAAAAGCTCTCAGCCAGTAGCTGTTATTCCTGGTCAATCTGGTCCTTCCAGGATCGCCAACAAAACCAACCACCCAGCCCCCTCCCCCCCCCACCCCACACATCGAACCGACCTCGGCTTGCTGCGCAATCCTGTCGGGGAACAGATGACTTCGTAAAGACATCTTGTGGCCCGGAAAAAGGCGCAGCGATGGCAGGCTAAGGCGTCCTCCTCATGGAGCTTATCCTCTCCTGCGCGCCACCTGAGCTCGGACCCCGTAACTTGCCGCAAGGCTCCGGGTTTAGGGATGGTTCTGGGGGCTTTTGGCGGTTCGGGTTATGTGCTTCGTGGCCTATGGGGGTTCAAGCCAGCACTGCAACTTGCACCCCAACAACGGTTCCTGGAATCCTGAAACATGTTTTCAGCACCCCTTTCACGCGTCCCCTCAAAGGTTACCTGAGTTTGAAGAACCCTCAGCTTAACTGGGTTAGCGCTTGTCGTCTGGGCAGGAGCATTCACCAGTCTGTCGAAGGAGAGCTTGGAGAGGTTGAGGGCTTGGGGTGTTAAGATTATGCCAGCACCAAACCCACAACAAAACCTTCAAACCCAAACCTCCCTGACCTAAACCTTGCATCCACGGGACTCATCAGGGCAACTGTTGCCTCGGTTTTGGAGACTGCACACAAGCGGTAAGCCTGACATGTGTTTGGCAATCAGGGAATCATGAAGATGCAGCCCTTTACCGATTACGGTTCATGGGCCATCATAGCGGGGCTTTGCAGGTACCTTGCTTACTTTACAGCACGCATGAACCTTCGACCAAGCAATCCGAAACCCTAAACTTTAAGAATAAGCCCCACAACCCGTCCACCCCAACTTCGGACCTTGTAGGACCAAGAACATGATGGTACCCGGTGACCCCTAACTTAGAACCTTCAGCCGAACCTTTCAAAGGTTTCCTCCACTTAGAGGTTCATGGGTAGTTGTAAGTGGGGTTATAAGTAGGTCTCACCTTTGTCGGGGTACTTTTAACCCTACTTAGAAGTGGGGTCATAAGCAGGGTACCTACAGTTTATAACCTTACTTAGGGTACTTATAACCCTACTTATAGCGACCCATGAACCTTCGAGTAGCCCTAAACCCTAAACCCTAAACCCTAAACCCTAAACCCTAAACCCTAAACCCGAAACCCTAAACCCTAAACCCTACGCCCCAAACCCTAAACCCTAAACCCTACGCCCTAAACCCTAAACCCTAAACCCTAAACCCTACTTAACGTGAGAGCTCAGAGCCGAGGCCGGGGCCGGAACCAGCTCCGCGCCGGTGCCGCGGCGGGCGGCTGCAGCGGCGGCCGCTGCGGCCAGCTGAGAGGACCGCCCAAAGAGGAATTAGGGTTTAGGGTTTAGGGTTTAGGGTTCAGGGTTCAGGGTTTAGGGTTTAAGGTTTAGGGTTTAGGGGTTTGGGGTTTAGGGTTTAGGGTTTAAGGTTCAGGGTTCAGGGTTGGGCTGATGTTCCCCTTATACTTACTCACAGTCCTTGATAGGGATTATCATTAGGGGGGGGTACTATAATCATAATCCCGATTGAGGACTGTTAGTATCTGGGGGAACATCCCAAGGTAGGGATCAGGTGAGGTGGTTTTCGGGGTTTGGAACAGGGCTCAAGGAGACTTCGGAATGTGTAGGGCTAGGTCCCTTTTGTTTGTGGGTATAGTTCTCCTTCTTCGGGTCACTTTAGCGGCGGACGGAGGTTCCGGGATCTGCGCTGAATCTGACATGGCAATCTGAGAAGTGAGGGCTCGAGGTTCGTGAAAAGTCTTGCCGAATCGGTCTTGGATCACACCTCCGCTGGCTTGCCAGGTCAGCTTTACCACGGCAAGTGCCCCTAACCCCGAAATCCAACTCGAGAGTTGCGATGGGCCCAGGTGCCTCGGCAGCACGTTCCGCACCATTCGCACCTGCTACTATAGTAGAAGGCTCGCTCCACAGTTCATTCACAGGGAAGTCGCTCCCTGGCTTCACTTTTCACAGAATACTGCAGCTGATGCTGCCGAGCTGCCTGTCAAAGAGGAGGCGGGTGGGCACCTCAAATTCGCGGAGCTCTTCACCGGGCACCAAAAGACATGTCATACGGGAGGGTGTCGTAAACCGATGGCCCTTGCAGACCAACTGCCAACCTATCAGGCATTCTGCCGCAGATGCTTTTGACTTGCCACAAGTGCTGGATCATGGGCTAGGGATGATACGACTCTGAAACCCAAGTCTTGATATTACATGCGCACAACCCCATTCAAGGTTCCTCCAATCGGACAAGCTGCTGGTAGTCGCTGGGGCTCCGCAACTTCACCTTGGCACCTCAAGGGACAGGCACCGGTCTCAACTGAATAAGCCTTCTACACTGGAGTCAGTCCAGGGCATTTCTATGTTCTCCCGAGGTGCCACCCAGCTCGGCTTCGTAGAACGTGGTCTTGTTGTTGATATGGACCAGGCCATCATCGACCTGTCCTCGCAACCATTCAGCAGTCGCGAGTGCACAGTGCAAACAAAGATGAGTCCCAATGGTGTCCTGGGAGTTGTGTCGCAGGCTCTGCCGCTTCAGCATGTCCCGTCGGAGCTGCGCTAGCACCGAGCTGGGACACAGGGCTGCCTGAGCTGAAAGACAAGACGGGCAGCGCTTCCCGCTTCATTGTCGCCTGCTCCGAAAAACACGATCAGCAGCGGCACCTACGCCTGTGAACAGGGAATCCAGCATGTCGTCGTCCTTCTTGGGCTCTTCTTCGGCCTGCGGCTGTATGAAGCTCAAGGCCCGCTAGGATGATGAGAGGTGTGCTCTAAGGCCTACGACGGCCCACAGCCTCTCAACCCAACCCCTTATGTTGCGTGACCTTGAACACAAGGCTTTGAACAGCACTCCCTAAATCCACAGCACCCTAAACTAAACCCGCGAAGCCCCACCTCATACAATTGAACGAAGAAAACATCCGACTACCCCTCCCCATGCATGCCTTGTCTAGGCCCATAGCATGAAGACCGGGTGCTGGCTCCAGTCCTGCTTGGAAAATTGAGGAGGGGCTGCAGGGATGAGTGGACCGCTTAGTCGAACACCTGACGAAGGAAACACCGCGCAATCCTGCGAGGTCAGGCGCAACGTCACCCTCAGACACGAGCTCGGCCCCCACCCGGCTCAGGCCTTCGCGCATACTCTTTGTGCAGGCAAGGGTAAGAAGGGTTGGCATACTTGTTCCAATGAGGAGGCAAGAGCCAGACCATCGTCCACTTGCAGAGTCCAGGCGTTTGCTTGTCAGATGTAAACTGCTACATTGCCACATCTCATCAGCTGGCATCGTGACAACCAATTCTGCACCAAGTGTACTCTAGATAGCGTGTCATGAGCCAGAACGTGTCGCCATGCGGTCAGGCCACTGCGGCTTCGTCTCCATTCCGCGCGGCCAGTGCACACGCGCGGGGCCGCACTCGGCCTAGGAATACATGCAAAGTTCCACAGCGCCCGAAGAGCTGCTACTGGTAGCAGCAAGAAACACTCACACTGCGGACAAAAATGCAGCTGTGCATGCATGGTCTTCAAGCGGTCAACTCTACTTCGTCCGAGAGCGGCACCACACTTCCTCCAGCTCCTGCAACCGCTGGGAGGTGGTAGAAACGGTGGAAGCACTACTGACTTCCTCCACCTCGGCATAGCTTGTTCTCAGCAAGGAGCAAGCTCCAAGCTCACCCCGACTACCAGTACGCTCATGTATGTTGTGCCATGCTTGGGGGCTGAGGTTGCAACTCTAGATTTCGCTGGCCGCTGCGCGGCCTCGAGCAGGAGATCGTTTGTCCTGCAAACTTTGAGCCAGCATGACCATGTCATGACAGAAGTTCCGAAGCACGTTAAACGCCATGTCAAGCTGAAGCCGAACCCCTTGAGGGCCTGGGATCCGCCCTGGGCAGCGCCGCCATTTTCGGCCGGGGCCTGGAGGGAACGAAGGAGGCCATCAGCATCTGGCGGAAGTTCATGGCTGCGATTGGCTGCCAGTCTTAAATGGGACCGAAGGGCCCAACTTCTTCGCGCTTGACTCTGACGTCTTTGCCCTTGGCTCTGCCTTGTTCTGCCTTGTTCTGCCTTGTTCTGCCTTCTCGTGCCAGTGTGTCTTTGGACAACGCAAAAGCGGCTGAGATGAAAGCTCGTGGCTCGCCGTCCGGCGCGCAGGCAATGTTGGAACATGCTGGAAAGCTCTCTCCACTTGCGGCGCGCACGCTCGTGCAAAGCGTGTGTGCAACACCACCGAACTTCTCACCTCTACGGCAGCACGCAAAAGAGAACGACTGTGAGCTCGCCTCCAGTAGACCAAGGCACACGCTGCTTCGCACAAGACCTCTGGTGGAACATCAGATTCTCAGATTGAGATTCTGGCATGATTGATTCGCTAAGTCTTAGCAGAACCTTGAAACCTAAACCCAAAGAGCGAACCACAATCATCACCATACAGTCTCAACTCCTGAAGCCCACACCCACAATCAAACCCCCATTAAACCCCCACTCACTAGCTATGGTTTGGGAAACTTCGGGACCACCCTGAACTCTACACCGTCAAACCCCGAATGCCAAAAGCCGAAAGCTTCTGTAAATCCGAAAACCAAGCTCCAAGCTCCTGCCGCTCAACCGGGCCAGCTGGTCCAGTGTACGCCGTGCCTTCACAAGTAGGGAAAATAAGGACAGCTCAGGGCTTAGGGTTTTGGGCTTAGGGCCTTGGGATTTAGGGTTTAGGGTCGTCCCTACACAGACAACATCAAATATTCCATGGGGAAACTTAACCAACAAGCAAGGAGGGCTCGGGGCGTCATTAGACGTTTGGGGATTCTCGGGTTGAAAGCTTCAAGGAACCAGCACGAAAAAAATAGTACCTGGGGAATCGAGGCTCGTGACGCGCGGCCAGTTTCGCAGCGGACGAGAACACGTTGCGAAACGAGAAAAACGCCTGAAGCTGGCCACACTCAGCGACCTGAAGCAACCCGAAACAGAGGGGGGGGGCGAGGGATCAGCTTCGAAGATTCGAAGGCGAGCGGCGAAGCCACACGGAACCGATGCTGATGTCCACATATGTCCACCGCACAAGGCAGTTCCAGCGCATACGCGACGAGCAGCGCGGGCCCAATTTTAGAACTCCCCTCATGCTGCTCAGCTCCCTGGCCGGTAAGAAGGGGGACCCCACTTCCATCAACGCTGTCCCCCTCCACTTCCACCTCCACTCTCCGCAGGACGCTCGGCCATGTGAGAACTCCATCTGCGAATCGTTTCACCCATCCTTACTACTGGAACAGGCTGAACCTCAGATAATTCCAACAACGGTCTAGCCTCTTTGCTTCCTTCCTTCCTTCCTTCCCTTCTTCCTTCCTTCCCGCGAGCCTAACCGCCGTGGGGTTGCGCCGAGGCGCGCTCGAGTACACGACCAGGGTGTTTCGGTCTTTCTTTCTCTCCTGATTTCTTTCGTTGTTTTATTCATTCTTTCTTTCCTTGTTTGATTCCTGATTTCCTTCCTTCATTCTTTCCTTCTTTCCTGCTTTCCTGCTTTCCTTCTTTCCGTCTTTCCTTTTTTCCTTCTTTCCTTTGTTCCTTCTTTCCTTCTTTCCCTCTTTCCCTTCTTTCCTTCTTTTCCTTGTTTCCTTGTTTCCTTGTTTCCTTGTTTCCTTGTTTCCTTGTTTCCTTGTTTCCTTCTTTCCTTCTTTCCTTATTTCCTTCTTTCCTTTTTTCCTTCTTTCTTTATTTCCCTCTCTTTTTTTGTTTTCTTTCCTTTTCTTGTAGTTACTTTTTTGGATTTTCTTTCGGGGGACGGACAACCGACAACCCGGCGCGCGTGCACGCCCCGGTTTGCGGAGCCTTCCTTCTTTACTGCATGCGTAACTCCATTTCCTCGCAGCATCGGCGGGCCTCCGGAACAAACTCGCCGAAGGCCTCCAGATCCGGCTGATCACTGGAGTGCTCCGGGCCTGGTGGCCTGCAGAACTCTTCACACTGTACTAATTACGCCTAAAAATGCGGATGCTTGGGGGTCCGGCAGAATTTCCTTCCGTTCAAGATTTGAGGGCTACTAAGTGGGGAGTCTAGGGTCTCCATGAGTCTCCTACAGCGAGGACTTGATCTTATTCCTACAAGCTTTGGGACCAATTGGGCAAATCCACCCCCACTCACGCAAAGAGTTCAAGTCAAGCCAAATCATTTCTTCTGGCTTACGATCTAATCCTGATGCCTAGTTTAGGGTCCAGGGCCTTGCCTGCTCCTCTGAAGCCCACTCGACAAGCACCTGTCAAGGACTATCCAGGATTGGGACTCGGTCTGAAGCTACCACGTGTCCGCGGTGGGTAGGAGCGAACTTCTGGTCCAAACTTCGGCCAGCGCGACCACTCTTCGACCATCCCATCACCGATCTCCACAACATCCGGCTTCTCCTCTCACGAGGGGCTAAGCGCGCCACACTGGCAAACCAACGTGATGCGACGCAGGAGTACGCGAGTCGCCATGCTCAACGAGGCAGGTCGGTCGCTGCAGGTGTTTTCCATCGAGCCCGGCTAAGCGCGAGGGGTCTTTGCAAAGGTCACAGCCAAAGGATCGCCGGCTCTGGCCTCGGATCAGCATAGCATCACTATTTTGAGTCATCAAAATATCCCTGGGCTTCATGAAGCTGCCTTCCTTGTCATCCTTAATGCGGCTACGTTTAGCAGCTATACACAGTTGGGGGGGGGCCATGCCTTCTGGTGCCTTGTCGTCTCTTGGCTCTGATTGCATTGCTTAGATAGGTCTCTAGCTTGCGCGCATGTGACGAACCTTCACTGCACAACCCTGAGTATGATTCGACTGCCTATGGTCCCTTAATATGGCCCTCTACCTAAGCTTTTTGGTTCTGCAGTACGGGCCCTTGGTATAAAAGTGTATATCAGGGTATGAGGGGCCCCCACTCAGGGGCACAGGGACCATGTAACTACCCCATGACTACACTGAACTTGGAACCCTAGCCAAAATTATTCTTGTTGCTGTTCCTTAAGAATTATAGTACCCAAAAATAAAATTACTTCCAAGCACCCCCAAGATGACATGATATATGCTGCTTGGCTGATGCTAGTTTATGCTCATGAAAGCCCCTTGCAGCACACCAAGACCAGGCATGTGGCCAACAGGCAGCGGCTCGAGAGCTGGCACCAACCACTGCTGTAGGCAGTGTAGAATCCTGAGAGTACAAACCCAGACCCAGAGCGCTTCGGGCAAGACCATGGGGGTTTTCCGAAATTCGGGGTACCTTACTAGGGTCCTTTTTCGTAAGGGAATCCTACTATTTGGGGGGCCTATTTTAGGAGTCCCCCATATGATTGTGGAGATGCCTGCAGGTGAGCTTCGACAATTCACTTTGCGACGGCAGCGCTCGCGGCATCTGGAGCCATAGAACATCGAGCTTTCGGCGCTCGCTCTTCGAGCACCTGTGATTCATCTTGGTATGTTCCCCCTTATGCTAACAGGCCTTAAGACGGACTATGATGCCCCCTCTTAAAATCCCCCATTAAGGACTGCTGGTATCAGGGGAGTATATCCCAAGGTTCATCCGTCCATGAACCCAATTTGCGAAGGTTTCGAGTTAAGTAAGGCCATCGATGTACCCAAGTTGGGCGAGAAAAACGCCCATCGCATCCCCGCAGGCTCGCAAGTACTGGCTCTTAGTACTAACATAGTTCCCATCCAGCATAGAATCTATCTGAGTTTCTTCATCTATATTTCATGATTCATGAATATGCTGTATTCTACTACGGTTGCACCTCCAAACGGGGATAGACCGCCGTAGTCGTCCAAGGCACCTGCAGTGCGCAGCAAGTCCCACAGTCCCTGAGCCCGACGACGCTTGACTCCCCAAACCATTCCGAGCCATGGCTCCTTCCAGCAAGTCACCGCCATCTTCGCAGAACTGGCCGCTGCCAATGTGCTGAAAAGACACCTCTGGCGGAGGCCGATCCTTGCAAGAGCACGGCTTTGACAAGGGTTTGTCTTGCCGAGCGTCTACACAAGAAGTGGTATGCATCACTCATATGGGCTTGCCAGCCAAGAGGCCGATGCACCTCGCTGGTGCGTTGAAGTACTGTTGGTGTCGAGTCCTGGATCGTCTCCATTGCCTGCAGGAGTTCAACATAAGTTTGTTTTCCGTCCCGGTTGCCTCAGACAGCTTTGTTGCTCGTCTTCATCTGCAGGCGTGCATTCAGATACAATCAGCTCCCATGAGGACGGACGAACAGCTTCAAGCTGCAGTTGCGAAGGCGCCTTTCGGCAGGGACTCCGTCTCCGGCTGCATCTGCTGCATCGAGTGCGCAAATGCGAAGGCAACGCAGGCAACCTGTCCGTCGGAAAGAACTCTTTTGACTCTTTGAGTTGGGCTTTCATGTGGGATTCTGTGGGGCAACCCAAAGAGTGCCCTCAGGCAGAATAAGCAGAAGCGTAAACCCCATGGAGCATGGAATTTCGGGAGACAGACATGGAGGCTGCACCACCAGAAATGCTTCCTAGTCTGTGGAGCCTGCCATGGGTATGCCCATTAGGACGGAGCTGTATACCAACACCCAGCCTTTTCTGCTCTCATTCTGTCCTTCTCTCCTTCTCTCCTTCTTCTTTCCTTCTTTCCTTCTTTCCTTCCTTCATTCCGAACCGCCCCAAGGGGCACGTGGCACGTGAGTTAGTCGGTGTGACTCTAGAAGGTGTGCATGCTACCGTCCCTAACAGGCTAGTTTAAAGGTTCTTCTGATGTGCACGAGGAGGGGGGGGGTTCTGCTAGTAAGGATGGCTCCCCCCACTGTTCCTCCGGAAAATTCTTTCGCGATGGGTTTGGGGTTCCGACTGCACTATAGGAAAAAATGTTTCTACGTCTCTCCCTCTCTCTCTCTCGCCTTTAGGGCCCGCCAGGACTGTACAAGCCATGATTGCTACTGCACCTGCTGCTGCATAGTCGCAAGAGCAACATCGGTCGGACCTCCTTGCCGGAAGCATCTTTGACCTGAAGCGCTGCTCCCCATTGGCCGGTCATGTTTAGGTGGAGCGGCCTGCGGAGCTGAAGATTCTTGAAGATGTTGGTTCTTAGTGGGACTGAGGGAATGAGTACCCTATATATAATCCCCTCAAGGGTATTTCCAGGGCCCGAATTCCCTCATTCCCTACTAAGAACCAGGGGGGAAGCTGCAGATGAAGACATTGTCACATGGTCTGCCAGGACGGGCCTCCTGACGGAGGCGGTAAGCAAGGGTGGCAAAGGACAGTCGGAAACTGTATACGGACTGCTCAAGTTGCTGCTGTTCTCGTGACCTCGAATTGTGCGCACAGCGCAGAACTGAGGCATGCTAACTCTACAGCAAAAGGCTCTCAAGCTGCCGTTCTCAGAGTGTGCACAGCCCAGACTATCGGTACCGACCGGGCCCACGCCGGGGCCGAAACTGAGCTCCGAGCATTCCCTGCCAGAGTTTGGCTGGCATTTGGGCTCGGAGCTATTGGCGCTGTGCCTCGACTCGATTCTCTCATGATCCCTCGGATTTGAATTGAGAGCTCTTGGGATGTTCCCCCTTCTACTAACAGTCCTTAGTAGGGATTAGAATAGGGGGTACTATAATCCTAGTAAAGAGCTGTGGGAGAACATCCCTAAAAATCGCTCATTGACCGGTCTTGGAGACCGGCACTGGCCGGCGCTGGCACCGCGAGTCTTGAACAAAGTCGCAGCAGACGTCATAGCCGCCGGAGCGCTCCTCGGCATCACTGAGACATCACTCATACGTCCTTTTTTTGCCTGTTGCGGGGGGGGGGGGGGGGGTCCTTAAGAGCTTCTGCTCGATTCTACAGTATTTAAAAGGTAATTAGTAAGGGGAGCCTAGCTTGTGGAAATTCCAGGTCGGCATGCAAACTTGCCGACAGGCACTGACAGGAGCAAAAACTGTAGTCCACTTGCAGGAGCAAAGAACCGTGGTCGATACTTATTGGTATACAGGACTTCTCGCAGGCCTACCCACCCCCAAACCCCAACCCAAGAGAGGCCAGAGCGATCCAGAGCGTGTCGCTTTCATACTTGATGCAGCCCCAAGCCGTTCTGCTGAGCTTCATCCCCACGGTAGTGGACGGTGCTGGCATTCTTCAAGCCAAAGGCAAACGTCCAGCTGCCCCCATTCAGCAGCAGCCCGCCGTGATCCAGCTCAACTTCAACCTGCACGCTGCTACAATAAGTTGCAATAACCTGTGTATAGCATACAACACAAGAAAGATGTAACTGCAGAGAGACAGAGAGAGTGAGCGCTCACGATTGAGAAGATTCTTGTTGTATGCCCATCTCCCCCGGCAGCGGGTAGTCATCGAGTAAGCAAGTTTGCTGCTTTTTGATTAAGTGGCAGAAGATGGTTGCGCAAGCGGACCAAACACAACCTCGCAGTCACAAAACCAGCAGATGTGTCCTGCCTGGATGTACGGCCAGCCCTCGCGCAGCTCCACCTGATGCAAATCACAAAACCAAAACCACCACCACCACCACCACCACCACCACCACCACCACCACCACGGTGAGCGCTGCCGCAGGTTTGGTTTGCGAAACTTAGCCGTAGGGTTCCGGGGCTCCAGAGCCAACTCCCGAACTTTCGAGGAGCATCAAGAAGCCGCAACAGAATCATCCTGTGAAATCCTCCCAAGGCCACTCGGGCTCAACCCCAAGCTTCAGCCGAGACAGCTCGTCTAGGATTCTAAATAGCCTCTCGACCTCAGCTTGCAAAACTGCCTGGTCGAAGCAAACTTAGGAACCCTAAACCATCAGCCCTACACCCTAAACCCGCCCCCCGCCCAAGCCCATGACCCCAAACCGACGCCCAGTTGCACTGGCGTTGACATGCCGCCACCGTCCCTGGGACGCAGCTCCGAAGGTCGAGAGCTCCGCTGCAAACGTGGCTCCTGGGACGAGTGAGATGAAACCACGGTTTGGGCCTTCAATCAAGCAAAGGGTGAGATTGCGGTACCCAAGGGTTCAATGCTCCGTGAAAGCTTGAAGGGTGTCGTGGCAATGGGGGTTTAAGCTTGCAATGTGTTTACGTTGCCTTGAACAGGATGTTGACACTGCAATCATGGAGTTCAGGGGTCATCGTCCTGCTATTTCTTGCATCATTCATTATCCCTTGCAACACACAAAACCTATGCCCTCAGTCCATCATACCCATCTTGGCACTCAGGGTTCCTCTCCAGAAGTTGCTGCCAGAGCTCTGAAGACCTGGAAGTGCAATGGGTCCCGGAGGAAGTTGTCACGCAGCGCCGTGAGGTCTGAAGCAAGCTCATTACCTCGTTCGCAACGGCTATGGGCTGGTCATGGGTCAAGGTCACACATGATCACGGTGGCGGAGAAACTGTCACATAATCGCCGCAAGACGTTCTGATGAGCATGCTCTTGGCAAGCCAATGCAACTAAATGCATGACGGCGACTTCCACCCTTGTCTGGATGGTTCTCCAACGCCAGCCGCCGGTACGCCCGACGCAGACCATGGTCCGAGTTGTCCTCTCAAGTTGCATGCTCCCCGAAAGATTTGTTGCCTGACCTTCATGCCGCACCCTTTGCTCCACCTCCTTCCTCAAGGCTTGCATGTCTTCCCGAGCTTGCCGGAGAAGGTCCAACAGCGCAATGCGCGTGCGGCACCGCTAAACGGATTTCTGCCACTAGCGGAAATCGATATGTGCCTCTTGCCCCACCTGCTCCATGTGCATCGTTTGTCTCAGTTGCTTTACTTGCCTCATTTGCCCCACCTGCCCACACGTCTGACTCAAAGACACCGGTTTGATGCAGACTTGCGCCTGAGCCTACCCCCCCCCCCCGCCTCTGTTGGAATTGGAAACTGGAACCCCCCCCGCCCCGCCCTCCCCCCCCGACGCAGGCATCACCATCTACACCTAAACTCCTGGACTGCTGTGAGTCTTTGAGTGCTCCTCCCCGGTGCAGTCAGCGAAGCCCCGCCGCAAGGATTCGCCGCTATGGGCTGAGGCGAGGCCAAGGAGTAGCGTGAACAGCGCTAGGCCATGGCACGGGAACATGGTGTGTGTGTGTGTGTGTGTGTTTTTTTTAAAGAAACCTGGACGGTACTTGTATCTTCGACTTGCCTGCATCATCATGTTCAAGATCGAAAGGCTATAGGCTATAGGCTATAGGCTATAGGCTATAGGCTATAGGCTATAGGCTATAGGCTATAGGCTATAGGCTATAGGGATCATGCGCGGAAGGGGACTGCAACTCTGCGCTTGAACTTGTTGGAACTTTGTAACACTTGCACACAAGCAAGCTGGACCAGAGCGTGCAACGGCAAGAAAACGTGCAGATAGCATCACTATCACAGCTGAGGTTGCTGCCGTTGCTACGTCCCCTAGGACAATGCGGGTTAAGGTATAGGGAACTGTGGGATTCTGCCTGGTCTTTGAAAACAAAACAGCTGTTGCCGTCCTCACGGAGGCGTCGCGAGTAGTCGTGGAGACCCACTCCAGGCAAGCCCACGGGGACGATGAGCTGTGCAGGGCACGTTGACACATCCCCAGGATCCGAACTCAAGCCGCTTTAGAACACTTTGGTGTCGTTTAGTCTGAAAGTTAATCTCAAAAGCATTCATTGCGGCAGCATATTGCAGGGAGGCTCGAGCAACGCCAGCGTTTTTGACTGGCTAGCTGGCTCAAGCCACAGGCGCGCTGCCGGTGGTCAAGAGGGCTTCGAGTGAAACGCAGCTCGCTGCACAGTCGACTTTGGCCTAAGGGCCACAGAAGTTGGAGAAGGAGGCAGAAATTGGCAAAGTGCAGCCAGTCACTCTAAGTTAAGTTGCAACCAGAAGAACTTGCATGCTGCCTCCGAGCATCTCCGAACCTTCTCACATGTCGTTGGCGTCAGCAAGTGCTGGACATCCGCCATGCGAAGGGAGCAATTCACTGGAACCCCTTTCCGGATCAGGCCGCAGAATCGTGCATCGACATTGGATGCAGAGTAAAGCGTCAAGAAACTGAAGGTCGAACCAGAGGCTGGTCTTGCCGAACCTTGCAATCGAGTCGAATGTAGCAGATTGCAAATGGAAGAGCTCAAGCGCCTGCATTGAAAAGATTGCTTTGAGCTATATAATATATTCCACATTTTCAGCATGAAAGTGAGCACGTTCGCGGGGACCCGGCCTAGTAGGGCGTGCCTGTTGGAGGCATGGCGCGCGGCATTCGACCGCCTCGATGTAGTCTACTTGCAGCAAAGTGGTCTGCGCTGTGAGACGCTTGAGAACTTGAGAAGAGCACCACAAAGCTAGAGTCAAAGGGTTGGAAGCGTGAAGAGGTCACGGCTCTCCCTAACTGCAAAAACTCGCTCGAGACCCACCAAGATGGATGGTTTGCAAACGCAACTCCCCAAGCTCCACGGAGCTTTCGTAATCGCAATATTCGGCACTAGGAACCCTACATGCCTTGTACGCCAGCATCCCAAGCAGGCAACTGAGGGGCCAACTGCTTGGGCACCCGTCCGGGGACTTCATCTGACAGGGTTCAAGTACAGTGCTATCACTCGCGGCTGAGAGAAGTGCCGTCTCTGCCCAACGCGCCCCGACTTGGGGCAGGATTCCCTTAAGCACCCCAATGAGGTACCCCCCTAATTGCAGCAAGCCCCACTTACTGGTAGTTGGGAGCTCGGCGTGAAACCGATTCGCGCACTGGCACGGGGGTTGGCGCACTGCGGGCCTAAACACCTTTGAAATCTTGAAAGCCCTAAGCCACAGAAGCCGTTAATCCCAACAACCCTGAACTCTACCCCTAAAGCCCAGAAACCCAGCCCTACAACATGATTCCCTGAGCGCTGAAACTTGCCTTTGTGCAAAACCTAAAGCCGAAAGCCCAGAGACCCTTGAATTATCTCCCGAATAGCCGTAAATCCCACAAATCCTAATTCCCTAAGCCTTCCTGAAAACCCTAATCTTTGAATCGAGAGATTATCTTCGGGGTAGGGGGTGCAGAGCTCCCTAAACCTTAAACCCGACACCCCACAGCAGAAAACGCTTAAACAGTTCAAAGCCTTAAATGCCCGAAAGTCCCGAAAGGCCGTAAATGCCAAAAGCCCTCAACCCAAAAGACCTTCAGCCCTGAACTCCCGAACCTTTATGGCATTAGATTTCACAGTCCCTCAACCCTAAAAACCCCTGAGCCACTCTGAAAAAGCGATTGAATCGCCAGCCGTGGTTGAAATGCTAGTGGTTGTATCACGCGTGCTTGAAGCACTGGCCGTAGAGAGGTGCCAAGAGAAAACCCCCGAGTGAACAACACCAACTAAGTCCCCGATTCCAACCTTCGATTTCCCGAGGTCCCCCCCCAGGCCTGGCAGAGTTGTCCAGAGTTACGCATCAAGTCGAAAAAGCTTCCGATCTTGGCCACCTCCCAATGCAGCTTGAGTCGAGGTCAGCTGCCCCTACTCTTTTTAGCCCCTAACAGCCTAACATTTAAGCATCCTTGAGCTATGAAAACCGACGTTTTCCTGGAGGTCCGGGGCCCAGGCCCATACCTCTTTGGGGTCGTCCGCCTCGACAGGAGGGGGAATCTGCAACTGCAAACACCAGACATGTCTGCTGTCATTCGAATTCGATAGAAAGCCAGAAGTCACAACCGCTGGGACGTTGAATTCAACTCTTTGGCTTTCAGACTTTCCCCTGCCTTGCACTCCTCCTTTGACATCTTCTCCTCGCAATAGTCCTTGCGCATTTCAGGGCGCATGTCATGCCACAATTCAAGAAGCCCCTGACGGCGGATCGCACCCATAACACTAACCACAAAAGTGGGGCGGCATGTGTCCTGGCAGCCATGCTTGCAGTAGGCCAGGCAAGCTTGGAAATGGTCTTGATAGCACTGCTGGCAGGCCTGATCCCACATGATCCGTCATCGGAAGAGCTTACCCAGGGCAACGGCAGAAGCATTACTCATGTGGCAGTCGTTCTCCGGTCCAACTTTTTTCAATGACCTAAACTCTCTCAACAACCTCTTCTTGCCCGTGTTATCAAGACTTAGAAGACCTTGCACGTGCCGACTGCAGCTGGAAGCTCGAAGCTGGGTGCACTACCAGAGTGCAGCTGGAGAACTCCTCGATTTTGCCGGAGCTGTCCCTGGACTCTCATGGAGGGACACCCACAGCATTCTACAATTCTGGCGCTGGCAAGTCCAGAACAAGGCCTCAGGTAGCTGAGCACCGGAGGCGCTGCTTGGGCAACCTGACATGCTGGAGTCGGCTTGACGTGGCTTGGTGTGGCTTGATGTGGTTTCTCGACCAGAACAACACATGTGCGCCTCCGGTGCTTCTTTTGAGCGGTTGGCCGGCCTGCGCACAATCAGTGACAACATACAAGTTGCAAGCTCATGGAAAACACACCGAGGTCCCGAAGGCCTCCCAAAGCCCCGTACTAAGGAATCCTCGCTCAGAGGAGCCACAGCAGTGAGCGCTTAGAGCAACTTTGACCGGGGTTTAGAATTGAGTGCCACTGAATTTCTTTTGCCTCAGGTGCCTAATTCAGCAGCACAACATTCAGCCAATGGCCTGCTGTGCGAGCGCTCTTCTCCCAGTTGCGGTTCTCGCGAGGAGACGAGACCTGGCAGAGCCCGCTTGAGTCTCCTGTCGTTTTGGGATATCCGCCTGGTATCGCTTCGGGTCTTGGATTTGCAATTTAGTCCGAATCGCAAGTTCATGATGCGAAATTAGTGAAATGAAATCAACAGCCCTTGCTACAGTCATATGACATTCACCGAATTTTACTCTTGAAGCCGCTCCGCTTAATTGTACCTGTGACAGGAGCTGTGAGCGGAAGCTCTATGGCACACGGCGCGCATTGGCACGACGAATCTTTGGAGAAACCGTATATAGTAGAAACAGCTCGTGATCCGGCTTGGCTGCATTCAAGCAAAAATCATGAGAGGATGGTGGACGGTTCCGGGGCTGCCGGTAAGTCTTGCCAACACAGCACATTCATCAATTACATCGTTCTCGTCTCTGGACATGGCAGTACGCCTCGAAATAGCTAAGTGAGCAGCGCCTTCTGCGGGATCCAGGCAGAGCCAAAGTAACGCAACGACCTCAAAACGGTTCGAAATCGGGGTGTGCCGGGTCTCCCTTATGTTGCCTTAAATGCCTGTATCAAGGATGGCATGGCCTTGAGATGTTGACTGCTCTGTTTTGCTGATTCAATGAACCAACCTCATCCGTGTGGATGAATTACGCCCAGGGCCTGGGGTTTCGATGGGCTTCGGGCTCGGGACTCGACTAGCCGACTAACCGAAGCCTGTCTAACACCCAAACCCTCCGGTCCCGACCACTGAGGGCCAGGCAGGGCACCGCATTCTGGCGCAGGCCCAAAGGCCTCTGTTCATCAAAGGCGTTAGGGTTGAAGGTCAGTTGGGGCCTTTGGTTGGCGGCTGAGAGGAACAACAAGAGGGAGTCGGCGGCCTCACTGCGGCGCCAGAAACGGCTCTTCAATGTCCTCACAGCCCACACTGCCACAACCGACTGTGCTGCAGACTGTGCTCCACCAGACAAACAACCCGCGAAGGTCAGGCGGCAATGCCCTCAAGCAAAGCACTTCTCGAACAGCTTTGCAATACACTGCATCGCATTTAGGCGCCATCAGTAAGCACACTTGAAATCCTGCAATAATTTGCAGCACGGGCGCTCAGAACATGTGCGCGGACTTTAGCCAGGCACTTGGCCCCCACGCACTTTGAGCCAGAAGCAACGGAAAGTTTCGGGCGCCAACATGCTTACTCGTTTGTTTAGGGTTGCCGGGTTTGAGGCTAGTCAAGGGTGCAGGGGTGGTCTGTTGCTCATCGTGTGCCGGATGGATCAGGCACGGAGCCAAGAGTAGAACGAACGGGGCGGGCCTCTTTCTGGTTCGTCGTACAGACACCTGGGCTTCACATGTCTTCGCAGAGACAGTTGGGGATTCTTCTGAATGAGGGTCCCTGGATATTGAAGTTCCTGATCCCTCTATCACACAAACATGATGGGAATCTATGTGTTATTGTAACAACCAACACACACCAAGAATGACAACAAGCATGATACTCTATTTACGCTAGCAACCCATGGCTCAAAAGGGGAGGGGGCCCGAAGAAGTTGAAGGATGCTAAAGAGACCCAGACTGGCCTGTTTTGAAATGGTGCTCACACGGAAGCACAGGACGTGCAGCACTCGAAGAGCATAAGCTCCAAGCTGCATGACGGTCTGTGAACGCAACTTGAATGCGGCTGGCTTGGCCGCAAGCGCAGCGTGGGCCAAAGTCAGATGCCATCCCTCCAAAAGTGTGCACTGCTGGGTGTGATAGGCATAACACCTTGTGAATGTATGGTGTGGCACTTGTGGCCAGCTGACATCGGACTGGCGAACACCATCTCAGGGGCAGAGAGCAGCAGTGAATTCTGAGGCTCCTTCTTGCTCACAGGCCCAAGAGACATGCCCTTATCATGATAAGCTGTGTTCCGTCCATCTATGTCGACCTGCGCTCACTGCCGGAGAGAGGCTGGCATGCAGGAAAGCCCCGTTGCTGCGGACGTTTACAATGCACCATCACTTGAGTGATAGGCCGAGGCTGGCAACGAACTACAAGCCCAAGCATGCGCAACATTCGATTCGGCAAGCAGGGTGCTCCAAATCTCGCACCCATCGTCTCGCTTGCGACTTGCGCACAGCAAGCCCTTCCAGAATCCTAAATTTACGATGTAATATTAATGTGCATATACACATACACAACAAAAAATATACATATACACTTGCATACAATGTATACATGCGGCATCATGCGGCGTCTCTTGTTGCCAGCTGGGTCAGACGCAATTCTGTGTTGAACGAAAAACTTCCTGAAGCTTGCTCAGGATCGCGTAGGAAGAAAGCGGTGCCAAACAATGTGATATGGTAGGCAGCAGCAGCAGCGGCAGCAACTCGGCTGTGGCTCTCTGCGTAACCCTTGCGTACTTCTGCCACGTCGCACCCGTTCCTGTGCTGCCTGTCGCGCTATGTACAAATGGATACATGCCATCTCCTGCAGCTGTGAGTGCCAGAGTGGACCAAACGTCCATCCTCCCGGCAGCTGCATTTCACTGCCCTTGAACCCACCGACTCCCGACGGTCCGACCTAAACCGGCCGACATCCCAATTTGGAGCAGCTGAAGGCCATTGAAGACGACTCACGGCGACACGCCCTGCAGGGCACGTGTCTTGTGCTCCTCCTGGAAACTGGTCTCCTCAGCTCTCGCCCTCAACCCTGCTCCGCAGTTAAGGTGCGGGGATTGCTCTAAACTCGGGACCGTTTGGGGTACCTCTGTTTTGTTTTAATAAGGAATCCCATTGGTTGTACATTGTGACACAAAAGGGTGTGCCTAACTTAGGAACCACCAGCCCCCTTTTCAACTGTGCCCTAGCCGCTATTTCGTCACGCGAGTGGTGTGGTGACAGTCTGCTGCCTTGCAAGCGCTTTGGAATTACCCTTCAAGAGACTCAATACTGATGACGTGCTAAGTTGCTGAGTTACTTCCGTTCATGGTGGGATTTTGCCCAAGTTCGACCGAGAGAGGCATCGCCTCCAAACGGGGTCTAGATCGCTGCTGCGATCAAGAGTAGCAAGGTAGAGCCAGCTTCAGAAGAGAAGGAAACCCGCTGCAGCCGAAGTGCCGTGATGGAGTCCTGAGAGTTGATCACTTCCAAAATTCCCAGGTCGCGGGGGACCTTGTACGGATCGTAGGACAGCTCGTCGATGAGAACCTGCCGCCCAGGTCAGAGGGCTCAGGGGGGGGAGGGGAGCCCGTTCTGGAGAGGGGCCATCCCCCGATGGATTGTGGCCTTTAGGTCTTGCGGCTTTCGCCCGTTCGCCCGCACGAATGCAAGCGGCCATTCAAATTCGAAAGTGCACTTTTCATGGTGGCCCCGTTGCGTTGAAAAGGCAGGCCTGTCTTCCAGCAACTGTTGCTGCTAGGGCCCGCTGGTGCACTTGCACGTCAAAGTTCCACACTCCAGAACAAAATCCATTCGTCAGTTTGTGCCAGCACGATCTGGACAACTTGCACGCCTTGCCGCAGTCGGTGACTTTGTCCACCGAGCCGGTGACAACCTGCGATTGGATTCTGTCTTTGGGATGGCTGTCGAGAGTCTACACTGGGTCCACATTCCGGCGCACGCCGCGTCAGACCGGCCTTCTTGATGCAAAGTGCCTGGATAAGGTCCTTCAACGCAAGAGTCTTAAGCCGGACTGTGGGGGCAAGAGAGTGATCGGCCCGGCCCCCGACCGTAGACACTCCGTGCCCAGAACAAGTTTCTCGGACTCCGTCTTTCGTTCTTTCGCTCTTTCGTTTTTTAGTTCAGATTGAAGATCAGGCCACAAGGCCCTAGCCTCTAAGGGGGCCGCCCAGCCGGGCGGCATTCAACACGAAGCCTGGCTGAAGTAACACAGATAGACTCTGAAGGCCCTCTTCTTCTTCTGCTGCGCACTTAAGAGTCCAAAGACCCTCTTTTTCTGCCGGGCGTGAGGAAAGAGAACATACCCCTCCCTGCGTGCAAGGCCCACCCTCACACCGTTTCTGCCCACCCGTTTGCACAACGTCCTGCGGAACCACCCATGGCGCATCCTTCAGCACAAAGGACCTCGACACAGAGGATGCAAACAATTTTTATATACTATATACGTATATAATATATAATAAAAAAAATATATATATATATATTATATTGCATAACATGTGAGCCTGACTGCTGTCACATCCCACCTAAACTGTTTCGAGGCGAGCGTCACAAACCGGTTTTGGAGAATCCGACCAAAGCGAGTCACGAAGTTCTCATGGCTCGGCTTTCCGAAGAGGTCGTTCCTTCGCTGAGACGTGGGAGCATCGTGGAGCAACCTCCTCCCAATTACTTCTCATCTTCAACAGAGCCGAACCCTGATGAACCCAGTCTTGAAAGCTCTCAAGCCAGCCGTCTTTGCTACCTTCTGGCCGAAGCCATGAGCAAAGTCAAGCAGCAATGTGGCGTCTGAGTGGATGCCGACAAGGACGTGGGACCCACGCTGCTTTGCCTCCTGGCTGCTCGCTACATGAATGCAACCCACAACTAAACTTGGCAAAGACGCACAGCACTTATATATGGGAGTTTCCCCCAAATATGATAGAATATACTAGAACCCACTTCAAAACAGGACCCTTAAAGGTACCCCGAATATCGGAAACCCCCATATTGACCCATCTACACCCAGGCCCCAGGGCACCCGGAGGATGCGCTGGTGCCCTGGATGGAAGAAGTTCCATGCGCCATCTACCTGAGCTTAGGTGGTTTAGGGTTTAGGGTTTAGGGTTTAGGGTTTCGGGTTTAGGGTTTAGGGTTTAGGGTTTGGGGCTTAGGGTTTAGGGTTGTCAAACTCTTGGCAACACCCAGCATCTCGGTTGTTGGGTATATGGGCTGGAACAGTCGAGGATTGGACTTTGGAGGAAGGATTTAAGCTTTTTCTGGGTGGGATTTCGGAGGCGTTTTGAAGCGGGCAGTTTGGGAGGTTTAGGGGGAAGAGAACCTGCTGGTCTCGGTTTGTGCATTGAGGGTTTAGGGTCTAGGGTCTAGGGTCTAGGGTCTAGGGATCACCTGGCAGTGCCAGCAAGCGGCATAAACCACGTCTTTGCAGTCCCACGGGTACTCTGTCGTACCTAGAGACGGGACTGAAGCATAGCAGGCCTTGCTTTAAAAACATGAGACACAAGGAGTTACCACTCTACGCCTCCAAGCCTCCTTTTCCAACAAATTGAGCTTGAACCAAGGAGCCTAAAACTCACATAAATTCAACGTTGCGCGCTACTTGTTGAATTCCATCTTTGACACCGGCTTCTTCTCAACTCTCAAAACCCGAAACCTCTAAACGCTTGTACCGGCCAGGCACCCTCCGCGAGCTCCACCAACTCGGGCCAAATCGAGCCGCTTAAGGCCTGCAGCGTGGGCTTTCCCAAAGCTTAGGGTTCAGCAGGCAGCTTAGGTACACAAGGTGTAGGGCTTAGGGGTCTTCAAAGTCCCTGCAGCTGACATGATCGTATCCCGGAAAAGCTCGCGCAGCTCGCGCAGCCCGCCTCGTTGGGCGATGGGGTGGCCTGGGGCTGCTTTGGCGGCTCGACGATTTCGCCATTCACGCCTGGGTTTTTGGAGTTTTGGGGTTTAGGGCTGAGGGCTTAGGTTTCTTCATTCTAAGGGGATCCTAGTCATCAAACCGATACGAGCACCGCATGGCCACCCCTGAACCCTAAACCCTAAACCCTAAACATGCCTAAACCATCAACTCACCCTGCGGCCTTCTGAACGCATCAGCCAGGAGGCGGACGGCAAAGCGGTGGCACTCCAAGGAAGCAAAGGCGATGACCATCATGTCCGGATTCCTTTGAGTGAGGGTTTAGGGTTGCGGTTTGGGGTTTGGGGTTTGGGGTTTAGGGCTTAGGCCTGAGGGTTTAGGGTTTAGGGTTTACGGTTTAGAGTTTAGGGTTGAGGCGGCTTCGGGGGCTGTAGGGTAGAACCCTGTGGCTTAAGGCTTATCTACAGTAGGGCTCTCGAGTCTAAGTTGACCCTCGCATGACTGCATTCTCTTTTTCCACAGTCACATCACTGAGCACAAGGTGGGTCAGGTTTGCGAAATCGGGCTCGCGATGTAGGTTTGGGGCATGAGGTATCACCAGTGCAGCTGGGGGTTCTCCTGCCGGAGCTTGCTGAGCCAGCTCTGGCACACCTTTCTGTCGCTTTTGCCACGCAGAGCTGCACAGTGTCATAACTTGGACCGTCTCAACCCCATGCTGCGGTCGCGACTGAGGGTTGAGGGATTAGGGTTTAGGGTGTAGGGTTTAGGGTTTAAGCGTCTAGGGTTTAGGGTTTAGGGTTTAGGGTTGGCCCAAACCTTCACAAGCAGCTGGGAGCCCACCTCGCAGGGCCAAAGTGGGTTCAGCTTGTCCTTGGCTCTCGTTGGCATTCGGTTGCTTCCGGGTTTCGGGGCTGAGGTGCCTCAGTTCTCCGACTCCCGAATATCCAAAACCGAGGTTTCAAGGAAACTCGGGCTCCGTAGGGCTTAGCACTCTTTTATAGGGTTCGGTGCTTGCTTCTGCTTAGATCGCAAGAGCCGGAATGACTTCAATGAGGCCCAGCATCTGCCGGATCCAGTGTAGCAATCAGGACGATGTCCTTCGCCTCGGCGTGAGCTGACTTCCCGGCTCCAGTAGGGTCGGGGTTTGAGGTTGAGGGCTGCACCGCCCCATAAAGCCCCCATGTTATGCGGAGCATAAAGCACACGAACCAAAAGTCGCAGGCGCAGCCTAGGCCACTAACCTAACTCTAACACGGAAACGTTAGCAAAGTAAGATCTCGAGTGAGGCATACCCCCATGTTGCTGCATTACCACAGGTCGCTTCAGGCATTTTGCTGGCAAAGTCGCATGACGGAAGTCGCTGGCAGCCCCTTGGTTGCTGCATCTTCACACAAACGAGCGACAATCGTTGAGTCCAAGTGATGACTGAGTCGCGCCACTGACATCAGCCCCTACTTTCACAAATGTCCAAGCTCCTTGTAAACAGAAGTACTTTCTGCCCTGGTGCTGACTATGGCCGCACGCTCAGCACAAACAGATCCGGAGGGAAGACTGACCTCAATGCGGAAGATTTCAATGCCCGCTCGGAAAGTGATGCTGAGTGAGCCGCAGCTCACGCGTGCAAAAGCAAGCCCTGGCCCTCAGCCCTAGATTATCCTGGATCGCACACTTGAACCCAAGGCCGCGCCTCTGTGTTCATCCCATGGTACGTGCACCAATCGCCGTTCTCGCCTAGATTGAGGCAGACTGCGACAGGCAACAGCTGGTGGTGCAACATTCTGAAAGCAACCCTTCCGGGTTTTGGGCGTGATTTGGTACAACCCACAAGTTCGGGGATACTGGTGTCATGGCTGAGACGGGCTGAGCGGCTGCGGCAAAGTAGGATGGACAGCACCGCTTTGTTGGACTTCCGCTGCCAGAACACGTCTTTCGTCGAAGCCTGCCAATCGGCTAGGTACCTGAAGCGTGCAGGCGCAAATAGATAAAGACACCCTAAACCCTACACCCTAAACCCTAAACCCCAAGCCCTAAACCCAAAACCCTGAACCTTAAGGGCTTGGGGATGGGGAGAACTCGGAGTCTCAGCTCTCAAGCCGCAGCTGTTGCGGCGGAAAGCTTCTCAAGCCTAGACACTCAACGTGTCAGAGAGGGGAGGGCTGAAAGTCTTGCAGTGCGGTTTTTGGGCGCCTGAAACCCACAATCTGGCTCTGCAGCTGAGCGGCTTCTGCATCTCATGAAGGGCGAGCCGAATCGGGGAGTCGGCATGCACTTGCCCGGGAGTCCACCACTCCAGAATTTCCTCAGCACACAGCTGTGAGATTGGTGGTGGGTTGGAGGTTCCTTTTTTCACGCAGAATTTGCCAGCCTTGAACCCTACATTTACTTGAAGGTTTACGAAAATAGGGGACCCCTTAACTAGACCCCCATATATTCGGATCCCTAAAATATCGGAAACCCTGAACCCTAAACCCTAAGGTACCCCTAATATCGTAAACCACCATACGATGCTAAGGTACCCCCTCATGTCGTAAACCCCCAAATATGGGAAACCCCCCCTTGCATCTTGGCTGCGCCGTCGCTGTAGATACTGGGTGCTGGGGAAGCAGGTGCCAGTCGAGGCGAGGAAGTGACAGCAAGGAGCCTCGGCTTAGGGTGTAGGGTTCAGGGTTCAGGGTTTGGGGTTTAGGGTTTGGGGTTTGGGGTTTAGGGTTTTGGGTTTAGGGTTTAGGGTTTAGGGCCCAACTTGAAGGTTCATGGGTATAGGTTCATGGGTAGTTATAGGTAGGGATATAAGAACACCCGAATAAGGCTATAACCAGTCATAAGTATAGTTACCCTACTTACCCTACTCATAAAAGGTCCTTTCAGGGCTCGTTGATGGGTGTCTAAAGGGCTTTGGGTCTTCTCTTTCGCTCAGGCGAATCACGACTCAGAAGAGCTGAGACAACAGAGGGACAACCCAACGACAGTGCAAACCCCAGGAGGGGAGGGACTCCGAAAATCACCTCTCGCTGCATTCAGCTCAAGCTGAGATTCGAGTGCTTCGGTCTCAGCACCATAAACTGTAGTTTTAGGGTTTGGGGCTTAGGGTTTAGGGCCCAACTTGAAGGTTCATGGGTATAGGTTCATGGGTAGTTAGAGGTAGGGATAAGAAGGCAAGGCTTACTCCCGGAGACGCTGAGACCCGGAGCCTCGCTCTTGATTTGGGAATGTGAGCCAGCCCAGACCCCGAGTGCTGAGATGGAACTCTGCGGATTGCAGGGCTGCACTTTAGGGCGCCCTGGTAAGACTGCAGATACTGCGGCCTGTCTCTCAAAAGTCCCTGAATTCCTGAGTTCACCGAACCGCATCCCCTCTACGCACCCCATGCTTCAACGCCTGCCAGGCGCTTAGAGTCGCTGAACCTCCAAAACCTTCCCCATCCCACTGGAGAGACGCGCTGCCGTCGCCGTTTGGCTTCAGGCCGGTCCGCCGCAGGCTGGAGCCACTCCTCAAACGTCTCGCTAGGGCTGCCAAAGGTCTTCTTTTCATCGCCTTATGTTGTTTTGGCATGTCACCTCGAGATCACAGGCTGGGCACTGGTACCGAGTTTAACAACTCGACAAACAAGCGCTGCCCTTGGGGCAAAAACATCCACGGGCACACTAGAGAAGCTTCCATGGGAATGTTCGTGTCCTTTGCGTCCGACGCCATGACAGCTGCGCAGCACCACTATTTTCACCTGTAATATCCTGTAATGACATGCTGCTCTTTTATTTATGATGCTGGCACTGCTCATGGTGGAATCCCCCCTTCTAACAACGTGAGTTGCAGGTTACTTGCCACGGCAGAGTTGGATGCAGTAAGCCATACAGCAGCAGGCAGGCAAGCAAGCGCTGCTTTCCACACTAGTCTCTTTCAGTTCGCTTTTGAACCGGAGAAGCACCATGCGTTACCTGAAATCTCGAAGCCTGAAGCCCTGTCCCCTACACCAGTAAAATCCAGTAAGCTTGTGTCGCTTGGCACTCTCTGGGTCGCCCTGGCTGCTGCGGACGTGATCTTTCTCCAGCATGGCTCCGAACATGCGGCACCTTGCACACAGATTCGCAGTCGCGGTCGACACAGTGCCGGGCAGCATGACTTTGCTGTGTGACAGTACGATACTTTCCAAGAAGTCTGATTCTTTCGTGATGGGACCCGAGAAATGCCACCGCCGAACATGCCCGCCCACCTGCGTTCCAAGGGCCTGCCGCAGCTTGGCCCCGTTCTTGCTAACACCCCATAGATGACACCAGCCTAAGGCCTATCCTGCTCCTCCCCCCTCCTGTCCAGACCTCCTCCTCCTTCAAGGCATTAGGGCTGAAAACAAAACGAACTCCAGAGTGCTTCAAAAAACAGGGCACACCTGCAATTGTCTCCCGTTTTGTTCAAAAGCCGGCAGCGATCTGAAAAAAAGGATTTAGGTGGCTTTGAGGAACAAGGCCCGATTGCCTTGTCGTATCCAAGGCAGTGGTTGAGCAGCCGTGACTCGTGCAGCTTGCTCGGAACTAATGCAGCCTGCTCGGCCTTTACTTTCCTGCTTCTACCATGCGATGCATATGAGGTGATGGCATCTTTACCTCTACAGCCAGCCCTTCCGACAAAGAGACACGGGGGGGATTGCGGGAACAAGATCTGACAACGCCGTCCGACCCTCAACCCTAAACACAACCCTCAACACGACACCCCTTTCAGAGGCTTAGAGCAGCGCCCTGCTGGCAGGCTCTGCCATGCAACGATGCCGAAGTTCACGGCCAACCTCAGTGCCCGATGGCATACAGTGTTCCGGAACCGTGCATCATTTGGATCTGCCCCAAAATACACTGTTTCACGCAAAATGGGTTCTATGCATACTCCTTCGTGACCTATAGTTCTTTATATAATGCTCGTAGCATAGCCTGAAGAGGATTCCACGCAAATCAGCGCATACTCAGAAATCTACCCTCTATGACAGAACCAAGGCTCGATTGTGCGTGGAGCTTTAACCCGCTCAGAAGACAGTAAGTTCACTACAGCTAATTAGTGCTAGTATGGCCTGTCAGGTCTGTAGATGTACATATATACTCAAGTGTGAATAAATAAACACATATACATACACGCGTGTATATATGCATGTACCTTTCACACATATGGAATACATGCACATAAACGTACACATACACATACACTTACACATACACGTACACATCCACATCTACACATATCCACATCTACACATACATAGGCATATACATGTACACATACAGAAACATATGCACTTTAAGCCACTACACGTACACAGGCATAGACAGGTACACATACAGATACGTATACTCACACATATACATATACATATTCATGTGCATATACATGTGCTGTTAGATGCTACCTGTTACAAGTTACATGTTACAGACGCGTGCACATACTACATTTTTTACATATTACATATTACATATTACATATTACATATTACATATTACATATTGCATAATGCATATTGCATAATACATATTGCATATTGCATATTGCATATTGCATATTACATATTACATATTACATATTACATATTACATACATATTCCATATGACATATTACAAACTACATACTGCATATTACGTGTTACATATTACATCTTGCATATGACATATTACATATATATATATATGTAATTTATGCTATCTGTTACATACCACATATTGCACATTACATGTACATTTCTTCATTACACCTACAGGACACCCGCCCAAAGCCAAAACGAGTCCACCGCAGAGGGGCCAAAAATCACATCTGCATCCCAAGGCCACATTTCCCCCCGCTTGCTCCAGCTCGTTTCTCCATGGATAGGGAATCATCAACTGCAAGTCTTGAACAGTGTCCATACGAGCAGTTTTCAAAATGGGGAATGGGGAGTACACGCGTTTCTGCTCTCGGGTGATGAAATGAAATATTCTGCAGTGGTGTTAGAAGCTAACTCCCAGTCTGATGACGGCGCAGGTTTGCACTCGTGCCATGCGCTGTGAAGTGTCGAGATGCAGAGCTTGTGATGTCACGCTGTAAACACCGTGTCCGAACTTGATGAGATACGACTGCATCTCGAAAGGCAAAATTTGGAGGCAAGACCTGATCTGCTTTACCAGTAGGTTGTGGACTCTGGGCTCTGGAGCAAGTGATGAAACGCAAAAAACACACACACACACACACACACACACACACACACACACAAGCTGTCTTTGTAGAGTCAACGAACAAGTGGCGCTTCGCCAAGTAACTGTGCCCCAATCATGATGCCAACTCCCCACCTTCAGTCTTCGGCCCCCATGAGTGAACCCAACACGACAAACCGAGGCCGCAAACACCAATGCGTCAAGGCGGCGTCATGTTCTGAAATATCAGGGTTGGGAACAAAGCCTCCAAAGCTGAGACCGCATGCTGTCAGCGTGCAATTATGGAACGGAGCTCTTTCGAATCATGGGATCCTTGCAACCATACAGAAGCATACAGAAGCGTGAGAATTCTTGAGGACTGTATTCGAAGTGGGAAGCGATAGTGCTAGCAGTTACAAGCAGCAGCAAAAACCACGAGGGCCTCATACTTCTGATTAAATCAGTGTGAAGAATAACAAAACTAGCCGACAGAAGGCACACTATCGAGCATCGTGCACCTCATACGTTAAGCAGCTAGGTCCTTTGACATCGGCGGGTGGGTTGTGCTTGTGCTCCCTGTTTCTGTTGCTCCCGTTTTTTTGTTTTTCCCCACCTCGGTGTGGAGTTGTTAGACTGTAGGTCAACCATGCTCCTCGCCTCCTCGCCTCCTCACTTCTCGCAGAATGCCCATTGACGGCCGGACAAATTTTTCCCAAGCACGTCTGCACAGCTGCAGGCGACCGGAGGACCCGAGACCCAAGAACCGCAGGCCCCCCAAAAAGATCCAAAAAGGGAGCAACAGAAAAAAGGGAGCAGAGAAACAGCACTTCCTCGGCCTCCTCGGACAGGCCAGGCGGCAAAGGTCGCTGGCCGGCGCTCTGACCATCAAGGAATACCTCTGAAGGAAGAGAAGGCGCCCTGAACCCTGTTACTAAGCTACCCGGCTTTGGGCGCAGATGCATAGGCCGTTTGCACGATACTGCCATGTCAGCGTGTGTGATCATGCCTGCGCAGCTCCCAACCTTTTTGCCTGGCTATGGAGTGCAAGCCATGGCCACGGCATTCTCTGGCTTTCAGCAAGGGGCCATGGAAGCTGAAGCTCAAGAAGTCAGGCCGCTCTCTTTAAGAGTACTTGTCGCGCCTAGTTGTCCTCCAAAAAAGTATAACTTTGCAATGTCTGAAGAGACCTGCAGCCCCAAAGTCTTAAGTGCCTGGCGGAGACGGCACCGGCTCCGTCATCTTCTCCCTCCCAGGGTCCAAAAAAAAAAACGCAGACTGAAGGGCTTACACCCTCGTGCCGCGGCTTGTGAATCCGAGTTCGGGCTCCGAGGGCCTTCGCGAAATCGGAGTTCGGGCTCTCGGAACGACGCGGAACCCCAGCTTAAGCCTTTGGTGTGTTGACCACATCCTGCCTACAACACTGATACTCCTGCTCCAGAGGTGGTGGCCCTGCGCCTGCCCTTCCCTTCCCTAAAGAACCGCGTCAAGCTTTCCCACGCCCTCCCCCCGACTATTCAATCCCCTGCGGAAGAGAAAGCTGAGTAACGAAACACGCCCATGCACAGCGCAGGTCCCGGGGCTCTATCCCTTACTCTCAATTTTTGCGCAAAGGACCGAGGCCTCCGAACCCAAACGCTTCACCGAACAGTCTTTATACACCGGGACCTGGCAGAGCTCCATGAGCACGCCAACCACATGCTGGCCAAAGGGCTTGCATGCCTCAGCTGGTGCTCAGCTCGCACTCTGCGTAGGACAGGAGCAGGCCACGTTCAGGCACCTCCTGTGAAATCATCCGACATAAGCCCAAACCTCAAAAGAAGTTAAGCAAAGGAATATGCAAGAACAGAAACCCCAGGAAAGCGCGCCCACAAACTACAGCAATGCATCCGGCCTCCGGCAGTTCCGTCGGAGCCAGGTCACTTCGGGAGGTCACGAAGTTGCCCTGAGAGGCTGCTGGGCTTTACGCAGAAGAGGGCTCAGAGATGTTCAAGATGCCGCTCTTTGTGTTTGAAAAACGACCATTCATGTACAGCGCCTTCTCTGCCACCTAGAACAAGCAATTCTAGCTAGCATCTCAGCCAAGTTACAAAGAGAACATCTAAAACATGCTCTTGGAAAGTTGAACTTCGTCATATGACATGATATCATACTCACGCAATCCCCTTGTATACACGTTGAACATATGAGTATGACAGCCATACGATAACGATAGAATGTCATATTATTCTCTCAATGCAAAATGGTATCTCTCATTATTGGACCAAAAATGACCGACAAAAACTCTATTTGGGCAGAGGAGACTGCATCCACATCAAAAGTATAACATAGGAAAACGACCGCGGAAGTTACTATCCACACAGGCGAACGCAACTTCACAATACAGTGCTGGTACGACATAAGACGTGTGCATGTGTGTACCGGAATGGATTCATCGAACCAACTGTGGGGCAGCCGCTCGGTAGTCGAAGGCCACTCCGTTGTGAAGTTGCCCCAGAAGTGGGGACCTACCGAGATATGCTCCCGAGACTTGCTGTGACGGCCGATGGGGAACTCCCGCTCGGACTCCTAGTGATGCAAATGCGGGGGTGTACGAAAACAAGGGAACCCTAAAACAGACCCCAAATACCCAAACTCATATCGTAAAACCCCCAAATTGAACAGAGGTGCCTGTCGGTGGAGTAGCCGACTTGAAGCTTCGCATCCTCGCCCTCTTCAAGAACCTGCGCTGCATTCAGGACATGGAGGCCCCTGCACGCACATGAGTCGTCACGCGATAGCTCGACCATGGCGCATGACTCAGTTCATCGTGGGAAGCTCAGCATGGCTTCTCCAGCACCACAACAAGGGCCTACCATGCATGAAAAGTAAGGGTATGCCCACAAGCACGGATCGCGCTCCAGTTGTTCTTGCACGCAACAGCTCTGTGTCTGTCGATGTATATACACACACTGACTTGTGCAGTCCTCCCTTTCCAGCACTTTCAACTTCTTCGGCATAGGCAGCTGGCTCAGTTGCCCCCTCACTCATGCCGTAAAGGTAACTTCTGGAGATGCCATGTGCAACTTTGGCAACGCTGCACAGGAGCCTAAGGGTAAAGTGTCTCAGGCGCGTCAGTCCGCAGCCTCACCGCAGTTGGTTGCAGAGGTCGTCAGAAACTCCACAAAGAGGACCGAAACGAATCCCAGGAAGGCTCCAAAAGAGGCTCAAAAGCACTTGCGACTGCCTCGAAGGCGTGGTCTCCGTCGAGCCCGACCTTTCAACTGCAGCGACCGCACAAGAAGAATGACAGGGCGCGGTAGGGACCCAAGGAACGAATCGAGGATTGAACTGCAAGCTACTTACACGCCAAGGCCAAGGCTCTAGAAAATCCAAAACCCAGCTTGGAACTCTCCGCGGTTTGGATTGATGTGTTGGGGTCTAGGGATGGGCTTAAGGTCGGGTTGATCCTGCCAAGTTGCGGCCCTTGAACGGTGCGTCACTGCCGATGGGTGGACAATGCTGCAAGTGTAACGCAAACCTCCAAGGCCAGACCCCTGAGCAACATAAACCCTTCATAAACCTTACTGGCACCACAGGCAAGAACCCTCGACGCTAAAAGTCTACGTCGCAGTAGGCAAGTGACTCACCGGGGTATGAATTGGGCAGCTGCAACGTTTTGCCCTCAAACGACACAGACACACCCTCAAGCTTTCAAGTACAACCCTCAAAGCCCCCTGCCTAAACCCTAAACCCTAATCCCTACGCCCCCTTAAAGCCTGAACCCTAAAGTAGTGAAAACCCTTTAGGCCCCCCCCCCCCCGCCTCGGGCACCCCAGCAGCTTTGGCCGGAGGCTCAGCAGGGCCCACCTGGCCAGCTTGTGTCAGCTTCGGCCGTAAGGCTGTAAAGGCTTATAGGGCTTGGGGCTTAGGGTGGCGGCGGCTATCATGGTGGGACTCAGAGAATCGAAAGAGAGAACGTGCGCATGGTGCACAAACTGAAAAACAGACAGGCAGACGGTCAGACGACTAGACGATCAGACAGTCAGACGGTCAGACTCCACACTGCTGTTTCGCACAACCCGTGCTCACAGACATCTACTGCCACTTCCATGCACTTGGCCTGGAGCGTTCGTTGGAGTCCCAAGTTGCAATAAAAAAACCGTCAACGCCAAGCCGGGTCCACCAAGGCACCATCGTCAAACAGCTCGGTTAACTGGATGGCCTGGGGAAGCACGGTGTTGAGGGTAAATTCGAAGAGGCGTGCTTTTGGCTCCTCCAAGGAGTTTCATAGGAAGCTCTGGTAAACGGCCTCCGGGAGCCGGAAAACAACCTGCCGCCCCCCTCCCCCCCCCGCACATAGAGGTTCCTCAGCCACCTGTTCTAAAGAAAAAGCGCAACTGCATTTGACAATGACTTTGCAAGCGATATTATGGCTCGCGGAGAATCTTCATCTACCGCATGAAAGGGCTATCCATACCACCTCCACATAAGCTGATGGGGCCCGTCCTCGGAAAGGAGCTGCGCCATGTTCTCGCGCAGTGCCAAGCTGTCTCTAAGTAGCCGCAAATTGGCCTAGCCGATGCTGAGGATGTGCTGGTTGGGTGCGCGTCTGAATGCTTTACCCAAACTCATGCACGAAACTATGAAGCCCGCTGATGTGGCCTCCGAGCCACCACCAAGGCATGCAGGCCTCACGCTGCAATAAGCCGCCATGTTCTCCACAAGCAAGGTACAGTAGAGACGACTGAACTAACCGCGGCTGAGGCAGGAGGTCGCGACCAGTCACGACGTACTCTTGCGCAGCTTGCAATCACCTGTCTCGGTGCCCAGCTTTGACACCGCCACGACGCGTTCCCGCCTCAGCGACACTGAGCAAGGCAAGAAACCAGGCAGACGTTCACGCTCTCGTACTCATCAGGAACTGAAGAGCTGGTGTTTTCTCTGATCGGCCCCATATCGGGGGAAGCTGCAATTGTATCTACCAGGTCACACCCCATGCCCCTCTTCCACTGACGGGCCACACGCAGGCCTTTGAACTCAAAATTGTTTGAGCTTAAAATCCAACAATCCTGCAAGACTAAGACGTTGATTGCTATACCACCTGCCCCAGTTGAGCTGCCTGCATTTGCAGCATCGCTGCTGCAAGCCGCCTGGCCTGCACGTCGTGCGGGTCGGACATGTGAGCGGCATTGGGGGTCTTAAAGTGCAGGTTGCAAAAACCCTCACGCATCAAAAAACCGAAACAGGCACTCAAACCGAAAAGCCTGCACCAATCCGCACCAACTTGCATGGCATCATCATGAGATAAACAGCTTTAAAAAAAAAAAACAAACTAATAAACCATAACACCTCAAACGGTTTATCAACGGCCTACGAACCCTAAACCCAAAATCCTTAAGATTCTATCAGCCATCTTGGTGAGGTGATATGTGTTTTTGGTGTCCTGTTCGGTGTTTTTGGTGCCTGATGGTTGCGAACTGCAACTGCTGTCCCTGCAGCTGGCTTGAACGCATCTCCATGCGATCTTCTAAAGACAAACAGCGAATATTGGTTTAGGGTTTAGGATGAAGGAGGTCACACGTACTGCCCTAGAAACTAATTGTAAGATCCCATTTACAACTATCATGTTCAGCCCTAAAGGGGCGAAACTCAAAATTCTACCCTAAACCCTAAACCCTAAACCCTAAAACCTAAAACCTAAACTATAAGCCCTAGGAAGCCGAAGCCTCGCTGGCCTCGTTGGCCAGGTCTGCAGCGAGCTCATGCGCAGCGACGTCGGCCATCGCCGCCGAGATGGACAGGCCGCGATGCTTTTGGAGTTTCGGCCAAAATCCTAAGGCCGAATACGGTTTAGGGTTTAGGGTTTAGGGTTGAGGGTTGAGGGTTGAGGGTTTAGGGTTTAGGGTTTAGGGTTTGCCCTTAGCCCGAAGGATCATTGTTCCAGGCTTCGTCGGGAAGTTTCAGGGAGTTTCGCTCTTCACACTTTCGAGGCAGCTGCAGCCTGCAATCATGCGCGCATGTTTGCGCAAGTCTGTCACACTGTTGCAGCTGTCCTGAACTCGACTCTCCGGCATGATGACTTGCGTACACAGCGAAATGCAGCAAGTTGTTTACATGCGCTAATCCCCACAACCGCTTTGAGAACTGCGTCACAACGAGAGCATGCCGCCATTGTCCGATCCTTTTCGGATGCAACCCTCAGACACAATCAGCCAGGCCACACGTGCAAACTCGCAACGCAGCGCCTGGACTTCAAAGAAGTACCTCCCCGCCTGCAGAAGGAACACAGGAATGCGCGTCAGTGTCAACCTTACAAAATGATTTCTTCGCATCTCTAAAAGCATCTCGATATACTCCCTCTTAATCTAATCTCAAAACAAGGGTTCACTGGAGGTGCAAGTCTCGCTGGGAAAGCATCTCCAGGCCTTGGCCCCGGTGTCAGCCCGCACAGCCGATCGAAGGCTCCTCTTCGACAGAAGTGGATTGGGGTGATGAAAGGTTTGAAAAACAAAAAGCCTTTCTCTAAGTTCATAAGCTCATGAAGGTCAGACTCTGTGTAGCCTTCAGGGCCTCTGGGGGGCATGATGTGAGATCGGCAAGAAGCCTAGTTTTATAGGCCACTTTGCAGAGCTCTGGCCACTTGGGGTTTCCGCATCTTGCTGGCCTCATCTTTGTTTCTCGTACGAGTACCATGCAAGTTGACTTAGGGTTGTCAAGGAGTTCAAAGAGTTAGAGCATCACCTGTCAACAAGGTCTTCGCAGCTGCCTGAATACGCCCTGCGACAACGACGAAACCACCCTGGCCAGCGGAGAACTTTTGAATTTTTCGGGGCAAGACAAGGAGACTCTCGTTGCCGCCACGAACACAACTGCGAGACCCAAACAGCCAACATATCTTTGAACATGGCTCAAGCGTGAGGGGAGCTGCGTGCCCAAAAAAAGGGAGGTTACTTGCAGGTCGGCAACCCTTCTTTTTGCTCATGGCCAGTCGCAATTGAGATCAGGATGTTCACCTCCTCCTGCTCAGAGGGCGCTTCGCAAACAAAAAAAGGACGAGTGCTTCTTCGACAGGCCCCTCTCAAGCATGCTAAGCTGGAAGCGCGCTGCTAAACCCTAAACCCTAAACCCCAAACCCTAAAACCCTAACATCTTCTGACAGACCCCGTCGCCTGGCTCAGTGGTCGGATGCCACCGGGCTCGCTCCTCGGTACCCCGCAACTAAAAAAAGGGGCCAAAGGCCTGGAACCTGCTTGCTGAAGCCCCAGGTTGTGGGGCATGTAGGAGCAATGTACCATAATGTACCCAAACATGGGCCTCGCTGAAGCCTTGACTCCACTGCGCCGCACATGAAGCTTCTTCCCTGCACGGTTTTGCCACGGCATGCTTCTGAATTCCTGAATTCTGGAGCCTCTGAACGGGGCCGTTAATATTGCCCATTTGGGATGTTCCCCCTTGTACCAACAGTCCTTAGTAGGCATTATATTCGGGGGTACTATAATCCCTATTAAGGGCTGTTCGTATAAGGGGGAACCTCCCAACTGCCCACCATTGCCCCGTGCACTTGAAAGCTCAAGGGGCAGATCCGAGCCATGCAGGGACAGCGGGCCCCAGCTGACGCAGCAAATCTCGCGAGGGGCAGCACCCACCTGCAGAGCGTCTTGGGCCGCCCATAAGATCAGATAAGGCAAGATAAAATAAGAAAACAAAGGAAATGCATAATAATGTAAGAAGATGAATATGATATGATGTAACTCTATAAAACATGTATCTATATTTAGAGTCTGTGCAATACATTAGTGTATACATACATGTTGTCTAGATATAAATATATATATATATATATATATATAAGAGCCCGCAGCCTTTCAGTCATTTGATTCAGTTCCAACCAGAATATTCTAAATACTTTGACAGACTCAAATCATGTCTACTGAATTATGTTTTACAAGCCAAATAATGCCAAACAGACCCTAAAGACTTCTCAGAGCATCTCAAAAAAATACATATATATGTATATATAAATATACATTACATACATATAAACTTTAGCCAAGCGGCTGCCAGGAGCCCCTGTCGAACTGTCGCGGCGCTCCCACCGCACAACGTCACGGCTACGATCCTCAGATGCAGCGAGGCAGTGCATGGATCGTAGGCCTTTGACCGTGCTGGGAGCAGTATGCGGTCTTAAACTTAGGGCAAGTTGTGGAAGGCAGCACTTCGAGCAGGCAAGTGCGGCCCATCAACCCACCGGGATTCCGGTTCAGGGAACTTAGGGTATCCAAGAAGTGCCACAGCGCCAACTTTCAAAGCTGGGCAGCGGCAGCACCTCGCGTGGGGCGTAGTGGGACCTGCGCGCACATGGAGAGTCCAACTGGAAGATCACGAGCCCAACACTAAAACAAACGATTCCCCACAGCAGTGAGGGTAAGCTGTACGCACGTCAAGGGCGCGCTTTGTGACCACGACACGTTTTTAAAACCTGTCACGCTTGCAGCTGCGCTCCCACACTAACGATGGCGCGCCGGCAGGATCCCTTCAACCAAAGGCTTTCGCACTGGACACGTCCCCGAGGCTGAAGTTAGGTCCCATCACGTGGAATGCAGTCTACCTGGCGGCTGCCTTCTCATCATCATGCCCTAAACATCCCTAGCTAACCACCTCTAACCGCCTCAAGAAAATAACCCCCCGAAAACCCCACCAAGCCCCAAACCATCCCCAAGCCTTGGGGGCTCGGTGCCCCAGGTTGCCACAGAGGAGCCCAGGAGGGTCCCGACATCGGGTGGCTGCGGATCCTGCTTTGGGCGTTGGGTGGCTTTGCTGTGTTGGGGGCGTTTGGGAGCGTTTAGGAGCTTAGGGGTTTTGAGGGTGGTTTGGGGTTTAGGGGTTTTGCGGTTTGAGAGTTTTAGAGTTTGGGGTTGGGGGATTCCGCGGGTTAGGGGCTTGGGTCGAGGGGCTTTACGGTAGGGTTTGGGGGCGTTCGGGTTAGGGGTTTGACAAGGTTTTGCGGCTTTGGAGGTTTCATGCTCTCAGATCCCTGAACCCTGCGCCAACCTCGGCAACAATGACTTCGTCATTTTGGGCATCCGTCAGGTCCTGCCAAGTTCAGTAAGACAATTTCGTGCGACTACCGGACATTGCTCATCGTCGCCCACTCATTGCAACGCGGAAACCTGCCACCACTTTACTACCACTCCGCAATGGTTTAGTAGGTTTTTATTCATGATGGGCCTCCACCAGCAGCGGTTCAGCCACACCGTCGTATGGCGCCTTCGTCTCCAGCACGGCCAGCTGATAGGATGATGGCCGTTGGCGCAGCCTCCAGCATTTTGTCAGAGCAGTCTGTGTTCCGATTGAATGCTATCTCACAAAGTTCGACACAAAACATTTGTCAGCGGGTGCGATATAACCGCCACAGGCAATTGTAGACTGCAAAACAAGCCCTCACACAGGCTGTGCCATTGTGCCTCACCATGAAAGTTGACGGAGGCAACTTTGCACCTGATCGGGGCACCCACGGTGGGAAACCATTGCGCTATTCTGAAGGGCACAAACGACCACAGCCAGGCACTGACAAGCGCGTTGAAGCAAACCGCCAGCTGCTAACACGGGTGATTCTCACATCTTGTGGTTTAGCATTGTCAGCATCCCGCCTTCGCAAGTGAGGGCAGCTCTCAACGCAGCATGGTTCGTCAGAACCTCATCCCCACATGCAAAAAGCGATGACAAGCCTCCATCACTGAGTTCTTCGAACTGAAAGCATGGAATTGCCCTGGTCCGCTCCGAGGCACCACGAGGCCCGAGGAGTGTAGGTCCACGGGCATCGGCAGCGGCCGAGCTATGAGCGACGGGTCCGGCCTTGCTCCATCGAAATCTCAAGATACACGGGGTTAAGGTTCGCTTGAGGATGTTCAATCATGCTTGGGGTTTAGAGTTTAGGGTTTAAGGATGTTTGGGCTGAGTCCAACTGGCGTGGTAAAGCTCGAAACATCTCGAAGCTTCGTCGTGTGCTTGATAACTCGATGCTTCTTGATTTCGGTCAAGCTGCAAGAGCTGCGAATAGGTCGGCCGCTTCAAAGGGTCGCCCTCAGTCAGAGCAAATCCTGTGGCAAGGACGCCGTGCGTGCATCTAATAACTGGTTCAGCATGTGATTCATGAGCACCATCCACGTGCCTGCAGGTTTGTGAGCCACGAAGGAGACACCGGTGATCTCGGTCAGCGGATGGCCATTGACAGTGATCTCGTGCCCGTCCTGCAGACTTGCTCACCCTAATCTGTCCTACTCCTAGGACCTCATGCATGCGGTCCAGAAAGTACAAATTAAGCAAACTCCACATACATGATGTCCGTACTACGTTACTCAGTACGTTGCGTAAGGATGATTAAGGATGGCTACCCCTTCCGTCAGGACTCTCTTCTGTTCCTGCCTCGATCCACCGATCTCGCTTCTGGATCTGACCATCCACCGTCACCCGGGACCTGTTGTGTGTTTAAGCTTCGGGCTTGAGGGCAAGCCCTGACATAGTCTGCCCACTGCTCAATGCAGACCAGTCAGCCTTTTGGTTTGGGTGTGGGACGAAAACTTTTCGTACAGGGTCGACTTGTTGAGACAAGTCATGTGCTCAAGGGAGGCTGAGGATGCAATCATCACAGCAGCTGCTGCAGCTGACAGAGAGCTAGCAAAAGCTTACAAAATCTCACAGCATCCTATAACACCAAACAACTATCCGTCATTCCTGGCACAAGTATGAGGCCTCTGCACCAGGGCCAGTGCGTCCTGCGGAGTGTCATGGCAAGAGGCCCTTATGGTTCTGTACCACTGTGTGGTTCTGTTTGCACTTCGAAAAACACCCGTGCCGATTTTTGCCGAGCGTCTTGGGCGTTGAGCCCCAAAGCAGCCTGCAAGAGTTTCTGCAGGCGCTGCGGTCCTGCGAAGGCCAGTTGCGTAGAGCATGTGCACGCATGGGCAAGCTAGCGCGCACCAGCTTCCAGCAGCTTCAGTGATTCTTCGAAAAGAACCACCCCCACCCCCCCCCCCCCCCCCCCCCCCCGCCGCCAAAAAAAACAAGGAGGCGAGGACGCAAGCTGGTTTCGTAGCGCGTACTGTGATGGGCGCGATGGCCTGATGTGCACGGCAGGGGAGCCGCAGGAGCCGCGGGAGGCGGTCTCAGCAGCCCCGGAATCGACAGCGAGGCCGGAGGAAGCGGCTTCCTTATTCGGGGGGGATACGACTGAGGGGTATTCAGGGGTTTTAGGCTCCGCTATAAGACTGTAGTAGGGTATTTAGGGCCGAGGCAAAGCAGAAGTCTTGTGACTTCGTGACTTCCCTGTGGAGTGTCCTGTACCTGTACGTTCCTGTTTGGTCGTGGTCCCGTTGGTCATCGCGAGAGGCATTCTATAAGAGTGATGAGATGAGCGTCAGCGATCACCAGCACAAAGCCCGACATGCCAGCAGCGATTGAACTTCACAGCATACACTGAAACTACAGTCGCACAGCTCGACAACTGGCACGGCAAATGAGCCCGGCTTGTTGTTCAGCCTGCCCCGTGCTCTTTTTAAAACCCTAGCCCCTAAGGCCGCCCTAAACACAAGCCTCATGATCTCCCAATGCTTGAATGTTTCAAGCCGCATATCCACATGTCATGAGAGCTGTCGGCCCAGGAGCTGGAAACCCCAAACGGGCTGCCAGGCGAGGCTGCCGTTTTCGGGCCAGCGCGCCCGATTCAGACTTGTCCAGGTCAGCTGGTGGACGCGGCGGTAAGGCCTGGACAGGGAAAGGATCATCATTGCCATCATCATCAAGGATAAATAACATCAAGGATAAAGAACACGACCATAAGCCACCAGCTTTGGGCATGCCAGAAATGGACGTGAAAATCTGCCGAGGCTTCGGGCCGTAGGTGTATGGGCAGTAAAGCAAAGTACCCCCCGTTCGGGCCGCCCCTACTACCTCCTGCCTACCCTTTCTGCTTTCCACATGTGTTTGCCCCTCTTGATGAATAAGCTCCCCCCTCACTCCCCCGGTTTCTGCTGCCCCCCTTTCTGGAAGCGGCGACCTTGCCTCAAAACGGCTTTAAAATTATGGAGAGGGATGACCCAAATTCCGTACTCAGTTCATGGTGTGAGATGGGGCTGCCACACAAGCATGCCTTCTAAATCTGCAGGACTGTTGCAAAAGGCAGCACATCCGACGTGTAAGTTTGCATCACACGGTCATGTCAGTACATTGCGAACCCTCGCGAAACTTCGGAATTCTCTGCAAGCACACCGGTTTCGCCAGTACAGTTCACCAGTATAGATCTGCAGAGAGTCTGTGCTTTTTGGATCCTGCTTTCTCAGCGTGCCGTGTGCAGGGACCTAGTCGAAGGATCCGAATTCGGACAATTAGATGGAGTATTAAAGTACTCACGCCCAGAACCGGGGGCCCCCGCGACGTGTCCCAGCGCCGCTGGCACCGCAGGGTCCACAGAGCAGGCGGCTTGGCGGCTGCTTGGCGCAGCGCGGACCAGGATGACGTTGTCATGTTGCACGGTGCGGGATTCGCGATTTAGGGTTTAGGGATTAGGGTTCAGGGCTGGCTTCCGAAATGGTTTCGGAACTAACCACCTCTAAGGCGGCAGGGGCAGCATCAAACTCCTTACTTGGGCTTGATCTAGGCGATGCTCCAGATCGCCCCATGCAATGTTACAACCATTCATGAGCATGTGCTGGCATTTAGAGCCTTCGGGACTTGCGGGGTCCGAGGTTTCTTGAGCTACATGGCTTGCAGCCTAGCAGGCACATTTGCAAGAACCTTCTATCTGCCCAGGACACAAACTTTGCCAATCTCAAACCCTAAACCCGAGAATACCAAAGCGCTAAACGTGCTGACTCCCCCTCCGGGGTTAGAGGAGTCCACTCAAGCGAGCCAGCGGAGCCCAGAACTGGAGAAGAAAACGTCCAATGTCGAGTCAGCGGGGTTCAGGCGCACCTACCGCTCAGCTATAGCCGCCAGCCTTTCCGAGTTGTTTTGTGGACCCGCACCCTTGTCATCAACTTGCGAGGGAAACAACCTAAGATCCAAGCCTACGAATGCTTTTGCCAGTCTCACCGGGCCAGCGTTTTCTACGAGTCCCCACCACAATGGCATGTCCAGGCTGCTTGCCCACGCCTCGTGGCTGATGCTGGCACCTGAAGGCTTGGTACGAAGCTGCGCGAAACGCCCACGCGTCAAACGATACATACCGTGCGGTGCGAGATCGATCCCCCGCCAGCCTTCGGGGCTCTTCTCTATGCTGTCATCTTGCCTCATCATGAAGGAAGGACATTTCAGAATTGCTCAGAACCACGTATCCATTTTGAAGCAATGCAATCTCAACGTCAAGAGATCTGGGCCGTGGGCAGCGCGACCATGGCTTGCAAGAATCCAGATGTGTGTCAACGCCCGCTTCAGCTCGTTTGGTCGGTTATCTACTTTTATACGGTGCCTAAGAATCCAGCAGCCATTTGGGGCGTGTCTTGGCAGGCGTTTAGGCCAGGCCTCGCGCCTTGGAGTTGCGGTTTGGTTCTTATGCCGGCTCTGCCTATGGCCTTGCTGCATGTGCAGACACACATATTTTGGATGCGGTCCATGTCCGGTGCTATGTACTGACAGCTGTAAGTCCCAATTGCCGCAGTCAGATGGCGCTTGCACGCGGAGAGAGCTGGCATCCCTGAACAAGAGCACATGCACTCGGGCACCCGCTGATGGTGACATGCTCACTGAGTGTAGAGGACTGCTTGGGCAAGAAGTGCACGTCTGGCATCTTGACACTGGAAGGCTTGGAAGCCATGTCCCTGTTGATACCTTTTTCTTTTGTCCACCCCTTGAAAAAACTCGCACAAAGAAACCCCTTTGCAACAAGCTCCGCCGAATCATGGCCTCAAGGACCATCACGAAACCCTGAACTGAACACCAAGCCCCTGCACGCGCCAGACCGGTTTCCACGCACGCCATCGAAGCTTGGAGCTTCAGTCCTCGAAATCCATGTCAATTTCCTTGGGAAGTCGCTCCGAGAGTTCAGATGCGGGTCCAGGCATTGCGGCTTGAGATTTGGTGTGCTCCCGCCCCCCCCCCCTCCCCCCCCCACCTCGCTGCCAACGTCGCTATCATCATCGTGCACAGGCTGCTGTGCCTGGCAGACACGCCACTCGCAACTTCGAACGGCTCAGAACCATGCCAGGATACCACCAAGGGAAGGTTGGGAGCACAAATCTGCATAGCGACAAGAAAACGATGGTAACGAGGTGCTGCGCCGCCATGCAAAGCCATGCCTGAACAACCCTAAAAAAAGTCAGATCCCTCGCGAGCTCGGCTTCCTTGTGCATGTTGAAGGCTCAGGGGCAGCTTAGGGCGGCTTCGGGCAGTTCAGGGTTGAGGGTTCTTGGGGGGGGGGGGGGGTGAGCTTCCCCCACCCCGGTCCCTCCAAGTCGTAAGCTGGTTTCGGGGAATCTCGGAGGGGTGTTATCATGCGTTCTCCTTATCAAGAGGGTAGCCCCCGAAAAGAATGTTCGTGCGCCTGCTTGGCGACGTAGTTCACTTCCTTCTCGAACTCAAAGCCTTGTTTGCCAGGCGTTCTAGGGGGTTTTGAGGGTTTCAGGGTTCCGGTTGGTCTTGCGCGGCGTCTGTTTCTGTTGCGTGTTTGCCTCCGCTGCCACTAGGTTCAACTCGGATCCGTCATTGGAAGTCTGCCGTGGCAGGCACCGCAGACAGCAATAGAGACAACTCTGAAACGTACGCGGTGCAATGAACATGTCAAGAATGTCAACCGGTGCTGAACGCTGAGATTCCAACCAGCGTAGGCTTCGCATGCCAAGGAGAGCCTAGGAGCAGTCGAAGCCCATGACGCCACAAGCACACAAGCCAGAAAACCGAAACTGCAAACAGCCCGAGCCTACTCAATCCTACTCACGTGGTCAAACTCTACAGCTTCAACTGCTCTGTGTACGTGTGCAAAGATTACCAGGCATAACTCCGAAACCTGCAAGCAGCGCCTGATCCGGCATTTGCCCGCCAGGGGCACGCGGAAGCGGACGTTGGCAACGACCTTAAATTGAGCGCAGGCCGCCCCGGCAAAGGATTGGATCCGGGCCCCTGGGCAACCAGCCTCGCGAGAGGTGTCGGTGATCCGGCTGCACCTGGGGGCAGGGCGGAGGCTGGAGGTACACTCCAACGAGGCGTCTGCAGTAGAAGAACAACCCCCAGCACCGGTACTGACATCCATGGACCCCGTGTGATACTGCATGGACTCCCTCAGGTGAGAACGAAGCCGGCTTTTGCATGATTTTCCAGAGTAAATTCCGTGAAGATAATCAAAGACAGACAAAGATGGGCCTTTAAATAAGCCCTTTCACCTCCATTAGACTTCTATTGATCATTCACTCTGTTCTCTAAGTTGCTTCGTGCCCTTTTAAAGATAATCAAAGTAAAGTGAAAGGGCACGATGTTATAACTATTTAGTGAAGATAGTACTAATAATAAAAGGGCTTGCGAAGCCCACTCCTTTGCTCACTTAATTATATTGCCTCCTCCTACGGTCCCCTGCAGCATGAAACAGGCCGAGGCGGTGCACGCTGGCTTTGATGCACCATCTTTTCTGGGCTGCCAGGCACGCTGGACCCGCTCTTGCCCTTCCCAGGAAGTCGGAAGGTTAACCACCACGCCTCTGAGACCTGTCCGTTGGATCCAGAGTTTTGTTTAGGATCTGGGATTCCCTTTGAGGGTATCCCATAAGGGGCACCATAAAAACAGGCACCCCCAAAAGCGACCTAGTTCAAGGAACTGGGAGGCTTGCTTTATGTTCAGGAGTCCGTGGTGGAGGGGTTGGGGGGGTTTGTTCGCGCTTCCAGGAATACGCACCGCTTTTGGGATTTCCGAGAACTCACGGGGCCGATGGGGCAAGATGGGGCGAACGTGCTGCTTCGGAGAATCGGCATTCTTCCGAAATTCAATGCCTTCTTGGAATGGTGAGTTGCCTCTAGTTGCGGAACTTCTCAATTTCTGCACTTGCCACAGAGGGAGGCCACAACTCATCACCAGAAAGCCCTAGATATGCCACAAAAAGGCCGTACATCCCAAAACTCCTAAGAGTCATGCTGCTACCCCCGCGATCGTCGCACTCTGCCGCGCCTTTCCTGGGAAGTGCGGCGCATGGGCGGCACCAATCGCCTACAAACGCTCAGGATTTCGAAGCTCAGGACACGGGGTTCGGAGAGAAACGGCAACAATGCTTCCTCAACAGGAGAACAGGCACGGAGGGTGGACAGTGGTGGACACCACACTCGTGAGCAGCGCATACCCAGTAGTACGCTGCCAAAGTTTGAGCTGGCAAAGTCGGGCCTCCCCCTCTCTAAGATTGGCCCGGAGAAGCCTGGCTCAGACATGCAACGCAGATCAAAGCAGCCACACTTTAAAGGTTCTGACAGAAGGATCGGAGCAAAGCCCAAATTTAAATACCGCAATCAAGTCTTCATGCACCTCCAAACGTTGCAGACACGGTGCAAAGGTTCAACATGCTCAACTCAGTCGCCGGAAGACTTTATCTCCAGGGTCGCAATGTCGCCGACACAGATCTCGTCCTCGCCGTGCACGAAGACGTGAGCATCCTGCTGTAGTCTGCAGTCCAAGGTTTCTCGCGGCCCTCGTCCGTCGCTGAGTCTACTGCCTTCGGGGCCCTCTTCCGTCGCCGGGTTCGGGCTCTAAAAGTTTCATGGTTCCGACGCAGACAGGTGCGACCAGGCTGTTTGGTGGACCCACAGCATCAGCTCAAATGCACGGTTTTGCAGTGAGCCAATGTTGCCGGTGATGCTCCTGGATCTGCATCCGTGGCACCACAGCAACAAACTCCTCGATGTCCTTGCCAGACACAACAAGCCACGGTGCCAGGGGCCCTGAACCTTGTTTGAGGGTAGAATTCGGGGTCACTTACAGCATTCAAGCTGGGGAGACCTAAACAAGCTTGAAACCGTCTCTCCGGCTCCTGCTTTCCTTCCTAATCTTCCTATGGCTTTCAGAAGGCTTGAACCGAAACTTTCTGGAAAGGCCCGGACCGCCAGCTGCGAAGGACTGAGGCCGAGCTCGGGGGCCTCAAGGGCCGCGCGCCGCTCCTGGGCATCGTTGCCGGGGAGCGGAGATTTGGGAGGAGGTTTGAGGGTTGGACGGCTTAGGGCTGCAACACGGCTTTGGGATAAGCCTTACTCACACGGCGTCAGGTCTCCCATCTACGCCGACTCTAGGCCCCGAGCGACGAAAGCCTCCAAAGGTTCTTGCACTAAACATCCCTACGATAAATCCCACAGTCAATCCTACTAGTACTGATCCTACTGGTACTAGAATTAAACAACTAAGTAGCGAAACGTGAGGGCCCTTCCTCAAGTATCCTCAGGAGTTGCCTCTGATGGCATCTCCACGAATCCCGACAGCGTGGAGTACTTCTTCTGCCGCTTTTGCCAGAGCCTTCGAATTCTCGGGGTTCAAACAAAAGGGGTCACAAGGTTTTGCGTTTAGGGCTCGGGGTGTCGAGTGTGGGGTTTAGGTTGTGGGCTGCAGGGTTCAGACTGGGTTCCGGGCCGTTAGGAGCTCATTTCCCTGACATCAAGTGCTGGGGCTGCAGCTTGATCTGCTCGCTGCTGAAGTGCGGAATCCTGGCAAGAGTCGCACCTAGGGGCACCTCTCTGCTCACATGGCTCTTCCTCGCTTCTGGCACACCTAGGGGCAAAAGGCACTTCGGCTCCCCTCATATGTGCTGCCATCAAGGCGAAGTTCGTTCTTGCAAGGGAGGCTTTAGGGGACCGGGTTGGCACCCCTGTTTGAGGTCCACGCCCTTTTTCTCTCTCTTTTCTGTCACTTTTATCTACTTACCTTTCTTTCCTGTTTTCCTTCTCGTTCTATCCTTCTGTCTTACTTTCGTAGGGCTAGGAAGTCACCCTCCAGGCACATTTGTGCTTCGGTTTGGGGTCTTGTGCGCACTTTAGGACGACAGGCGAAGGGCCCCCAGCAGTTGTGATAATTCTCGCTAACTGATTTTTGCCACTTGCCCCGCCTATCTGACAGCGGAAACCTATAATATGTGTAGCTTGCCCCACTGCCCCACTCCTTGTTACCCCACTTGCCCCAGCCCCTCCTCAACCCACAGAATCCACACAAACCGCAACCCCTGAACACCAAGCTCTCCAGAACAGAGCCCCGAACACCTACAGTAGGCAGCGCATTCCAGATGGGGCACTGTGAGAGCACGGAGCCCGGTTTGCTGGCGGCCGCCGGCTCGATGGCCTCAGCTGTTGCAGGCCCAGCTTGGGAACTTGCAATGCCCACATCATCGTACGTCCGAAATTCTTGGAAAGCTGTCGCTGGCCTGCACGAGACCGCGGTGGAAGTCCAGGCAGCTGCTTGCGCCATCTGCCTGGCCTCAGCTAAGCGCCCATCATGCCAATCAATCTCAAGGCTTAGAAGCTCAGATCCAAAGTCAGAGTGGTTGAGGACTCATCGGACTCCTCACAACGGCATATCTTGGACAGGGAACCGTGGGACGCAGCCTCCTTCAGGAGAAATCGGCTGGCCACCTGGCATCGTGCCAAGCAATGCTAAAGCGGGTAGGGTGTGGGCACATCCCGGCCTGCCACTGCTTGAGCGCCCCATCCAATTCCCGAGCCCGCTCCCGAAGAAGATCCGTTCGCCGGAGGATGTGCCCCCAAAAAAGCGTCTCCTTGCAGGCAAGAACGAGCGCGTCGTCAAGCAGTAAGTGGTCAGGTCCATTCAGATCTCTAGATGATGGTCCCTACAGTACAGTGGGGCCGTTAGATGTTCAAGGTACCAACCCTGCAAAAAGAATGACCCTACAGTGATCCTACAGATGGACCACAACTCCGAAAAAACTGACCAAGTCGGCCCAAGCGGCTGCTCGCTGCAGAGCCAGGGCATCTTCTGCCTTGCACCGACGGGCAAGCGAAGAAGCTACGGCGGCTACTTCGGGTACTTGAAGCTTCATGTAACCATTCAGCTAGTTTTTCGACTTTTGAAATTGGAAACTACCCATGAAGCTTCTGGCGCAGGCACAAGGACCGCCAGTGTTCAGTGTCCACCCCACCTCGCCATTCTCGGCGCCGCGCTTCGCTCTTGAGAAGCTCGCACCGGCGGCTTGCAACCTGGTGACAGAAGCCATATGGGTCTCTTAAAGGAGCCGTTGTTTCCGGGGCAAAAACATGTGCAGTGTATGTATGTGTGGGGCGTCTTGTTGTAGGGTATATAAAGGGCTTATAGCGGGCCTTTTAGGGCTTACACTGTAGAATATTCCAATGCTTTAGGGGCGTACAGGGCTTGCGTGCTGGGTTTTCGTTGACTTATATTTCTATTTACGATTTTGTTTCGAGGATGTACAGGGCTGTAGGGCTTCTAGGGCTTCTAGGGCTTCTAGGGCTTCTGGGGCTTCTAGGGCTTCTGGGGCTTTTAGGGCTTCTAGGGCTTCTAGGGCTTCTAGGGCTTCTAGGGCTCCTAGGGTTATTCCCCAAGCAGTGCGGTAGGGTGAGGCACTAAGGGGATCCTCCTGCTCCGGTGCCAGAAGTGCATTCGCGCGCAGGCCTCCATCATTTTCAGGTTGAGGCAACTCTAAGGGTAGTTCGATGGTTATATCCGCCGAGGCCTCGGGCCGGAGGTGCAAAGGTCTTGGTTTTTGCCTCAAATGGGTACCCCCCAAGGAAACCGGGGTCCGCAAGCAGACGGTTCGCCAGGACCAGAAACAGTTGAAGCCCCTCCCAGCACCCCCCCCCCTCCCCCCTACCCCCCCCCCCTCCCCCCTCTTCCCTCTCCGCAGCTCAACTTGGTGTGAGCACGGCCCAACATGCATTACACGAGCCGAAGAGTCTAAGCTTGAACCTAAACCCTAAACCCTAAACCCTAAACCTTAAACCTTAAACCTTAAGCCCGAAACACTCAACCCTCAAACCTTCAACAAACCCCCCTCCCCTACCCCCCCCCCCCCCCCCCCCCCTTCCCCCCCCCCCCCCCCCCCCCCACCCCCCCTACCCCCCCCTGAGGGGCCTGGTTCAACCCGACAAGCCGAACCGTCTCTTGAACCCGAAACCCAAAAAAACCCTAAACCCCAAAGCGTGAACCTTGAGCCCTCAGCCCTCAATCCCCTCAACCCTAAACCCCAAACCATAAACCATAAACCCGGAACCCTAAACCCTAAACCCAACCCTTATTGCTTGGGGTCCAGCGACTTGGGCGCTGCGGAATCACCATGCTCACGCTGGGCCGGGCCGAGGCTTGTCGCGTAGCGTTAAAATTATATACCCCTTGTATGCCCCTTTTATACCCCAGAGGGCGGCCTGTCTGCACCTTTCCCCCTACCCCACCTCTGAACCATTTGTGGCCCTCCTGCTGCCCCCCCCCCCCCCATCCTCCCCCCCCCACCCTGAGAACACCACACTGAGTTGGCTTGCTGTCAGCACAAGCTAGATGCAGGCTCAGTCGCTCTTGGCGGAGCTCATCCAGCGGCTCCTGACCACACCGGGCTTGAAAAGGCGGCCCCTTTGAATTGCAAAACTGGCATTTTAAAGCATTAGAATGCATTAGAGTAAAGCGCCTCATTCTTGGGCTTCTCCGCCGCTGCGTAGGCCCTCAGAATAAGCTCCTGAGCCGAAATGCGCACAAAGCATGGGTATGCCCACATGACGCTACTTGCACATGCAGCTGAGTAACGGCTAAGGTTCAACACGACTGTTTGCCCACAACTCCACGCCAGACACAAACCAGAGGGATCTCCCACCTACCCCAAAACCCTCCAACGCATGCGACCCCCGCAAGCGGCTCAAACAAGCATCTGCACTCTGCAGCATTCTGCAGCCCTGCGGACACTGTGGACGCTCGGAGACCGCTCTAGCCCCACACCAAGCCTAGAGCAGAGTATGCCAAAAACTGAAACGCAATGAAGGCTCCCATGACCCGAACCTCTCCACTCGGATCTCTTCTGCCCAGCCAAAAACAGCCACAGCAAAGATGAGCCAACCAGACCGCAAGGCATGCCGCGTCCGCCGAGTCCTGCAGCTGCTTTGCGTCCAATGACGGAGAGAAGCCTTCCGCCAGGACCTGGCATCCACGCTCGAAATCGGCCAGATGGCGGCTGCTTCAAAACTACCATTTGCTTAAGAACCCCAAAAGGATAAATTAACATTCCCTATATTGCCCTTAGTAAGGGGTATTATTTTTGATTTTCCGGGGTTCTTAAGCAATTGGTAGAATAGGTGCAATTGGCTGAAGCCTCTACTGCTGAGACCGTGCCTTGTTGGTTTCTCGCGGAAGCCCGTTGTTATCAACCGACGAGGATCCCCTGCATACGCACACCAACATCTCATGTGCCGAATGACTCTGGGTGACCTACTTGTCAGTAGACCTTGTGCAAACGCCGTCCGTGAATGTCGAAGCAATAAGCGGCTCCTAACGATCTGCCTCTTGACAGACAATGAAGTGCTGTCAACTTCTGAAGCTTAGCACAGTGGCTCGCGAACGGCTTCTCCGCTTCCGAGCGGCATGCAGTAGAGCATCATCAGGGGCACCCCGATGACAAACAACAGCAGGAAAAGGACCAACACCAAGCCTTGATTCTCCTGGCATTTTCGGTGTTTATTGCGAGGTTTTTAGGGCTCAGGGAGTTTGTAGCTCAGGGTGGATGGATCCCATGTCGCGTCTGCCGCGCTCCTTGCTTATTGTGGGCAGCGCCACGTCAAGCTGGACGCGAGTAGGTCCATCGGGGTTGCCATAAGCTCCTGCTCATTGTTTCTTGCTGTGAAGGAACCCAAAAAAGTCTTTGGGGCGAGAACAGCGCAGCTAGCATCTAACAGACTCTAACACACCCCCACACTGACGGTGGCCCTCCGAGGCTGGGGCGGTAGTTGCGCTTGGCCACGGGGTCGGTAAGGGCATCATAGGCCTGAACTACAAGGTCTCAGTTTCTATGGATTCTATGGTCCATTCTCGAGCAGTTTGAGGGCTCGGGGGCTTGCGTTTCGTGTCTTGAAAAAAGACAAACCGGGACCCGGATGATGCTCAAACTCCAAGGTGGGGCCGACCTCTACTCTAGAACGTCCTCTCAAAAGCAGCACGAGGAAATCTACACCAAAACTTGGCCGGGCCTTCTTGATCAGCATGAACTTCTCCGCTGCTCCTTCTTCTTTATTCTTGTCGGGATGGTACTTGAGGGACAGCTTGTGGTAAGCCTTCCTCAGGGCACAATGATGTTAACGTCAGCAACCTGTGTTCGGATTACATGGGCTTGTGGAATATGTCAGGATATTGCCCCTAGAAGTGCGAAGACCGTGTGTACCCAAGGCTCTTGATCTGTGAGGTGGAAGTGGTCATGCCGACGTCCAAGATCTCATAGGGGTCAAAATTCTGATACCTGAGATGCGGCCCCTGACTTCAAAGCATCTTTGCCCTGCACAAGTTTGGGGTTGGTAGTCCGGGTGGTCGGATTGGATGTCTTGAACCAACTGCGCTGCTGACATTACATTGCACCCTTCATACCCTTCCACACCCCTCCGACCTTGTGCGCTGGCTGGCATCAAAGCAAAGCAAAGCAAAGCCAAGCCAAGCCGAGCCGAGCCGAGCCCAGCCGAGCTGAGCCGAGCGAAGCCAAGCCAAGCAAAGCAAAGCTGTTGTGCCGAGGCGCAAAGCACTCGTAGCCAAGACCTGTCTGACCTGACAGTTTAGCAGAGAGTGGGCTATTGGCCCCTCTCACACAAGCATTGCCACCCGGGAAGGTCTTTTTGCCACGGGACCTGAATGATGATGTAGATTAGCCAGCACCAAAGAAGCATCAAGATCACAAGCCGCCTCAGCTCGCTAAAGCTGCAAGCTCCGCATGCTAAAGCCTCACTTGCAGGCGTGGGTCCCCAAGAAACCACCGGACAGCTTCCGAGATCTCCTCAGAGCTCGCAGAGTGTAAAGCAGCCTCATGATTCCACAGATATCTGAGAAGGGCGGTCCACTACCAGTCACCACTGCCTCCGCCATTTGCAGCGAGCGTCAGCTCTTTTAGCGCCGCCTCGCGCCGTGCCTCTCAGCATCAAACGAAGGAAAAAAACTACTCTAACCGACTCTAACCCTGTGCCCGAACCTGCGACATCCTAGGTCACCCGGACCCCCAACTCTGACCCCGCCTCCATGGCCTGTGTTCGGCAGTAGCGCACGTGCGAGCCCTGCTCACTGGTCTCGGGAAAGGCCTTCGCCACCTCACAAGCATGCACCAAACGGCGTCCACCATCAGCCGTTGAGACAGTAGTTGCACTGGATCTCTTTCCTCAGGCCCATACGCCATACCGACATACGCCTTTTTCCCGCGAGCCCTTGCCGAGCCTCGGCGCGGCCTGGGAACAGCAAGTGCCACAGCACGGCAGCCGTCCAGGGAACCAGAAGGCAGCTCAGCAAGGCCAGGAAGAAGAAGAGCATCGCCTTGGGCAGAATGGAAGCAAATGGTGCATCTTACGCTGCGCGGAGCGCGGGGGCTCTCAGTAGGAAGGAACACTTCTGCCTGACAACCGTGTCCCGATGCGTCCTGACCAGTCACGGAGTCATCTCCATCAGTTGACTCGGTCTTGGATGTCTTGGCCACAGTGCACACGGGCGCCAGAAGCAGCAACCAAGTGGTCACGACCGACATGAGACCCCAGTGTCGCCGGGCTCGAGGGCCCAACTTTGTGCTACTTTGTCTCTTGCTGGAATGCGCATGATGGCGTATGCGGCATGTTGCAACAGTCGCCGCTGCTGCTAGCTTTGGTGTTGCAGCTGCTCTTGCCATCACATGTTTTTTCGAGCTCTTTGGGCACCGGCAAACGAGCAGCTCAACGTACCTACCCTGCAAAAAATATCAAACATCTCTTCGGGAATTCCCACTGCTCGGGAATGATTCGCACGGGTTGGCAACGAGCCACCGAGTCCCCTCTTGCATGTAAGCGTGTTAAGAACCAGTCGCGCCATGTAAACTTAAGATAGTGCAAGCACATCGGAGAGAAGTTTTACCATGCATCGTGCAACTATCGTGCAGCAACGGTGATTGCTCCCTCTGCCGCGCGGGAATTAGGATGACCCGTTGCCTTCTGCAAGGTCACCAAGAGCATGATTGAGCTGCACACTTTACAATACTTTACAAGGTCACCGAAGGTCAGAAAGTTTGTGTGAACTGTCCAGGTCACACAACACGCTATCCAAACATCCCGGTACGGCTGCAGCATGTGAGCCAAAGCCCCTTAGTCAAGGCTCAGCGTTTCCGTAGGGATCCTTCGACAAAATTGGCCCGCTAACAGTAGTAGCCACTGTCACGGTACTGGCTGTTGCATTCCACGAAGTGCCCATAGTCATTGCAGCAGTGGATGATATGGTGGGAGCGGCAAAAGGAGCCGACGTGATGCGACTGGCAATAGCTGCTGACAGCCTGTATGAATGTGCCAGCCGCCAGGCCCACTAGGTCCAGGCCCCCACGGTCCCCACCAACCGGCCCCCGTCTTCAATTGAGACTTCTGCTGCTTCTGTGAATCACAGGCGCTGGCATTGGCAGTGGAGCCACACTTAGTGTATCCATCCTCCAGCTTGCAGCAGCGAATCCGCGTGTCGCCATTGCAGAAGAAGCCTGTTCCGTGAAGATTGCAGAATTGGTGCTCTTGCCAAGCTTTCAAAGAAATCAGGCTCCCCAGGCTGCCTTGGGTGGCATTGGGAACTTTGGATTGCCAATCGAGCATAGCTGGCTTGGGCTTCTCGGCTTCCGTGTTGTTCGGCGCTTCTTGGTATGGCCCTGGCGTGTCTGGCAGTCCACTCACATCCGGGAATTCCAGACCACCGTCCACTGCTCCTGACCCTCGCAGTTTGCCAGCGGGATCCTCTGCAAGAGCCCCGATCAGAGCCCAAGCCAGGACTGCGAGAATTGGGGACATCGGAGACGCCATGGCAACAGCAAGTCTGCTACTGGGTCGCGGTGCCACTGCAATATCCTTTGAACCCCAACATCACCGTATATCACCCTTCACACACAGGTCCCCCCACTGCCAGCCCTGTGGCAGGTCACAGCATCTACTGAAAGTACCCGACTGCGCAGATAGTGCAAGCACATCGGAGAGAAGTTTTACCATGCATCGTGCAGCAACGGTGATGACTCCCTCTGCCGCGCGGGAATTAGGATGACCCGTTGCCTTCTGCAAGGTCACCAAGAGCATGATTGAGCTGCACACTTTACAATACTTTACAAGGTCACCGAAGGTCAGAAAGTTTGTGTGAACTGTCCAGGTCACACAACACGCTATCCAAACATCCCGGTACGGCTGCAGCATGTGAGCCAAAGCCCCTTAGTCAAGGCTCAGCGTTTCCGTAGGGATCCTTCGACAAAATTGGCCCGCTAACAGTAGTAGCCACTGTCACGGTACTGGCTGTTGCATTCCACGAAGTGCCCATAGTCATTGCAGCAGTGGATGATATGGTGGGAGCGGCAAAAGGAGCCGACGTGATGCGACTGGCAATAGCTGCTGACATGCCAGCCTGTATGAATGTGCCAGCCGCCAGGCCCACTAGGTCCAGGCCCCCACGGTCCCCACCAACCGGCACCCGTCTTCAATTGAGACTTCTGCTGCTTCTGTGAATCACAGGCGCTGGCATTGGCAGTGGAGCCACACTTAGTGTATCCATCCTCCAGCTTGCAGCAGCGAATCCGCGTGTCGCCATTGCAGAAGAAGCCTGTTCCGTGAAGATTGCAGAATTGGTGCTCTTGCCAAGCTTTCAAAGAAATCAGGCTCCCCAGGCTGCCTTGGGTGGCATTGGGAACTTTGGATTGCCAATCGAGCATAGCTGGCTTGGGCTTCTCGGCTTCCGTGTTGTTCGGCGCTTCTTGGTATGGCCCTGGCGTGTCTGGCAGTCCACTCACATCCGGGAATTCCAGACCACCGTCCACTGCTCCTGACCCTCGCAGTTTGCCAGCGGGATCCTCTGCAAGAGCCCCGATCAGAGCCCAAGCCAGGACTGCGAGAATTGGGGACATCGGAGACGCCATGGCAACAGCAAGTCTGCTACTGGGTCGCGGTGCCACTGCAATATCCTTTGAACCCCAACATCACCGTATATCACCCTTCACACACAGGTCCCCCCACTGCCAGCCCTGTGGCAGGTCACAGCATCTACTGAAAGTACCCGACTGCGCAGATAGTGCAAGCACATCGGAGAGAAGTTTTACCATGCATCGTGCAGCAACGGTGATGACTCCCTCTGCCGCGCGGGAATTAGGATGACCCGTTGCCTTCTGCAAGGTCACCAAGAGCATGATTGAGCTGCACACTTTACAATACTTTACAAGGTCACCGAAGGTCAGAAAGTTTGTGTGAACTGTCCAGGTCACACAACACGCTATCCAAACATCCCGGTACGGCTGCAGCATGTGAGCCAAAGCCCCTTAGTCAAGGCTCAGCGTTTCCGTAGGGATCCTTCGACAAAATTGGCCCGCTAACAGTAGTAGCCACTGTCACGGTACTGGCTGTTGCATTCCACGAAGTGCCCATAGTCATTGCAGCAGTGGATGATATGGTGGGAGCGGCAAAAGGAGCCGACGTGATGCGACTGGCAATAGCTGCTGACATGCCAGCCTGTATGAATGTGCCAGCCGCCAGGCCCACTAGGTCCAGGCCCCCACGGTCCCCACCAACCGGCACCCGTCTTCAATTGAGACTTCTGCTGCTTCTGTGAATCACAGGCGCTGGCATTGGCAGTGGAGCCACACTTAGTGTATCCATCCTCCAGCTTGCAGCAGCGAATCCGCGTGTCGCCATTGCAGAAGAAGCCTGTTCCGTGAAGATTGCAGAATTGGTGCTCTTGCCAAGCTTTCAAAGAAATCAGGCTCCCCAGGCTGCCTTGGGTGGCATTGGGAACTTTGGATTGCCAATCGAGCATAGCTGGCTTGGGCTTCTCGGCTTCCGTGTTGTTCGGCGCTTCTTGGTATGGCCCTGGCGTGTCTGGCAGTCCACTCACATCCGGGAATTCCAGACCACCGTCCACTGCTCCTGACCCTCGCAGTTTGCCAGCGGGATCCTCTGCAAGAGCCCCGATCAGAGCCCAAGCCAGGACTGCGAGAATTGGGGACATCGGAGACGCCATGGCAACAGCAAGTCTGCTACTGGGTCGCGGTGCCACTGCAATATCCTTTGAACCCCAACATCACCGTATATCACCCTTCACACACAGGTCCCCCCACTGCCAGCCCTGTGGCAGGTCACAGCATCTACTGAAAGTACCCGACTGCGCAGATAGTGCAAGCACATCGGAGAGAAGTTTTACCATGCATCGTGCAGCAACGGTGATGACTCCCTCTGCCGCGCGGGAATTAGGATGACCCGTTGCCTTCTGCAAGGTCACCAAGAGCATGATTGAGCTGCACACTTTACAATACTTTACAAGGTCACCGAAGGTCAGAAAGTTTGTGTGAACTGTCCAGGTCACACAACACGCTATCCAAACATCCCGGTACGGCTGCAGCATGTGAGCCAAAGCCCCTTAGTCAAGGCTCAGCGTTTCCGTAGGGATCCTTCGACAAAATTGGCCCGCTAACAGTAGTAGCCACTGTCACGGTACTGGCTGTTGCATTCCACGAAGTGCCCATAGTCATTGCAGCAGTGGATGATATGGTGGGAGCGGCAAAAGGAGCCGACGTGATGCGACTGGCAATAGCTGCTGACATGCCAGCCTGTATGAATGTGCCAGCCGCCAGGCCCACTAGGTCCAGGCCCCCACGGTCCCCACCAACCGGCACCCGTCTTCAATTGAGACTTCTGCTGCTTCTGTGAATCACAGGCGCTGGCATTGGCAGTGGAGCCACACTTAGTGTATCCATCCTCCAGCTTGCAGCAGCGAATCCGCGTGTCGCCATTGCAGAAGAAGCCTGTTCCGTGAAGATTGCAGAATTGGTGCTCTTGCCAAGCTTTCAAAGAAATCAGGCTCCCCAGGCTGCCTTGGGTGGCATTGGGAACTTTGGATTGCCAATCGAGCATAGCTGGCTTGGGCTTCTCGGCTTCCGTGTTGTTCGGCGCTTCTTGGTATGGCCCTGGCGTGTCTGGCAGTCCACTCACATCCGGGAATTCCAGACCACCGTCCACTGCTCCTGACCCTCGCAGTTTGCCAGCGGGATCCTCTGCAAGAGCCCCGATCAGAGCCCAAGCCAGGACTGCGAGAATTGGGGACATCGGAGACGCCATGGCAACAGCAAGTCTGCTACTGGGTCGCGGTGCCACTGCAATATCCTTTGAACCCCAACATCACCGTACATCACCGTTCACACACAGGTCCCCCCACTGCCAGCCCTGTGGCATGCACATGATATCATGATCTACTGGAAGTACCAGCAGCAGTGCTTCAGGCCAACATGCACTGCATTTTTTTCTGCCGCAAGCAGATGGCCCCCGGGGGTCAGCAGGTAGAGGTGCAGTACCAGTATCGTTATCTGTATGTCTGCTGTTGCTTTAAGTTGCTTTACCCCAAGGGTCGCTTCAAGCAAGGCCAGGCACTAGAGTCTCGAAAGAGGGTGCCTCTCACGCCTTCACGACCTTGCCATAGAAGATGCCCTTCAGGAGAACTGTGCGAGGGGCCTCCGGATGTGCACACTCATGGCCAACGTATCGCCATGATCAAAGCTCGGCATCCGTCCCGTACGACGTTGCAGCAGACACCCTGGCGCCTTGGCACCCATGTCCGTGTCGGATGGCTGTTTCGACACAAACACGCCACCGATCTCACCCAGCTCTTGGTTCACCTGACAAGGCCGGCACATGCTGGCACCATTTTGAGGGCCCCTTCCCCAGGCATCTTTGACTTTGCACCGCAGCGGCATGCAGCATCCTGCCTTGCTCACCTCCATCTCAATGACGCCCTTGCCGATGTCGAACACCTTCACCCAAGCAGACTTGTCCATCGGTCCATGCTAGCTTCTGCCTGGCTTATGCCTGGCCTTGTTGGTCTCCTTGAACAGCTCCTCCTGGCCACTCTGTCCATCGGACTGCATGGCCGGGAGGGCAACAGCCTGGTCGTAGCCGAGGTACATGCCACGGCCCTGCCAGAAGGTTTTGATATGTTTTGTTGCACAAAGCAGCCAAGCACCCTCGCAGCCTTGCAGCTGTCACAGACTTTCACACATGTGTCCGTGCAGGCCTTAGGGTCAAGGAAACCACCAGTTCGGTAGGACGGGACGCTGAACTCGCCGCCCCAGGTGAAGCCAGGCTTGAAAGAGCTGCCCTCTCCCTTGGCAACCAGCTCCTGACAATGGCGCTTGGAGGAAGAAGCAGTGTTGCAGGGTGGGATGGTGGCATTAAGTGGTATTGCGGCAGTACTGTTGCCTTCCCTGAGTGTGGAGCCTTGACCGTGAAGAGGAAGGGCACGTACTCGCCGTCTGGGAGCTTCACAGTGGTGGCCGCAAAGTCCATGCCATCCTGCTCCTGCGCTCCAAAGCCGCGCTTCAAAGCAAAACACCCCAGCCCACCCACCCACCCCCCCCCCGCCGGAATTGGCGGCGAATTACACATGCATGAGAGGAAACTGCTGCCACCTTGAAGGTGATGGGGTTTGCGTCCAGAGAGCCCTCAATGAAGGCCAGGGTGTAGGTCTCTCGGGTCATGAGCTTGGTGGTGGAGAACTCCTGCACATCGCTCGGCCGCTCGGGAACTAGCAGCTAGCACATCAGCAATCGCAATCCCCCGCGCGCGAGCACCCACACGTCTGCACACGCCTACTCAGAGCTTCAGCGGTTGGCCAAGCTTAGTCCCAGGTTCCTTGCCCTTGTCGGTCTCGAACTCAACAGCGAAAGACTTCGGCTCGAAGCAGACGTTGACGAGGCGGGCGCCTCTGACGCGGCATGATTGCTGCAGCATGCTGCGGCGTAACATCCTGCAACGGTTCTGGACAGCTCGTGAAAGCTCGCGCCTGATGGCACAGGCACCTCGCTGCCGTTGGACTCCACGGTGGGGCAGCGGTTTGCGAGGCCGCTGCCCTTCACCTGCGCGTAGGTGAGCTGGCCTCCGGCAGAACACAGCATCGGGCGACGTCGCCACCCGATCTTCCACATGCAAGAGCGGCAACGGCGACTTCCCAGCCAAGCGTCTGAACTGCTCTGCCGTGATCGCCTTGGCCGGCGACGCGGCCACTCCCAGCAAGACACCTCGGCAGATGACCAGCGCTCCACCGAGGACTTCTGGCAGAGGGTCCTATAGATGCTATCTTGGGCCCAGAAGTCACCCTTTTTTCAGCCAGAGTGGCCCAAGGCAGCGCCGATGCTCAAGAGCGGGGCAGCCTCAGGTACGGCACTTCTCGGGCTATTGCTACAGCTCGCATAGCTCGCAGCGTCTTCGGCGCTGTTCCAAGGGCCAGTTTTGCAACCCGAGCAGCCCAGGAAAAGCCCTCGGCCGGAGCCTGCAGACGGCTTTTGACATTTGGAATGGAACATAACGGAACCGAAACAGACCTGCACCATGCAATACGATACAGTCCCCACTGTGGCCTCGTGCGCATGGCCGGTCGCGGAAGTCTGGGGCGCGCGGGGGGTCTGGTGGGCTGCTGGAGGCCCGGTCAAAAAGCAGCTGCCTGCCGCCGCAGGGTCGGACAAATCAGCACGGGGCCACGAAAGACACTCTGCGCCAAGCAAGACCGTTCCTAGCACCGCCGTAGCGACGAGGACGCCGGCGCAGACCTCCAGAAGTGCCAGAGAACCAAGTCTTTCAAAGAGTGCGGGTGCTCTGCTAGCATAGTATGCTAATACGACAGATGGGTTCACAAGTTCTTTTTGTCTCTATCTCTCTGTCTCTCTCTCGCTCTCTCAATCTCTCTGACTAACGCTGACAGGAGGCAGGGTAGGAAGAGCGCGCCATCACTGACTAGAGGCAGGGCTGGAAGGGCACTAAATCCAAAAAAACTGCGACCGGCAGCAATGCACAACCGGAGCAGAGCAAGGCTCGTGCATGCTCGTGCTAGTTGCAAGTGTCGTGTAACCCGAAATGAAACATCGTGCAAACCTCTCGTGTCCGATGGAAACCGCCCACTAGCAACTACACCGTGAGCAGCATGACCGAAGTCACGACTTAAATGCAACTCGAGGGCCTGCACTGCCGTGCATGGTCGTAGGAAAATCCAATCTCCCGTGCAACAGCTAGCACCGTGCCACGCTGCCTAAGGACCTAAGCGAGGGGGGGAAAGCATTGTGTGAGTTTGAACCTACCAACCCTTTAAAATAAAATCGGTTTTTCGGCAACTCTTTGGAGATTCCCATTCCTTTGCGACGCGACTCTGGCTCTCAACCCCTGTGCTTCATGCACTGCAACTTTTTCTGCCGCAAGCAGATGGCCCCGGGGGTCAGCAGGTAGAGGTGCAGTACCAGTATCGTTATCTGTATGTCTGCTGTTGCTTTAAGTTGCTTTACCCCAAGGGTCGCTTCAAGCAAGGCCAGGCACTAGAGTCTCGAAAGAGGGTGCCTCTCACGCCTTCACGACCTTGCCATAGAAGATGCCCTTCAGGAGAACTGTGCGAGGGGCCTCCGGATGTGCACACGCATCGCCAACGCATCGCCATGATCAAAGCTCGGCATCCGTCCCGTATGACGTTGCAGCAGACACCCTGGCGCCTTGGCACCCATGTCCGTGTCGGATGGCTGCTTCGACACAAACACGCCACCGATCTCACCCAGCTCTTGGTTCACCTGACAAGGCCGGCACATGCTGGCACCATTTTGAGGGCCCCTTCCCCAGGCATCTTTGACTTTGCACCGCAGCGGCATGCAGCATCCTGCCTTGCTCACCTCCATCTCAATGACGCCCTTGCCGATGTCGAACACCTTCACCCAGGCAGACTTGTCCATCAGTCCATGCTAGCTTCTGCCTGGCTTATGCCTGGCCTTGTTGGTCTCCTTGAACAGCTCCTCCTGGCCACTCTGTCCATCGGACTGCATGGCCGGGAGGGCAACAGCCTGGTCGTAGCCGAGGTACATGCCACGGCCCTGCCAGAAGGTTTTGATATGTTTTGTTGCACAAAGCAGCCAAGCACCCTCGCAGCCTTGCAGCTGTCACAGACTTTCATGTGTCCGTGCAGGCCTTAGGGTCAAGGAAACCACCAGTTCGGTAGGACGGGACGCTGAACTCGCCGCCCCAGGTGAAGCCAGGCTTGAAAGAGCTGCCCTCTCCCTTGGCAACCAGCTCCTGACAATGGCGCTTGGAGGAAGAAGCAGTGTTGCAGGGTGGGATGGTGGCATTAAGTGGTATTGCGGCAGTACTGTTGCCTTCCCTGAGTGTGGAGCCTTGACCGTGAAGAGGAAGGGCACGTACTCGCCGTCTGGGAGCTTCACAGTGGTGGCCGCAAAGTCCATGCCATCCTGCTCCTGCGCTCCAAAGCCGCGCTTCAAAGCAAAACACCCCAGCCCACCCACCCACCCCCCCCCGCCGGAATTGGCGGCGAATTACACATGCATGAGAGGAAACTGCTGCCACCTTGAAGGTGATGGGGTTTGCGTCCAGAGAGCCCTCAATGAAGGCCAGGGTGTAGGTCTCTCGGGTCATGAGCTTGGTGGTGGAGAACTCCTGCACATCGCTCGGCCGCTCGGGAACTAGCAGCTAGCACATCGGCAAGCGCGCGAGCACCCACACGTCTGCACACGCCTACTCAGAGCTTCAGCGGTTGGCCAAGCTTAGTCCCAGGTTCCTTGCCCTTGTCGGTCTCGAACTCAACAGCGAAAGACTTCGGCTCGAAGCAGACGTTGACGAGGCGGGCGCCTCTGACGCGGCATGATTGCTGCAGCATGCTGCGGCGTAACATCCTGCAACGGTTCTGGACAGCTCGTGAAAGCTCGCGCCTGATGGCACAGGCACCTCGCTGCCGTTGGACTCCACGGTGGGGCAGCGGTTTGCGAGGCCGCTGCCCTTCACCTGCGCGTAGGTGAGCTGGCCTCCGGCAGAACACAGCATCGGGCGACGTCGCCACCCGATCTTCCACATGCAAGAGCGGCAACCGCGACTTCCCAGCCAAGCGTCTGAACTGCTCTGCCGTGATCGCCTTGGCCGGCGACGCGGCCACTCCCAGCAAGACACCTCGGCAGATGACCAGCGCTCCACCGAGGACTTCTGGCAGAGGGTCCTATAGATGCTATCTTGGGCCCAGAAGTCACCCTTTTTTCAGCCAGAGTGGCCCAAGGCAGCGCCGATGCTCAAGAGCGGGGCAGCCTCAGGTACGGCACTTCTCGGGCTATTGCTACAGCTCGCATAGCTCGCAGCGTCTTCGGCGCTGTTCCAAGGGCCAGTTTTGCAACCCGAGCAGCCCAGGAAAAGCCCTCGGCCGGAGCCTGCAGACGGCTTTGACATTTGGAATGGAACATAACGGAACCGAAACAGACCTGCACCATGCAATACGATACAGTCCCCACTGTGGCCTCGTGCGCATGGCCGGTCGCGGAAGTCTGGGGCGCGCGGGGGGTCTGGTGGGCTGCTGGAGGCCCGGTCAAAAAGCAGCTGCCTGCCACCGCAGGCGTCGGACAAATCAGCACGGGGCCACGAAAGACACTCTCTGCCAAGCAAGACCGTTCCTAGCACCGCCGTAGCGACGAGGACGCCGGCGCAGACCTCCAGAAGTGCCAGAGAACCACTTCTTTCAAAGAGTGCGGGTGCTCTGCTATGGTCCAGGTATGCATACGTATGCTCATACGATAGATGGGTTCACAAGTTGTGGGCTCTTTCCTGACTCGTGCCGACAAGAAGCAGGGTAGGAGGAGCGCGCCATCTTTGACTAGGTGCAGGGCTGGAAGGGCACTTAAGCAAAAAACCTGTGACCGGCAGCACCGGAGCAGAGAATGGCTCGTGCATGCTCGTGCTAGTTGCAAGTATCGTGCAACTAAATGAGACCTCTCATGTCCGATGGATGCCGCCGACTGGTCTCGAGTCGCAACCTCGACTTTTGTATCCTTTTGCCGTGGCACATCTCTCTCAGACGGCATGCAATCCACAAGGTGCGGACTAATTCACGCAAACACGTGCATCACGAAAGGCCTGTCGACCACTTGGCTAAGTGTGAAGCGCATGCCCTATTTGCTTCACGGTCTGGGCTTATCTGGGCTTGTGCTCATTGCGCTGTTTATCGCTGTCTCCTCTGCGGACTGAAGCTGGAGCTCCAGGTGAAACATATCGCATGCATTTCAGGGAGAGGGGGCGGTACAAGAGCTTTCATGAGAATCTAAGGCCATGCGACCATGCAGTCGCGTTCCGCCTTTTCATGTTGAGTCAAGCCATCGCCCCTGACCCCAAGCCCTACAACGGAAAAAGAGCCCGTGAGCAACTACAACTACACCGTGAGAAGCTGCGACGTCGAGCGCAACGCTCAGTGCCTCGGTTTCGCCGCCCCATTCCAGACCCGCAAGGTTCCCCGCATGACCCCGAAGTCCCAAAGTCACGACTTCATGGCAAAATCGAAGGGGGATTGCACCAAGGTCGCGCCATCCAGCGTAGGGAAGTAAGGCCACGGCATTGGCGGTGGCGCTGGGATGTCCAAGCGCGAGTGGCACAGAGGGCAGTTCCGCAGTTTGCGGACCTGCAACAGCGACGGGCTAGGTTCACACTGAAATCGTGCCAGAACATGCCAGAACAAAATCCTGAGGAGAGATTCCCGTTTGCCTCCGAGGCATACATACGATGCCGACAGACGCGGCATTTGATGGTCTCACCCAGGGGACCTGCGTCGTCAAGCTCTGACTGCAGGCCACATCGGATTCAATGTCCTCTTGTTTCCTACGGCAATTAAAACGAACACACCCCCCTAGGAGCCGGAGGCAGAGGTTGCTGGGGATGCCGGGCACGCGCAAAGTTTTCCTTCAGGAAGTCCTGCTTGAACCCGGTCGATTTGGGCTTCTACTCTCTTGTAAGCGTATCGAACCTCGGCTGGACTGCAAAACTGACTCATAAGGACCCCAAAGACTTCAAAGCCCACAGCCTGTGCCGGGCGGGTACGGCCCAGAATTGGGCCCCCGGTCCTGTACACATAGATGGAAATGCTGCTTCGATGGTTCACCAGTTGAGGGGCAGTTGGCAGTTGGCAGTTCACGCTCATTGCAAAACGCAGCACAAGAACGGCTAGCACAACTCTCCTCAGGAAAGATGGACCGCCCTGAGGCCACACAGAAAGCGAGCCGATGGTTGCAGCTGGAACCTCGGCAAGTGGAAAACAGGGGTGGGGCCCTCGCCAGTTCACAAGTGCTGGAATGCATGGAGAACATGCAAATCAAAACGTAGCTGCGCGCATCTTTTGGACAACATCCAACTCCAGCAGCTCCAGGGTCTGCGCCGACTCGACATGCAACACCCCACGAGGCCTCGATGGTCCTGCCATACAGTAGGGGGGGTCGAGCGGAACACCGGAAGTCTTCACGCAGATGCCGATCTTCATGATCTTCATGAGCCCGATGAGCAGCTTGGCCAAGCAGTCTGAGCCTTTCTCCAGTGCTTCTCCAGTGGACGGCCACGGTACTCAGCCCACCAGCCAATTGGCCGCTTCATCATGATCTTCCATTGCTGGCAATCGCTTCACTACCAGAAGTGAAGCTCGTCATCGACATCGCCTAGGTAGATGTACGGCAGTTCGCACCCGTCTTGGAACTCAGTCTCGCAAAGCCTGACCGGGGATCTCTCATGATAGACCTGCTGCTACCATTACTACTAGTTACCAGTTGCTATCGTGCTGCCACCATGCCTGACATGGTCCTCCAACACGAAGTTGCTTGGCGTGAACCTTGCGGCCCGTCCTGCGTAATTGTCGGTCCAAGCATGACGGGACAAGGTGGCCAGAAGGCCAATCAGCAAATCGTCATAAAGAGCTCCATCCTCGCGATCTTCGCTTGACTATCACTATCTTGTCCTCAGCTTCAACAAGGTCATCTGGCAGCCCGTGTCTCTGTAACAAAGTGAACAGAGAGAGAGCGAGAGAGAGAGAGAGAGAGCTCTGCGTTCAGTAAGGTCATGTCCAGCCGCAGCAGAGGCAACCTTGTACACATCCACTTCCTGGGTCCAGTAGGCTTCCATGAGACGAAGACCTATCAGACTCTAGTATGGGCACGCAGAGGCGGCTTAGCCATTAGTGTGCGACATGTTGTCTGGAGTCAAGGAGCTTGACACCTTGGATGGTATAAGTGGGCTTCAAGCACAGCTCGTGGAGCTCATCATCCTGTCAGCGGTGTACAGATGTGTGCGGTCTCGCCGTCAAGTGTTCTGCGTGCTGCGCTTCAGCTACGCCAGCTACGTGAAGTGCGTCGAGGGCCAGGCATCGAAAGGATTTTTGAAGTGCATCACCATTGCTTCCTCTTCATGCGGCAGTCTTTCCTCAAGCAAGGGGCCTGCCTGCGCTGGAGAGGCTTCACCAAGGGTGGGGATTGCAGTACACATTCTTGTGTCAGCACAACAAATGCGTGTTCCCGCCGGCCTTTCCGAAGCCAGGCCCTTCCACCAGCCTTTGACCAGCAAAAAGCTGGTCGTGACAGCAACATGCATACAAAACATCCGAGCTCATGGCACCCAGCCAGGCTTTTGGAAGCAAGGGTCTAGCTCGACCCAATACCCTCCTGCACAGGTGATGCTTGCAGTCCTTGACAACTGTTCCTCATAGTTCCTCTGAGTGCGTGCATGAGTGCCTGCAGGTCCAACCCAACTTCTTCCAGTCGTCTTGACTTTGGATCCGATCTTTCTGTCGAGCCGTACCTGGACTACATGGAGGTTCACACGGTCCATGCACCGACGGCCGGGATGACGTTCAAGAGCGCAAAGGAGAATTCACATGCAACTCACGTGCGGTCGACTACTCGACTACTCGACTTAGGTCTGGGCTATCACATTGGAAGGGCTGGGCTCTGCACCCTTCCTCAACGCGTCACATTCCGCGTCGCAGCATCTTGAGGATTCATTGCACATCATTACACTTCCAGAATCATGCAATTTCGTGTCGAAATCGCAAGGCTTCCGAGCACCCAAAACTAAGATGATGTCGCCTTGAACAACACTCCTTGGAATCATGCCATGTATGGGCCATAACCATCTACAAGATGACAGCGCCCGAATGTGCATGGACACTTGGGTTTCTGAAGACGGTACCTTGCATGACGTAGTACTCCACGGTCGGGTTGGTGATAACAAGGGTGAGCTCTTCTCCACTTTGCACCGAAGCACTCTCCAGTGTGGCGTGACTGGGAAGTATACTTCCTGGGGCAGCGTTGTGTGCAAAAAGTGAGATAAAGGGAAGTGGTGGAGGTCGCTCCCCCCCCCACCCCCAAACCCCCGCCCCGGCCCACAAAGTAGCGAAACCCGTCAAGCCCTCCGGGCCTTTGAGTAGCAGGCGCTGTGCGCGAGGCGCCACATCCAGAGCTGCCTCGATGATCTGCTGGAGGTCCTGAACAGCACAAACAGCTCGGCCCTTTCATCTTCAGGGTCAGATTGGGATGGCCATCCTGCGGAATCAGAAATCATGGGAGTACACTTCTCCCCACCTGGATGGTGTTGCTGGGGTCCAGTTCTGGTGCCAGCAACGTGGCGCCACTCAGCGACAGGATGGGAATCTTCAGCGAGCTCATGCGCGCGAAGCTGTGTCCAAGCAAGCCATGCGGCCCCTTGTCATTGTCTGCCCAACAGCTCGCACTATCATGGTCAGAATTGCTGAGGGCTGCTAAACAACGTCAATGTACGGTACAACTTCGTCCAGTACTGGCCCTGGCCACGAGAGTTGACTTTGAACCGACAGCGGCACCAAGGCTTTCAGATTGCACCGCGCCACGAGAAAGACTCGCAAGCGCCGCTCTCGTCCCTGCGTGCAAGGCTCCGACAGCTGACTGACCAGTCGCTGATCCGTGTGTGGCACTTTGGGCAGGGCAGCAGCAACTGATTCACGGGATCCTGCAGAAATATGTAGAAGTGATCACGTGAATTACGTCAGACTCCGGCTCTGGCATGCGTGGCAGAGGTAGAGGCGCTGGTTTCTGCTTAATTGGAGCTTTTCACCAACCCGACTTTCATGTCAAAAAGAAAGCCATGCATTTCGGGACTTGGCACCACGACTCCTTAGTGACAGAGGGGACACTCGCCAGTGGTTCGAGAACTCTGCAGGGCACAGGGGCATCCTTTTGTCTGCACTTGCACTGTTGATTAAGGTTCTTTGTTCAATAAAGGGTAGCACCTTTATGCATCTACATTCATGTACAGATATATCTCAAATGGTATCTCAACAAAATTATGCCCGCGTAGACACCAAACGGTGAGAGACCATGGTGACACCAAAGAGCACTGCAATCAATGGTCCAAGAGCAAATCCGAAAGGCACCAAGAGCCCAGACGTCCAAAAGCGACGGCATCTCGCATTTGGTGAACACACACGCGCAACAGCGACGACAGCTTCGCCATTGGCGAACCCAGACGTTCAAAGGCGACGACGCTTTCGCATCTGGTGAAGGTAAATGCCCAAGAGCGAAGACAGTCGCGCATTTGGAGAGCCCAGATGTCCAAAGCGACGACAACTACGCACCCTGCGAACCCGGACTCCAAAACGTGATGACTGTTTCGAGGACGGCGTTTGCAAGCACGCCCGCGCCCAAGCGAGGGCGCGATTTTCGTTCAAAATACAAGCAAGCTGCAGCAAGCTTCGAGAAAAATGCCGGGCCGTGGGCCCTCCCCGCGCGCCGGCCCTGCGCGGCGGACTTGCGCGCCAGACGCGCGCCACGCGCCTAGCCCCTCCTCCTCTACATGTTCGAAAACCCTTTGTGTTGACACAGCTGGGGAAGAAACTCACTTCCAAATGCTGTGGGTCCTTGGGCGTGCTCCTGGTGAAGATGCTCAGGGCCAAGTCTGAGAACTTGGTGCGCATCTCGTCGCTTATGTCCCCAGAAGCCTGTGAGCCACAGGAGCACTGAGTTCGTAGAAGGGGGTTGGGGCTTCGCAGTTTTCAGAAGCGGCCTCCAGCTTGATGAATGCCTTGGAGCACTGCATGTAGAACTTGTTGTAGTAAGTGGTGAGCGCCTCGGACAAAATGGCTTGAGGGCTTTTTGGGGCCTTTTTGGGGTTCAGCAAGGGCTTTGCAAAGAGTCTTGCCCGGGCCCCGGACTATCAGGGAATATATGGTCTGTGTGTCGAGGATGTCCTGCAACTAAAGCCCTTCGACGAAGACCCGGAAGACCCAAGTGCTGTTTCCACATGCAGGATTGTTCGCCCTGCAAGTCCTCGTATTCAGCCAGCCGCAGGGATGTCTTCATGGCCTGCTAGAAGTCCGCTGGCGGCAAGCCAACACGAGAGCATGGAACAACATTGCACACACACACACACACCCTTGTGTTTTTCCCCTGCGGTTCTGGTAGGTCAAAGACTGAAAGTGAAGGACGATACTCAGTCGAGCTAGGGCAGGCACTAATCATGGTTGCCATTCAGTGAATATGCAAACACCTATCTGATTCTCGCCAGACACGTGCGGCAACGCACGGTCGCAACTTTCTTTCTTTGTCTTATTCACATGGGTAGTTCTCTTAATCAGGGTCCCTTGTTGGGATCCCTTTTCAAAGGGTGCCGCCTTATAGTGGGTACCCAAACATGGACCGTAATTTTGGAAACTACCCACATGTGCCACCTTGATAACGATGCCGCCATGGCGCCCGCAACAAGATAATAGTACAAATGGACAGGGAATGAAATGGCACGCTTCTTTGTTCGCAAGCTCATGAACTTGTGCGGAAGTGAACAAGCTATATGGGCGAACGAACGCATGAACACAAAGCGAGCGAATACTATTTTAGTAAGGGCACGATCATAAAAATGAGAGCTTTTTTGTACTTATCGGGTCCTAAGTGAGGGGGGTTCTAAGGACCCAAAAATAGTGCATTAAACGCTTCTTGACAACGGACAATAATGTTCAAAACCCCACTGTACGTTCAATTTGTTGGTTTTTATCGCGGGAGTTCGCCTTGCGCAGCAAGAATATCCACAAGACTGAACGATCGCAGGCTAATCTGACACATGCCTCGATCGTGATCAAAAGCCGCTCAACACGGAACATGACCACAGCTACACAATGCACATCAGCATCACTAGCATCGTACATGCATGGCTTTAGACGCGAACCGCCCTCGCGCGCCAGGGTGCTCAATTTCAGACATGACGTTTCGCCTCTGACAAATGCCTCAATCGTCATCACGATCCTTGTGCACAGCACTCAGGCTCGTCATCTTGTGTCTACACAGGCAAGGGCACCATCTCAACAGGACGGTTGGCCAACACGCGCGGCGCTCTCGAATCACGTCTGTGCCAGTCAGCTTTGGTAAGCAGATGTGGATGGAAACTCTACACGGTAGCTTCTGTCAATCGTTTCACCAGTGTCATCATGCCTCACAGAACAAGAATCAAACCATTGCTGCCTCTGACAAATGCCTCGAATGTAATCACGGAGATCGTGCAATGCACTCAGGCTCGTCATCTTGTGTCTTCACAGGACAGCATCATTCGCGCTCAACACGGAGTAAGGGCTACATACAAGGAGGACCGAAGCAAATCGCTCGATCGCATGCATGGCTGCACAACGAAACTGGACTCGAACAACTTCAGACTGTTTTGCCTCTGACAAATGCCTCGACTGTAATCACAGAGATCGTGCAATGCACTCAGGCTCGTCATCTTGTGTCTTCACCGGCAAGGGCACCATCTCAACAGGACGAGTGGCCAACACGCGCGGCGCTCTCGAATCACATCTGTGCCAGTCAGCTTTGGTAAGCAGATGTGGATGGAAACTCTACACGGTAGCTTCTGTCAATCGTTTCACCAGTCTCATCATGCCTCACAGAACAAGAATCAAACCATTGCTGCCTCTGACAAATGCCTCGAATGTAATCACGGAGATCGTGCAATGCACTCAGGCTCGTCATCTTGTGTCTTCACAGGACAGCATCATGCGCGCTCAACACGGAGTAAGGGCTACATACAAGGAGGACCCAAGCAAATCGCTCGATCGCATGCATGGCTGCACAACGAAACTGGACTCGAACAACTTCAGACCGTTTTGCCTCTGACAAATGCCTCGACTGTAATCACGGAGATCGTGCAATGCACTCAGGCTCGTCATCTTGTGTCTTCACAGGCAAGGGCACCATCTCAACAGGACGGTTGGCCAACGCGCGGCGCTCTCGAATCACGTCTGTGCCAGTCAGCTTTGGTAAGCAGATGTGGATGGAAACTCTACACGGGAGCTTCTGTCAATCGTTTCACCAGTCTCATCATGCCTCACAGAACAAGAATCAAACCATTGCTGCCTCTGACAAATGCCTCGAATGTAATCACGGAGATCGTGCAATGCACTCAGGCTCGTCATCTTGTGTCTTCACAGGACAGCATCATGCGCGCTCAACACGGAGTAAGGGCTACATACAAGGAGGACCCAAGCAAATCGCTCGATCGCATGCATGGCTGCACAACGAAACTGGACTCGAACAACTTCAGACCGTTTTGCCTCTGACAAATGCCTCGACTGTAATCACGGAGATCGTGCAATGCACTCAGGCTCGTCATCTTGTGTCTTCACAGGCAAGGGCACCATCTCAACAGGACGGTTGGCCAACGCGCGGCGCTCTCGAATCACGTCTGTGCCAGTCAGCTTTGGTAAGCAGATGTGGATGGAAACTCTACACGGGAGCTTCTGTCAATCGTTTCACCAGTCTCATCATGCCTCACAGAACAAGAATCAAACCATTGCTGCCTCTGACAAATGCCTCGAATGTAATCACGGAGATCGTGCAATGCACTCAGGCTCGTCATCTTGTGTCTTCACAGGACAGCATCATGCGCGCTCAACACAGAGGAAGGGCTATATACAAGGAGGACCCAAGCAAATCGCTCGATCGCATGCATGGCTGCACAACGACGCTGGACTCGAACAACCTTCAGACCGTTTTGCCTCTGACAAATGCCTCGACTGTAATCACGGAGATCGTGCAATGCACTCAGGCTCGTCATCTTGTGTCTTCACAGGCAAGGGCACCATCTCAACAGGACGGGTGGCCAACGCGCGGCGCTCTCGAATCACGTCTGTGCCAGTCAGCTTTGGTAAGCAGATGTGGATGGAAACTCTACACGGGAGCTTCTGTCAATCGTTTCACCAGTCTCATCATGCCTCACCGAACAAGAATGAAACCATCGCTGCCTCTGACAAATGCCTCGAATGTAATCACGGAGATCGTGCAATGCACTCAGGCTCGTCATCTTGTGTCTTCACAGGACAGCATCATGCGCGCTCAACACGGAGTAAGGGCTACATACAAGGAGGACCCAAGCAAATCGCTCGATCGCATGCATGGCTGCACAACGACGCTGGACTCGAACAACTTCAGACCGTTTTGCCTCTGACAAATGCCTCGACTGTAATCACGGAGATCGTGCAATGCACTCAGGCTCGTCATCTTGTGTCTTCACAGGCAAGGGCACCATCTCAACAGGACGGTTGGCCAACGCGCGGCGCTCTCGAATCACGTCTGTGCCAGTCAGCTTTGGTAAGCAGATGTGGATGGAAACTCTACACGGGAGCTTCTGTCAATCGTTTCACCAGTCTCATCATGCCTCACCGAACAAGAATGAAACCATCGCTGCCTCTGACAAATGCCTCGAATGTAATCACGGAGATCGTGCAATGCACTCAGGCTCGTCATCTTGTGTCTTCACAGGCAAGGGCACAGTCTCAACAGCATGTTTGCCCAGTACGCTTGGCGTTCTTCGAAGTGCCAGTCAGCTTTGGTAAGCACATGTCGACGAAACATGATGCAACTACGAAACATGATGCAACTATCGCGGAAGCTTCTGCCACTTGTTTCGCAGTCTCACCATGTGTCACGGAGCAAAGAAGGCTAAGAGGACATTCCGCCAGCATATAGCAACACATACGGATTCGGCAAAACAGAAGCGAACCGAATTATCCGAATTGCACAACTTCCTTTTCCATCGCGACTGGAAACAAAGACACACGAATGCTGATGGTTCTCGTCTCCCGTGGCCTGCTCGAACTGTCCCTCGTACAGTTGCCGCTGAGAGAGCAGGTAGATGTGGTACGCCTGCTCAAAAAAGATGCTGCAATGCTACCCCCAACTTTCGCTTATCGAATGCTCTGTCTGGTGACCCTCACGGCAGTGTAACTAGGGCATCCCGGCCTGACAAATAACCCATGGTACCCTTGTCTATTCTGCTAGGAACACCATGAACACGAGTATTGTTGCTGGCCATTCTTTCTGTTCTGTCGCGATACAGCCATGCTTAGAAAATGAAGGTTTCGGGCATACTTAGATCTCTTGTAGCGTTGGGGGGCCAACTCTCCCGTCCTCGCAGCCACGCCAGGGGCTCTCCAGAGCGCGGTCGCTGGAGACGCTCTGGTCCTGGGTTTTTGGCAACAAGGCGCGTACGATCATCTGACATCTGGAGGGTTTACGATGTTCGTGGGTACCACCTTACTGGGGTTCTTATGCTAAGGGGATCCTACAACTTGGGGGTCTATATTAGGGGCCCCTTATTCTCGCAAACCCCGACATCTAGAGTAGAGACAGCGGCCTGCGTGACCAGCGACTGCAGCGTCTGTGCAGTCGTCATCGTGCCCTGCGTGGCGCCTGCCAAAGTGGTATGACTGAACGACTGTTGATTTTACAGGCCCTATGCGGTGCCCTAGAATAGAAGCAAAAAAGGGAAGATACTGTATGCTTCCACCTTCCATACCTCTTCCGATAACAGAGAAAAACCCAAAAGCGTGCACCGGGGAATTTTTAGTCTTGGGTTGTCTGTGCAGGATTCACTGCCACCTGAATAAATCCCCTGAGCGCAGTAGTTATCCCAAAACCCTCCGCAGTGGGCCTGTCATCTGGGCGTCCAAGGTTTTATTCTTGAACCTCAGACGCGGAACCACTGCAATCACCCCCAATCACCCGACAGTTGCAGGATTGACTCTTACATCCATAGGGCCGGCACTTCTCGACCTCCAGAGCTGCCAGCAAGTACAACCTTAGACAGCTGCAGACATTCTCCACTTCACTCATTAAATCTGAAGCCTCCCTCCCAAGATTTAAAACATGTCAAGGATTTAAGTTCTCCCAGGGCCCCCCCCCCCCCCCCGCCCCCCCCTCACTCAGTATCTGTAGCCTTGAAGGGTCGCTTGTGTTCTGAGCTTTGCCCTTCAACGATGCCGAGCAACTTCTTTATTCTGTCAGGATGCCGCTGAGCGCCACCTGCAACTGGAGCGGACTTGCCGCAAAGCACATGTGCCACGTGTACTACGAACAGCAAATGGGTTAGCAATGAGTGCAGAATAGGGCGACTGCAAGCCAAGGACATTTTTTGCTCACCGGCATCACCACTGCTCGAAAGTCTCTTTGAGCAGCTGCGGCAAGCCGGGCTGCGCCCAAATGTCGTTGTGCCTGCATGGGAAGCCATGCAGCCTTAGCTCTGGAGCTCAGATCTTGTGACTGCAGGATGGTTGCGGGCTTCTTGGAAAGCCTTCGACTCTTTGCGGGCGCAGGCTGAGGGAGAACTCTTGCGTTCAGGGTCTGACCGGCACAGCATGTCGAGAGCAAAGATGTCTAATGGCAGGCACGGCACGGCACTCCAGCCAACTCGGAGAGCTTCCTGCCGCAAGTGCCATGTCGACTTCCCTTTTGAAGCTGCTTGACCTGTCAGGGCCTGAGGGTCGGGGAAACATATCAGGCCTGCCATGGCTAGAGGGAACCTTCCCGTCATCCGTGCCGTGGAGGATGACCACCTGAGTCTCACGGCTCTTTAACCAGCGCCGTTTCGCACTTGTCACAGGAGCTGGGGCTCTGGCGGGCATCTTGGCAGCTACAGCTTGGACTCGGCGAGCGGAATCGAACTGGAGGTCCCCCCAGCCATCCCGAACCCATCTCTCCAATCCTGCCAAAAGCACGAGACATCGCAAAGCACCTCCACGTCCGCAGGGTTGCCAAACATATGAGGCCTTCTCGCAGGCTGCGCCAGGGCAGCACCGCCTCTAGCAGCGACCCCGCTGCGGCCGCAAAGGACAGGAAGGGTGCCTCCGAAGGGCCGTGCCAGCGAGTTGCTCACAGGCTGGCTTCTTTCTGATCACACCTAATAACGAGAGCAAGAACAATAAAAATAATAAACAATAAAAATGATCGTCATCATGCAAAGTCGATGAAGATGTGCAAGATGCAGCTGGCAAGCCTCAAGGATCACACCCCTCACTCGGCGGCCCTCATCTGCCAGCAAGGCTTCCAAAGATGCCAGCGCGATGCCTGTGCCGAGACCTCAATCAAGAACCCCTAAACCGTAAACCCGAAACCCTAAACCCTCAACCCTAAACCCTGCTAAACCCTAAACCCTAAACCCTAAACCCTCGCAAATCGGAAGTGCCCTTCAAGGTTCCACTCTTCCTGCCACCAAGGGTCTGTGACCCCAGATGACGACCTCTTCACTTTGAATTCGCGAGTTTGTCTCTGGACACCCGACATCCGAGCCGTTCAACGTGCGCAGTAGGGATCATCTGGGAATGGGGTACTCTGGAGATGCTGTGTTGCGACATCCGGCGTGCCCTCCAGGCATTCTCTAAGGAATTCTACTCCAAAGATACTTTGGGGGTACTGGAGCCGGGAACAAGAGCCACACCTTGACATGGGCCCCAAAGTCCTGAAACCTCGGACCCTGAAACTTCTCAAACGACCCGGCATCCCCTCCTCCTCCTCCGGCGGCAGGGACTGAACAACAGCCCGGACATCCGCCACTGCACTGGCCTCAGCAGGCTGGGGCTTGGCATGCGGATCTTGGCGGCAGAGTCTCAGCACTACTTGAAGGTTCAGGGCACATACGAGCCAATGAAAACTGTGCGTATTACCCAAACTGTATCCATATTTGGGCACTTAAGGGGCTTATTCAGTGAGTTAGAAGTACAGATGTACTTGGTTAACAATGCCATGAACCTCCAAGTAGTGAGAGCACTGCACTTACCACTGCATCACGGTCAGCTAAGGCAGATTCCAAGTCGCGAGAAATCGGCTTCACGGGGCTTCACAGTTCAGGCTTTGGACGGCGTGCCTCTGTTGGCCAGCAGAAATCAGAGTAGCCGCAGCCACAGTAATCGATGGCAATCACCTGCACTAAGCTTACTCTTAGGCTACAATTGCCCAATAGTCTCTGAGTCCTTTGAAGTCATGGTCAGATCACAGTGGCAGCTGCTCTTCTCCGTCTTCAACTTTACGGGATGGTGTCTTGCACGTGCAGCCTCAGCGCACCTCACATCCGAGTCGCGTCGCAAGCAGCTTGTAGAGGTCTGTCCGATGTTGTACAACCGCGTTGCCAGCTTGCCTTGGCTTGGAGGCGGCTTGGAGGCGGATCTTGCTGCAAATTTGACACCACTTACACTTCCACTCTGGCCACGGAATGCTACAAGAACGTAGACCGCATCTGACTTGCTGACTTTCAAGCTGAGATTCCCGTGCAAGTACACCACGGTCTTCGTTTTCTTCTGTGCTGTTGGGGACAGGCGCAGCCCGGAAACCATACCGTTGGGGCTCTTGACCATCAACGGAACAGCATTGGCAAGGCCTGCCCATAAAGCCACAGACCAGACTTACAAGCTCACAATATCTCACAAACACAGTGAGCGGCAGTCTTTCAAGAACTGCAGCACTTGCTAGTGACTGCTGTCGGCTCGCCTTCAAACGCGCCCACTGTTTCTGAGTGGGCTAGTAGGCCCAGCAGCCGTGTGCTCAACTGCACCCAGCGTGGTGAGGGCCTCACCGTCTTAATGATTGTTGACGAGGATCAGAAGGGTTTAGGAGGAGGACCCTGCCTGGACAGGTCGCTGACATCGTAGGGCGGCCAATTAGTCCCAACGCCAAAGGCGATGGCAGATCGTAAACGAGCAGAGAGCCGTACAGCGAACACCTCTGCTGAACGTGCACAGGCCAAATGGTTCAGGTTACTCGTTGGCTGCTCTTCCAGCTCAAGAATCATCCAGCTTTCCTGGCGAGCTGCGGTCAGCAGCGGCAGACAAAGCAGCCCAGCTGAAAAGCCCAGGCACAGACCAAGCGCCATTGCGCTGCTTACAATTTGCACGCCTTCTGCAGGGTCTTGTTGGTACCAGAATAAGAGGCTGTATCAGATTACATATATCATACTGTCTACTTGCATGCTTTTGTTGTCGCTCAGTTTGCAGCCACAGCAGCTTGAGTTGGCAAATGCCGCACAAGCATTCCCGAATGAATTCTTCATGCATCTATGACAGCAACCCGAAATTTGAGGAGTGCGTGTCCTCTTGGCTGTCACTGCTGCTTCTGCTTCCCCTGCCACTGCATTGGACAAGGCCTGGCATCTCCCTGGCCATCTGATTCAGCAGTTTCGCTGCCTGGCTGCGGTCCGAAAGCTGGACGTGCAAACATAAGAGTGAGTTGGGAATGATGGGCAGGCCACAAAGACGCAGCATGCTGAGATGCATGAGGTCTGCTGCTCCGAGTGGTACTGCTGATTGCTTCTTCTTGAATGCTGCTGGAGTTCGAGCTTCGAACTTTGATCCCTGGCCTCCGTGTGGCGGCTTGCCTTCCGGTAAAGCTGCACTGCCTTGCCGCAACAAGCATGAAGCATCGGGGTGAATCTACCAGCTCCTTCCTCAAACCCACACACAAAAAAATGCCGCAGCTCAAGAACTTTTCTGGCAGGGACCCGTGGTTTGGAGTTTTGGAGGGACAGAGAGCACGGGATGGACAGCCACCGAAGTACTGAACGACTGCTTTGGCAGCCTCAATCTTCTTGTTCTTGTCAAGAAGATGCTGGGCGTACTTTGCCAGGAGACCTGGCCAGTCCAGGAAGCACTGCAAGGTTGAAACAGCTGAAACAAGCATCATCCTCAAGTTGGTGTCGTGGCGAAGCTTCGCTGAGATGGCACATGTCCAGAAACCAGCATGATAGTGCACTGCCAAAGACTCACGCCGTCCCTTAGAACCTTAATAAAACTAATATATATTGTTTAATATCCTCTTGGGTTTTATATCAACCAAAAACAACAAAGAATTCCCAAGGGGGATATAATCATGCTTACTTGACAAACTCCAGCATAAGCTCTGCAACCTGGGCCAGCCTTCGATCTGCTGGAAGTTATGTTGCTGCGCGAGGTTCACCGCCAGTTCCCACTGGTTCAGCAGGACACACCTCTCCAAAAGCACAAAAACACACCAAAAGGTAGGTGCCGCACAGCGCGCCGGCTCTTCTACGTACCGGGAATTGGGAAAGAAAACGGAAAGACATCTGCTCAAGTTGCAAGGCTTCGGGGACTTGGGTGCACAGCGTAGCTTATCGAGATATGTACCCACCAAGGCCATAGCGTGTCAACCGCCGTCTTGACGTCGCCGTGGCGCAAATAAGCCTGGACGGCCTCAAGCCAATGGGCAAACGCAATACTGCACAGCTGCATGAACTTCTGGAAGAACAATCATAATGATAAAAAGAACCCTTCCTCTCAGCAAACGCAGCCGCTAAACCGAACCTGTCAAACAATCATTCACGTCGAAAAGAACAACAACATTAGCAAGCATGTTCACAAAAAACACATCTCTATGCCGTGGACCGGGCATAAAGCCACCCACCAGACTCTATAAGTTTGCACCGGCCCGCAAAACTAAAGCCAAAGCCCGAAAATCCGGGACAAAGCATAAACGTCTACACAATCTGCACTCGGTCCTGCTCGCAAAGCCCAACGGAGGCGAACTTGTTGCCCACCTCTGTCAGGAGCGGACTGCCTCACAGTGCAACAAGCTGGGTTCAGTAAGCCCCAAAAAATTGGTGAATCCAAACGCATGTAAAGTGCCGAAGGCGCACTGCTGCTAAACTAATCGTTTAGGGAAACTAGGACTAGGACCTGGGACGTTGCTTCCTGCATGTTGGCTTGTCAGTGTTTCATAAGATGTTTGTCGATACTGGGCTATGCCATGCGGAATTAGAGCTGTCGACAGCAGAGAGTGCGGCATGAGGGTCTGGTAGCGTCATGATACGTGACAGTCGCTCCACCTCCTTCTTCAAGGTCTGGTGTCTTCACGAACTAGCTTAAGAAGGTCAGCGCCTCTGTCCTCCCTTCTCTCTATTGACTCTATTTGTAATGATGAAGGCATCTTGAAGGCTGACCATGATGGTATTGCGCCGGCACCGGAGTGGTCCAGGCTGCAAGGCACGCCGCTGCAAACGCAGCGCTTGCAGCGTGTGTATGCATGCGTTGCTTTGCCCGCTGCGTCTCATGAAGGCCTGGTGGTATGTCAACTGCTGTACATGACATTCGCTCCACCTCGCTCTTCAAGCTTTGTCCTCCACTTGAGAAGGCCCAGCAGCCCCTCTGTCCTCCTTTCTCACCATCTGGATAGCAAACCCCTCTCAGCCGTTAAGCTCCAGAATCGGCATCTCTCGGCACTGTCGTAGATTTGGCTGTGCAAGTCTGAGATCTGCATGCGAAAGACCAGGACTGTGCTGCTCCTACCCCCAGTCTCGCAGTGAGGGACCAGCCTTCCGGCAGCTGCGGGATTAGTCTTTCCAGGGAGTCGTAATCCTGCGCATGCAGCCACAACTCGTCCGGATCAGAAACAACCCAACACCCTAAGACCTGGGACCTGCCAATCCTTGCTTTGGCTAGATTTACATTAACGGTGCGGTGTCCGTGGTGCATCGACGCATTGCCTAAAATCAGACGGACAGTGGTCCTCCAAGAAATAGTACGTGTCCACCAGTGCAGCATTGTTTCCTGCCTGAGGTAACGCATGCGGTGGCTTTCAAACTTCTTCCCCAAGCTCATGTCGCACTCTCAAGGCGCCTTGGCGTAGTAGTTGGCTGCATTGGGCCACCTCAGCCGCAGTTTCTAAGGGCAAACAGGCCCTCCCAAGCCCGCTGTCACATTCGGTCTGCCGAATTCCCCCGTGCATATCACCTCCTTCCTTCTGCATCGAGCGGCTTGCAGCGGTCCGCGTAGTAATCGCCGATCGCACTCCATGCTTGGTGCAGCAGTTCCTGTAAAGATGGGCGGACTGCAAGCACGAACACTAAGCGGTCATGAGCAGGCTTGGTTTCGCCGTGCACCCCCCCTCATGACACACTGCCTGCCTCGTTGGCACCATGCGCCAGCTGAATGACTCGGAACCAGTCACCCAGGCGCACCCGAAGATCGATGGCGAGGTCCTCCGTCAGTGATCTGTAACCAAAAATACTGAGCCAGAGCTCGCTATCATGCTGGGGCGGGCAATCGGCAAACAAAGCCCAATTGACAAACAAAGCACATGTTCAGCTCAAGCTTTGATCTCAATCGGGCTCTACCGCCACGTTCCACTGCAATGTCTCGGCGCCGAAGACTCGGGGACCCCCATTCAGACCTCAATTGAAACTACATTGTGAGTTTGAAGCACTGGGCCTTTCGGTCGATCTCCCTGTACAGGCTCTCCGCCTCGTCGAAGCGCTGGAAATAGGCCGCCACCTCAGCCAGAAAAAGGCCCGATGCCCCCCCGTGACCTTCAACAGCCCTATACCCAAAACCCTAACCGGCCCTAAGCACCTAAGCTGGCAATCTTGCCCCTGGCCACCCCCCCGGCCTCAGCCTTCTGCTTCACCCGGTCGTCCTCCACATGCAGGAGACCGAAAGGTGGAGGAGTCTGAACTTCCCAAGGCCAGGGTCGCATGCTTGCATAACCGAAGCTTACAACAGCTGGGGGGGGGGGGAGTTTACGACTCAGAACACATGTCTGCAACTGCAGCTGGGATGTCCAGAAGGCGGAGGCGCTTCACCAGCTGGATGCCCTCGGTTTTCGCGGGGGGTGCTTTTGAGGATTTTTCAGCGTCTCGCAACCTCCACCGATGTTACACCAAGCAACGGAAACCCAACAAAAAAGCCTAAGCCTCCGTTGTGCCGCCCTTGCAAAGAAAGCATTCAACGTCACGGTGTCGCAGGCATGCTTTCCAGCTCCCCGACGTGATTGAAAAACATCGCCCTTGGCACCTGCCCTCTGCGACCGCGCCTGGTAGTCCTCGAAGCGCACGAAGGCCTTCTCGGCTACGCCGAACTCGAGCTGTTCTAAGGCGGCCTCCGCCAGCAGCCTGGTCCGGGTATATCAGGGATCTCACTACGATTTGGAGTTTGGGGTTTAGGACCTTGTACTCCGGAACCCGATGTCGCTCAGCCATAGGTTTCGAGTTATGTTCGGCTTGAGACATGTGTCTCTCCCCTCTGCCGCGCAGCACAGCGCAACTTTCTCCGCTTTGATGGCACACACGTCATTTTGCAGCAGGATTTTCCTCATCAGGTGAGCTGCCCCGCCATTGCCCTAAACCAGGCAAAAACCAGCATGACAAATATTCTTCCGGGGATAACAGCCAACTTTCTCACACTGTCATACTGAAGCCCACCCAAGGCCAATCTGCTTGAGTCCCAACATAAATGACCGTCTCGCACGTCTTTCTCGTCTTTGTTACTATAGGCTCAGCAAGAACTACTGGCAAGTTTCTTGCAGCGGTGCGTCGGCCGTGCGATGAAACAAACTCCTGCGAATCCGAGAAACTGCAAGCACTCCAATCAGGTCTCATCTTGGGCAATTGCATTGCTTGAGCAGGCCATCTGCCTGTAATGAAAGTTATCATGAAGGTTCTCTTTTCCTAAACAAGGCCATCAAACACCTACGCTACCCCTTTTTGGGTGTTGCAGTTCTGGGACATAACGGCCGCATTGGTCATGCCTGGCCGGATTTAAACTGATTGAAATTTGCGCCATCACAATTTGGAACAGGCACAAGCCCACAGACAGTGAGTACCGGTAAGACTGCGCAGAAACACCCCTACCTTACAGCCAGAATCGTAAGAATTGATGCCTCTGCATCATCGCGAAACAACCTCTAGACTCCAGCGTTAATTGCATGCACGCGAGGGCTTCCTCAGCCCTCCGCGCAGGAACCAGAGACTCACAGAAGCCCCCACCAGCCTGCGCAGGATGGGGGAGGGGGGGCCAGGAAGAGGAGAAGCTTGCATCCACGTAGCCTCAGAAGAGCCTCCACCAAAGACCTGGCAGTCAGCACTCACTGCCCAGGGTTCTAAGCAGGCTTCTGGGTAGCAGCCCACAGGTCAGAAACAGGTTTTTGGGTAGTAAGTGCTGGGGGGCGGGGGGGGGTCTCACTCACCACTTGTTGCTGATGCTACCGGCAGGCCAAATGACACTTAGTCGTATGGACAAACCTGGCTCTCCCCTTCGCGCGCCAAATAGCATCCCGAGCACAACCATGGGAATGTCTGATCCAGCGGAGTCTTAAGCCCAATCCTCAAAATGAACTGAAGACCTTATTCTCTACTCCGCTCGTCCGCCCAGCACCAAAGCACCATAAAGCACCCTTCGGCCTCGTGCACAGGACTTCTCGGCCTAGTGCTTTCCCAGCATCTTGGAGGCGCCTACAGCTGAACAAGCAACTTACATGGGCTGTGGCAAGAACCTCAGCACATGACATGACATGTAGCTACAAGCCCACGCTCTACTCTACTGCTGGGCAACGTGCCTGCAAACGGGCTGTTGAACATTGCCTCCCTACTTCGAGACTTCTGCTCGGCTTCCTGTTGCTCTCCTTAGCAGAGAAAGGAGCCCCATCGCGACGCTCAGAACATGTTCACAGCATGTTCATTTAACATTTCACAACATCTGCAGAATCTACAAGAACTCAAAAGCATTGACAAACAATTGCATGGTTTCCGGGCACATGGGGCAACGCAAAAGCAAAAGCGCTGCCAGCCGGGTGGCGCTGCTTCTTTCCCTGCTCGCTTTGCATCTGCTCGGCGTGGGCCCTCCTGGCGCGGTCCATCTCCTGGCGTGCTTCCGCGATCCCTTTACGAAACTTGTCAAAGCCTCTGTGTCTGACGAAACAAATTCCTGGAAGTCGGCGACAGATCACATCGGAATGCCAAGTCCCTCGGTCCTCCTTGGTCATGTGCCCTGAGGAGAGGACACCTGCAATGCAGCAATCGGAATTCCGGTGGGTGCCTGCCGATTTTTTGCTATTGACATTTGGGACCCGGTAGACCCAACTAAAGTCGAACGAAGTCCCGGCCAAGCCGTCAAGCTTTTCAGAGTTCAGACTTTGTTCAGCCGTGTGCGTTTGGAACAAGGGGACAAGCATCTTGTTCTGACCTTGACAAGCATTCGTTCAATGGCGTGTAGGGTGGCGACTAGATCATTCCATCAGATGATCTCACGTGACATTGTAGGGGCACATCAGGATGTATTGTGCGAGGTCCATCCACAACTGTCATCCCTCGCGATGTGCCGCCTGATCCTGTCACGGAGCCTGCCACTTTTCCTGGCAGCTGTGCTTGTCGATGCGCTTCAGACAGTTCCACATCCTGAGCAGCCGAGGCAGATTGAAGCGTTGGCGTCTTGAAAGTCCCAACGGAAAAGAGGACGGTAATGCATTTTCAAGACCAGATGTCTCCCTTCTTCATCAGGAAAGACCTGCTTTGTTCCTCCTCCTCCTCCTGCTGTGCCTGTGCCGGCTCATGGGCAGGACCACGATGGACTACATGTCATTCTCAGTAGCTGGCCCTACGGTACGTCAGGAAAGAAAAACTCTCTTCACAAGCTAGGTCACAAAGCGGGGGGGTTCAAACCCCGCCTGGAGACCCGAGAAATACCCGACACAATGGCATGTGCAGCGGCCTGCTGCGCCCGCATAGCTTGCAAGATGTAGGCTGCTCGGAGGGTCTGCGGGTGCAGATGCAGTAAGACGTGCTCTCAGAAGCCCTCACTCCTACGTGCCCCCCTACTCCCTCAACCTGATTGATCATGGCTACACGTGGGTTTTGAAACTTGTTCCTGTGCACTCCCTGAGCCACACCAAGGCCTTGAAGGCAGCCTACCCCTTGACTCTGCCGGCCTGCTGGAGTTCGTCCGCGGGCCCAAGCCCTGAAAAAAGGTCTTGGGCATAGGCTAGGGAACTAGAAACAACCAATCGATGTAGGATGATGCAGGGCTTGGGGTTGTTTCGGGTTCAGATGGGTCTCGCACTGCCTTTCGGTGTCTCTTCGTCCATTTTGCGGAACGGCCGTGGCTTGTTTTTATGACATATAAAATCCCATGGCGCCTGGGTAGCCGCGGCCCATGGCCTGATGGGCTGGCCACATGTCAGCATCGCCTGCCAATGCTTTTTGCTGACGAATCCCCCCCAGGACCACAACTCTTTGCACTAGCTGCCTTCGACCATAACACGACATCATGTTCTCGAGGCCTTAATAATTAGAATAGGCTTTTGGGGGGGGTGACTATATACTTATAACTTATAATGAAGTGCAGCCTGCAATCATACAAGAAACGACATCGGACCTCACCACTGCCTTCTTACTGCACTTCAGTGTCGAGTACAATGACTGTGTCGGCAGCGCCTTCCCCTTTCACATTCATTTCAAGCCACGGCACCGTCTGACATTCCTGCTTGGCGCACGAGCTGAGCCTGAAGCCTGGAGAAAAGGATGTGTAGGAAAGACAACGAGAGAGAGAGAGAGGGAGAGAGCGAGAGAGAGAGAGAGAGAGCGAGAGAGAGAAAGAGAGAGAGAGAGAGAGAGCGAGCGAGCGAGCGAGCGAGAGAGCGAGAGAGCGAGAGGAACGAGAGGAACGAGAGGAACGAGAGGAACGAGAGGAACGAGAGGAACGAGAGGAACGAGAGGAACGAGAGGAACGAGAGGAACGAGAGGAACGAGAGGAACGAGAGGAACGAGAGGAACGAGAGGAACGAGAACCAGACAACGGGACAACGAGAGAACGAGAGAACGAGAGAACGAGAGAACGAGAGAACGAGAGAACGAGAGAACGAGAGAACGAGAGAACGAGAGAACGAGAGAACGAGAGAGAACGAGCGAGAGAGAGAGAGAGAAAGAAAAACAAATACTAAGGCACTGATGGGCGCTGGATTCCGGAACGGATCACAGTGTTTGCCATCACGATGATAAAGTAGACACCACAATCGGTGAGCTTTCACGCTTCTACCACAGCAGCTCTCCTCTCCTCGTAACCAAAGCCCTCACGACTATAAAGGCTCGCTGATGTTGATCCCGAAGAAGTCCCATACCCTTCCTCAACCTGTAGATGCTCTGGCCTCGACTGCTCGCGGATAGTAGACTGAACCAGCGCCATCTGCTGCCTGTGCTCCTGTGCCTGCTTGTGGCATGAGAGATGCAAAGCCCACAGCCGGTGCCGTCCAACAAGTGACGGTTACAGTCTTGCTTTCTTTCAAATTTCAATTCAACAGCACCACGGGAGGACACAAAGGGCCTTCACGCGTCAAGCCGTGCCGCAGTCTGCCATTCTACACGACGCGACGATACTGGGAATCTTCATGACAAACATGAGGCAAGACACGTCTCGCTCCAGGCGCTCCACGTCTTCAGAAATTTGCACCAAACCATTCACCTGACAGTAGAAGCTGAAGAAGGGGAACCAGCATCTGACACTATCTTCCTGAGCAGCTGGGGACCAATGTTCGCTTGTCCTTTCCTGTAAACCGCAGAACTTCTCATCAGCATGCGCCTGATCTGGAGCTGTTTTGGCTGAAACCTCAGCATCGTATTGAGTCATATTGCATGCTTACAGCGTTATGTCAAAGGCAGTCAAAGCATGGGTTTTTGACAGGCAGCCAGCTGCTTGATCAACTCCCTCAGTGCGGTTGTCACACGGAAGTCACCTGACCGTCACAGAAACACTGCTTTGGGCCTCTATGGCGCTCCTGCATCGCTTCGTCACACAGCCAAGATGCTCGAGCCACTGGTAGGACTGCCGACCTTGACAACTTGAGGCTGAGTTGTTACCAACTCAGCGTGTCAGAAGTGATTGCAGAAGCGGGCCAAGTGTGCGACGGCTTGAGGTTTTGGGGGGGGCTCGAGTCATAAGCGGGTAAAGCGAGCTTAGACTGCGAACGGCGAGTGCCAGGTGGTGCGCCAACGTGCTTGCCATTCTGACATCTTCCTGGTCTTCGTGTTCGCCTACTCACTGGTTACCAGTCCCTCGTGGCCAATAGCTGCTCTGCCACCAAGCTGCTGGAGCGTCCGCATCCAGCGCAAGCCTGGGTAGCACAAGAACTACTCGCTATGTCTCAAGCATCAGATGGGAGACTTCCCTTACATACGAAAATGACACCACAACCGCCACAACCCCCACCACGACCAGTAAATCTTGAGCTCGGGCGTGCGGCCAGGCAGCGAGTCGACACAGCTCATGGCAGCTGACTCAGCTCCCTCGGCCATGGCCTAGGAGGGCACAGCATCTGTGCTTTGGACTCGAGTGACTTCAGGTGGGCGCAACCTGCGAATTGCATCTACATAACCTCTGCGCAAAGGCACAATGAAGCACTCGCAACATGGGGACTCTAAAAGTGCCATGCCAATGTAGAGACTTGCCCCACAGAGTGTGCTTAACGCGTCTGGATATGAAGTAGGGTTTGTTTTTCTTGTACCCCCAAAAGGACACCAAATATATACACTCACCAAAATTAAAAGGGAACCTTATATACACTCACCAAAAACAGAAATATAAACCCTGCTTCATATCCTACGATATCATACGACATCCACGAACCGCATCCAAGCGCGTATGAGCAGCAGGTCCAGGCGCAATGATCCCGACCGGATTATGCGGCTTGTGGTTGACTCTGGTGGTCACAAGCGAGCCATCAGTGATGCCGAGCCTCGGATCGATGTGCCATGATGTTCCAGTGTTCCCCTACTGTTGAAGATCATGCGGTGCTCCCCGAAAGCTGAGTTGCTGATGGTTGCTGCATCTTGTCACAAGGACGCGCACAAGCGTCCCTTCCGTCTCGCCCTCGCTACTCCCGACTCTAATCTATGGTACACTGCCTGGTTAGTTCATGCTGCTCATCACACCTTAGCCTTATCATGTGGCGACCCCCTTGCACAGCAAGTGCACCGTCCATATTGCTTCTCACTGTCCTCCAGCGATCCATGTGCAGCTGTGAGGCTCGTCGATGGTCGCATCGGCTTCCCTTGCATTTAACATTCAGAATGCTGACTCTGTATGGCCACGTCAATAGGCAGCTCTTATGAGAGAAGGGTTGCAGTATAACCATGGAAGAGCCTGCAAAGATGCACAGTAGGACACAAGCAACGGGTAAGGAAGAATGAGGGGAGGGAGGGAGTGTGCGAGGGCACGAGCACGACTGAAGTGTGCGAGACGTCGTGAAGCAGTGTCTGAGTGCATGCGCATCCGCGCGAGGTAACGCGAGCGTGAACCAGAAGAAGTGTGTGAGCATGAGAGAAAGTCTGAGAAGGAGAGAGTGAGAGAGAGAGAGAGAGAGAGCGAGAGAGAGAGAGAGAAAGAGAGAGAGACAGCGAGAGAGAGAGAGAGAGAGAGAAAGAGAGAGAGAGAGAAAGAGCCAAAAACTCCAACAGCCGAACGGTTGGGTTTCTATCTCTAGAGGCGGGGGCCAAGTATCACCCCGAGGCCGGAACGGAACGGAACTGAATCATCTTTGTCTTGATGGCTGTTGGGTTGCACAGCTGGGTTAATTATTAACAATCCTACTAATTCCTTTGGAGTCAGAGAGCGGGAGCGGGACAGTGAGAAAGAGTCAGAGTGAGAGTTGCTGTAGCGAGAGGGGCCGGCAATAGAGAGGGCAAGGACGGAAAGAAGAGACAGGAGACGAGCGGGAGTGGGGGGACACAGTGGGGGCTTCGGGTGTGGGTTTGGTGCACCGGCTTTGGATAAAGAGAGAAATCGAGTGAAAGAGCGAAGGAAGTGAGGAAACAGCCATAAACACGCTGAGAGATTACTTGGAAACGGGTGAAAATTCTGACATCACAGCTCTGAGGCTCCGAGTCCCTTCTGTCTGGGCGTCTAGATGCAAAGAGCCCTGCCCCTCAGTGCAGTGCCAAGCTGCAACTTAACCCCTTGAAAGGTGAGTTCTGGCAAGTCGGAAAGTCGCAGTGCCTCCCAGTGGGAAATTGAGAGTGAGGCGAGGAAAGCAAAGCGAGCGAACGTCTGTGACACCATGCCACCCGCCTTGCTCACCTCCAAGGACACGTGAAAAACCTCGTGCGCAAGACAGTCAAAGCCACATGAGCCGAAAGAAAGAAAATGTAAACACAACAATATGCGGCCTTGAAGCCGGACACTTCGCAGGCACTCTGACCTCGATGATGTTGCCGCCGCTAGAGGCTTCTCCTATGGGAGCGATGATGGGGTTGTCGTGGCTGGTCTGCACACGCACCTCGCTGCAGAAGGGCTCAGATTTGGCGATTCTGACTTCCAGAGTCTATGCCTGAACATGTCACTGTCCCGGTGGATGGCTCTACATGCTTGAGCTGCGGGGCCGTGATTTGCTGTTCCTCGGCTCCTTCGACCACATCCTCCATGGGCGAGGACATTCCTGCAATCGGCCGATTAGCGGCTCTACAATATCAGACCTCGAATTGGCGACCTCGTCGGCAAATCACATGCAGACCGAAAGCAGGTATGTTCAGGTACCTTTGGTTGCACAGCCCACGTCCTCCGAGCCAGAAATCACGGCCACAGCTCAGCAGCCCCCCCAGCTTCTCTTCCTCCCTTGAACCAGCTGACTCAGTTCACGCTCAGCAGATAGGCCATCCCACCGAAAGCAATCGCTGGTTCGGATGATCTCAAATATCCTCAAATCCCTAGCAGTCTAACTGCCCCCAAATCTGCTCTAAGCAAGCCACGGGCGCGCTGAGGGCCATAAACAGGAAGTTTCTTTGTGTTGAAACCCCTTTTTGGAGGTCCTTAGTTCTAGAGCAGCCCCAAGCGTCCCACAAAACATCCCTTTTTAACCCTTAAACCCTTCAACCCTTAAACTCTGCATAAGCCCTAAACCCTAAACCCTGCATCCAGCTGCTGCCTCCAGAGCCTCGGGTGTGGGTTCGCGTCAACCTGGGAGGGTGGGCAGGGCTCTTCGGAGAAGCTCTCTCATCTCTTAGTATCTCTGGGTATCTCTTAGTATCTCAAACTACCTCTCAGTATCTCTTAGCATCTTCTAGTATCTCCGAGCATCTCCGAGTATCTCTTCGGCCGAACTAGGCACTAGAAGGGTGCCGGGGCCGAGCTGACCCGAGGCTCCCGGCATAGTTGAAGGCATCCTTCAGGTTGGACACCTGGAACCGGGCCGGAGCGGGCAAGGCAGAATACCCCTAGCAAGGCTGAACCCATCTCAACGACTCTAAACAGGGTTTGGGGTTTAGGGTTTAGGGTTTAGGGTTCAGGGTTCAGGGTTTAGGGTTTAGGGTTTAGGGTTTAGGGTTTAGGGGGTTCTCCTGTTGCATGGTCTCATTCAAATTTGCCTCAGCCATGTGCTTGCTGGGTGCAGGAGGCTTCGGGATTGGTGCTCGGTGGGCGCGTGGCTGCGTGGTGGCTGCTTAAAACATTTACTAGCATGCAACCCAGCATCTGCTTAGTAAGAGGCGGCATGCTGCTTCGACATCGTTGCAGACACATTCCAAGAAGTGGCCTTCGTGAGGATGTCACGCGTATCTCTGAGACTTTTTGTCTCAAAGTCCAAGAGCACCTGCCATGGCCACAATGTGCCCTGCTACTGCATCATGCACTCCCTAGCGGAAGAAGACTCGCAATGTAGAGCTTGGATGGTTTCAGATGCAGCATCAATGGGAACTGTATTTCCTCTGTACGTGCTCTGCAACACAGCAGGGACCTCCTTCCGGGGATTCTCTGGATTCTGTATGACCTGCACGTGCACAACATCAGACGTGCCATTGCCGCAGTCTGGAGTAGAGAGTCGAAAAGCAGGGGTCAAGAGGAACCTCGTCAATGAGCACGCTTTGGATTTGGAGATCCTTGAAGGCGCATATGTACGCGTTGGAGAGCACGGGCTCCTCAAGGCATCTGCGCTGTGGATTTCGGAAGTCACAGGCCTCAGGTCCCTCCCGTACATCCGAATCTTTACAAGAAACCATTGCAAGTAGCATCAAGGAGCGCGTCCTCGGGCTGAAGGCCCCGGACCTTTGAAAAGCAACTGCTCAGCACCAGGGTTTAGGGTTTAGGGTTTAGGGCCGCAGGGCACAACGCATGTTCAGACCTTCCGAGGCCTTTCCGAGGCCCGCGCTATGTACATCCGCGTCTTCTCCATTATGGCGAAGAGGTCCGGATTGTCGGTTGCCCATCTCATGTTCCAGACCTGGTGAGATCTTCAGATGAGCTTTGACGAACTTCACTGAGGGATTCATCACGTATTGCCCCTTATCATTCATGAAACCTGGGAACCGCTGAGAACGACTGGGAAACGAACATCTTTGCGCTCAAAGTCCAGCTGTTTGCCAGGCCCATTGTCCTGAGGAGCACCGTGGAGTCGTGGAGAACTGTGCAGTCACAAAATCTCTGCCTAACTTTTGCCGAGCTCAAAGCTGGCGTGCTCTCCAGAACCTTCTCATTTTTGTCCGCTTCGCAGCAAGACTGGTACATCAGCAGGCAGAAGCTTGGGCAAGCTCAGACACCAAGCTTGCTTCCATCGCATTGCTAGATAGAGGACTCCAGCAAAGCGGCTTGCCCCAAAATGCCCTGATGATGGTGATTCGAGATTCGCTGGTTGCGAGTCAGGTCAATCATAGCTGAGGGTACAGTCCCCTGCATTTTCTCACAATTCAAGAGAACGCCGAAGAACACACAAAAACCTGCATTGGCTGTTGGCTTGATCACAGTGCATTCAGTAGCTCATGAACGTTGCTTGCATCCACCGGCAGGGCCCCACATGCAACCGAATCGCTGTTCTCGGGTCCATGGAAATTGAGTGCTCGTTGCTTCTTTACACCAGGGGCCCCTTTGCCGTCTGTACTGCACGGCCCACCCCTCACTGCATGGTCGGAGTTCAAGCTGCAACTGGCGTCACCTGTGCCGCACTCCAGATCTGGGGTTAGACATGCCCCGCTGTGCAACTGCGATTGTCAAGCGGCTTCAGCAAAGGAGCAGCAGAAGTTATGCTATGCTTCAGCAAACCTGCCATGGAAACCGCTCATTATGGCAGGACTTCTTGCACGAGCGGAATCTCTGGTGCTCGGGAAGCTAAAGCAAGCGTCTGAGAGCCATGATTCTTGTCGAAGACCCGAGGAGCAGACTGGGCTGCTCTTCAGCTGAATCAGAAGACTCCTGGCTTATTGAAATTTGGGTGTGAAATTTTTGAAGCACCGATGAGACATCACCCATTAGTCTAAAGGACGTACAGCAGCAGGGCTCTGTGTCGTCTGAATCAGGGAAACGACTCTGAATATGCAAGCCTGAACGAGCCACAAGCTCCTCAGTTTCCTAGACACACTCATACCGGAGCTCTCGACTGCAAGCTTCACCGAACAATGTTCCCACGGCGAACCCAGAGCGGCCTGAGCCGCGAGGTGTCGCGGCTGTCCTGCGGAAGCAGTGCAGCAGCTGAGGGCAACATGTGAAACTGCTTGCCGAGATGATGCATGGTCGGCAAATGGCGTCACGCATATCCGAAGCCGAGTGCCTCTGCAGCCTTTGCATTGGTGTCGATGAGCTCACATACGCCTCAGCTCCAGCGCAGCAGCTGCCGGCTCAAAGGGCTCAAACGGTGCTCACTGCCTTGCAGTGCCTTGCAATGCCTTGCAGTGCCTTGCAGTGCCTTGCAGTGCCTTGCAGTGCCTTGCAGTGCCTTGCAGTGCCTTGCAGTCTGGCGGCGTTCCCACGGGTTAGCTCCCGGCTTGAGTGCCTGCCAGGACTGCAGTGACTGCAGTTTGGGGTCTTGCGGAAAGCACGCGGGTCGGGCGCTCTAGCCACACCGTGCGACGGTGGTGGGTCCAAGCCTCCTCCCTTGCCTTCTCTGAGGTTTCCTCGTTAGCTCGATTCGAAGCCTTTCTTTGACAGAGTCAGTCGCCCATGTCTTTGAACGTTTTGCCATGAAGCAAAAGCTGCGCCAAATTTTGACGAAGAACGAGAAATAACGACAGTCCCACTTAGCTCGCTGCCATGCGCTTCTTCCTGGTGTCGACCCTCTCCTTTCACAAGAAAGTTAGATCACTCGTAGCACTTGCTTCCAGATTCCACTCGCCAGCAAAGCGTAGCGAATTGTGCATGTCGTAGGCAGCAGGGGCAGCAGGAGCAGCAGGAGCAGCAGGAGCAGCAGGAGCAGCAGGAGCAGCAGGAGCAGCAGGAGCAGCAGGAGCAGCAGGGGCAGCAGGAGCAGCAGGAGCAGCAGGAGCAGCAGGAGCAGCAGGAGCAGCAGGAGCAGCAGGAGCAGCAGGAGCAGCAGGAGCAGCAGGAGCAGCAGGAGCAGCAGCAGCAGCAGGAGCAGCAGCAGCAGCAGCTGTCGCGTTCAGATGCTTCCTCGTTCCACTTCTGCAGCTCGGACGTGGCGTTCCCACGTCGCTGCTCCTTCTCCTGCGCCTGGCCACACCACCGCTGTCAGCGACATGAGGTTGCTCCGTGCGAAGCAGTGTGGCAACATGTAGCAAAAATTGTTTGACGTAACAAGTTCAAATGGCACAGCAGTGCTGCGACGGACAATCCTAGTGGCGCTGTTGCGGTTGGGGCAGCAAGCTTCATCAGCAGGGCTCCTCTTTACGCGCCATCTCCTCCAGCTCCTTCTCGTGCTTCTCCTTTTGAGATTCAACAGAACAAGAAAACCAATTTTAAACCAAACAAATATACATTCAAATAGCACAATGCCGAAGCATCGTCCTCCCACTCGCGCAGTGCGTTCATCTCTGGGATGAGCGGAGTGGCCCCCACCGGATCCTCATGTGACGGCGTGCAAAGCCCCACAGATGCCCTCGCTCTGATAGCAGTGACCAAGCACAAGTCATGCAGTCAGGTTCACAAGCATGTAGCATGCACGGCGGGCCTTCACAGGAACGCCCTGAAAGGGATCCTGGCAGCGTACATGAGAAGAGATTCTCAACACATTAGCCTCTGCCGCTGCCGATACGGCAGATGCACAGCACTCGCTTGGACAAAGCTCTCCTGATACGCGGCCGGTGCCGGTGCTGGAGCGGAGCCAAGCATGTCCATCGGCGCGGCCTCTCCCACACTTAAATGGCGATTCCCGAGCATATTCGGCTTCGAAGTTGCGTGCATTCTCTTGTACTGAAACTTGCCAAAGTCAACACTCCGCCTCTGGGGCACCGCCTAGGTGCGGTGGGAGTGGGTCGACGGGCGCCTGAAATGTCCAAGAAACTCTACGAATACGATCGCACATCGTGCCAATAAGATCGTGCGTCAACTTTCGGTGGGCGCCACTCGCCTCAGGCATCGGTTGGGGCGCTGCCTGCACACCGAAGCGAACACACAGTCAACTAGTGTTGGATCCGCTTTAGTGGGGGGGGAGGCTCCCCGGAGCTGCCAGGAGACTAGCTCTTGTAAAACCAAGGGGGGGTATGGGGGGGTGGCGACGGGGTGAGGGGGGGGGGGGAGCTCATCAAACTTGTTTCCGACTGTTGACGGCAGGGGGCAAAGCAGAAGATATTGCAAGCTAACTTCTCGCCAGTCTATGGTAAGGAATTGAACCGACTGGGTGGGTCTAGAGTCTTGCTGTCACACACTTTGGCATGCTGGCACTTGCCGCATGTCTGCAAACTCACCTGAACATATCGCAAGGCGCCTCCGTGAAGCCCAGAAGGTTGCTGCCATCTGCACCCTGCGGAGCATCCAAACATATCCAACAGTTCAAACATGCTCTATGAAAGCTCACAACAGGAGTACATGAGGAATGCTGATTGCACAGCACGTGCACGCCGCAACACCGATGATCGTCACGAGCCACTCAACCAAATGCAAGGCGAGCAAAGGCCAAAGTGGTGAAAGGCGACTCAACATCGCCACACTCGCCATGTCTGGTTTGGCATGTCATGGCGCGCTGGGCTGCATGGGGAACAGCACCCCATCCCTCCCCGCCTCCATGCTGGTTCAAGGTCTCAGGCTAAGGGCAGGCAGAAGAGCACTTCGAGCCACGAAAGCGTTCACTGTCACTCCTGAGCCTAAGCCCTACACTGCAAGCTTCAATCCCCAGACAAAGGCATCATCACTCCCCTTTGCAATAAGCATCTGGCACCTGCCCCCCTTGGTCCTGCGAGTTGGTCTCCGCGTGCTGGCTGAAGAAGCCATGATTGACGATCTGCCGGATGTCAACAAAGAGAAACCGTACGCGGGTGCAGAAATCACGGCATACTCCGGCACTGATCATCGGCATTGATCGGCACTGGCTTAGTAGCGGCTGCAGGCATCACGACCAGCCTCGATGTCAAAAAGCAGGAGCACCTCGGATTGCGCCAGAACGTCCTACGTTGCCTCAATGCGCACATGGCTCTACAGGTCTACACATATGTGGCACGTCCCATGGAAGCGGCGCTAAGACCCCAGCGCCGTTGATGTCAATGACTGACATCCTCGTGCTGTCGCAGTTGGCAGCTATCACCTGCGCAGAATCGGGCACCGCATCGCCCTCTCTCCATGACGGCCTGTGATCATTCGCCCTTCGCCTGGGGCCGACATCGGATGGTGAAGCGTGCTTCCAACGACAGGTGGGGCCTTGCTGCGGAGGAGCCGACAATTAACAATGTAGACGATTTTGGTGCAACCTAGCTGCCCTAGCTACTTTTGGTCCTTTGGGACGGCAGCTTATCTGGGCCGTGCGCAAGATTGCGGTACAAAACGAAACTAAGGGCCTAGCAGGGCATAGCGATGCACCACGCCGCTTTCCCGTGCTATCAGCAGGCATTGCTCCGTGGCACAGATACAGGCAATGGGATCCTCCAGAGAGATTTGTGTGACTGCAGCATACGAACTACTGTGTTTCAGTGCGGCTCTTTGCGCTTCACGCAGTCAAAAACAATGGATCTCCTGTGTAGTCATGGAAGGCGGCACGAAGCTTTCCTGCACATTGAACATGCAGCTATCTTTGGTGCCAAATCATTTGACCAACTTACGCCCCTCTTGCACGTTGCGCTGCGTGCGGGAGGAGGATGCTGCACCCCAGGAGTTACTGGGCATTGGTGCGCTGTACAAGAGCGCCCAGGAGGCATGAGCACCCCAATACTTGCAAGCCACGTCCTAGAGGGCTCTTAACTTACGAAGACCTTCGAAGCAAGCACGCAGAACGATACTTCATCGCACCATGACCTCTCACCTTGTCATGGGTCCCGCTGCCGGGTGCAAAGGACTCGTCGATGTGAAACCTGCCCGTGCCACGATAGATGGCATCTGCTGGCGAGGACCCAAACTCATTCTTGCCCTGAGCGTGTCTCTTTCGTGTCTCTTTCCCAATATACAACCAGTTCTGTTCCCCACCCTCCCAACATTTCCTCCCGACTTTGGCCAAACAGCGTATACCTTGCAGGATTTCTAGGCCTTGAGCTTGCAAATGAAAAAAGATTCTCTCCCAGAACGCCATACAAAAAAGAAAAGTCGTCAACATCCAAACGCATTGGCTCTTGCTCGGACCAATAGCCAGACAAAGTTGCTCCAGAACACCAAAAGAACACCCAAAGCCAAGCAAACAAGCTGCTGACAAACTCGCCCACTTAGGACTTTAAAGCCTGACCTCCTCCTCAGACATGCTCTACTGAACCGGCTTTTTCGCAGTGATTCAGGTTTGGGATTTCACGGCCCCTCGAAAGTCAATAAGTGTTGGAAGCATGCCGGATGGACATCATCTCTGCCCTCTTCCTGGCAGAATTCTGCCGACCACTGGGGAAGGGCTGCCAGAACCCACAAAAAAACCGACGGCGCGACTGCTTGATGCCCATTCCGGCAGCTGAAGCCAGGTCGCCCTGCACGGCTTTGAAAAAAACAAACAGGGAAAGAGATAACTTACAGTCCTTGCACATGAATGAATTTTGACCCGGATCTTTGTGCATGTTTCGCCACCTGCAAATGCTGCTAGTATCTGCTGATGCTCTGCCATGCCCTGCAGGATGCTGCCTACGCTGCCTACACATGCACAGGCAGAGGGGGAGCACGAGCCTTGGTATGGACGAAAAATGATGCGAAAAGAATGGCATCCCCTTCAGGCCTGTGCTTGTCGGGAAACACTCGTGCGATAGCTCCAGATATAAACAATGTCCTGTCGGTGAAAGGCGCGACTTTGAAGGTAGGGAACTGATGCTGCTGTTGGACAGTGATGGCTGCTTCGTACTGCATGCCCTATCACGCACAGGTCCTCGGAAGTGACGATGACGTGCGAGTTCGTCATCGCAACATGGACTGGGTCCAGCTGCATATACCTCGCGATGCTTCAGGCCAACAGCTACCCGAAGCTGCGATATTGTTTTCTACGTCTCGCCAGCCTTTTAAACGTTTCGGTTTGAAACGAGTCTTGCAAGTGCATCTGAATGCACACATATAGAACCATATAGAGGCAATAGTGCAACGCACCAAACGCCATCAATATCGATGCCTTTCCGGAACAATTGGGGGCACTTGGAGTCCACCGGACTGCCGATGTCATTGCAAACTATGACCTTGGCTCTCGGGTGCTCTCTGCACTATTGGATCTCTGGAAGGCTAGCGTGGGCAACTCGAAGTTCTAGTGCTCATGTGATCTGGCACAGCTGACGATACAGACTTTCAATTGGCTCTACCACCCCACACGCATAAAGCCTAAGCTTTAAGTCCAAAGGACAACACCTGAAGAGAGCCTTTCTTGACAAACCCTCACCCAAGACTTGTAGAAGCGATGAAGCCTGAGCTCAGGCGGATTGAACCTCAGGTTGGCATCGTTTCAGGCCAGTGGCAATGTGCTGTCCACTAGCATCGTCTGCCTGTGGAGACATCAAGGGTGTAGGGTTTAGGGTTTAGGGTTTAGGGTTTAGGGTTTAGGGTTTAGGGTTGATGCGATTTCAACTGCAGCAAGCTGCCGCGCCGATACACCAACGGCTTGATTCTGGAAGCCAAGAAGAAAAAGCACGCCACGAAACCTTTACGTTTATCAGCCTCTCATGTTGTGACTTTCTGCCATGGGCCTTGGTGACAAGGACACAGTACTCCTCAGAGGATCTAATATGCCTGGGCTTCAAGAGATGGTCATCGCAGAGGCGAGGCGTGGCGAAGCTGCAATAGACTGCTTCGATGCATCGCCAAGGTGCGTCACGTGCTTAATGTACTTGGTGTATTTCTCCTTGGTCACGCTAGACTTGTGAGAGGAACAGAGCTGTGACATGTTGAGTTGCTTTTCCACGCCTACGGACATGAGACGGTCCACGCACTGGCTTGCTGAATGAAAACCGTGACAAGAGGCGTCGCTATGGGTGTCCCAGAACACGACGACATGCTCATTGCGCTCTTTCCGCAACACCTGCCAAAACGGACTTTGAAACGAACGCTTCGGACAGGCCACAGCACGGAAAAGCCGACGCAGTCAGGTGAAGAGTTACTATAGCTGGATGCATCCCGAGGCCGCTGCAGCGTACACCAGCGTCTTTGAGAAATATCCCCAAAGGTAGTCTGGCCTGCAACATTCTGCCATCTGAACGAACTGTGCAGGAAACTCCTAAACTACTTCGGGAGCTCTTTACTGCGATATGAGGGAAACTGCGCCTGATGTTGGCGAAGAAGATATGTGAATCAACTGCCAGCGCTAGTCGAAGACCAGAACCTGGTCACTGGTCACGCTTGCAGCCGAAATGGGTGGAGGCTTTGTTTTTTGGTCTCTCAAAGAAAGCAAGCCTGCTTTGCAGGATCCGGTCGAGATGAATATGTGCTTACCAGCAGCGTGCCATATCGGAGCGATCGTAAGCTGCCCCAAACCCTCAACCCCAATCATCCAATTGACACACGCCTTCCCAGGAGATCGAGCGTAGGTTTTGCCCTGGAACTCTCCTCGGCAAGCACAAAGACATTCAACGAATCGCAGATGAGTCAGTGCACGCCACCTCCCATGCGAGCAAGACGCAACGATCTGAGATGCTGCCCACTCGGAGCGTAGAACTGCACAATGCCCACCTGACCATGGCAAGGGATGGTATCATCGGGTAGATAAGTTTGCTGCTGCTGCAAGCTTTCCAGGCCTCACGGTCTGCAGCGGATGCCCCCTGACTCTGCACGCCCGCAATGGCGATCTGAGCATGACAAGAGGACTGAGGGAAGCTCGCAGAGATTCAGAGACCCTCCTTGCTGTGACAAGCACACCTCCCTCCTAGCCTAACTCACAGCAAGAGTTCTACAAGCAGTCTTCGCGGCTCTCTTCGCTGACTCTTGAGGCTGCGGCCACCGAGCCATTTGGATCCCACTTCAGACCAGTGCACCGCCTTGAAGGTGAAACAAAAAAACCAGCTTGTCTCAGCTAGCTTTGCAATGCCACGCTTGTCCTTCTTTCCTTCCACTTGCCTCCCTCTTTTGGATTCTTCTTTGAGTCGAGGCGCAGCTGTGTGTCCAAAAGCACGGGCTTGTCATCGGCATCACCTTGACACCGACATGATACCGACATGCCATGCAAACTCAACTGAGAAGCTGCAAGGGCACTCCACGCGGCTCAATTTGCAGCTGTGCCACTTCTCATGATCTGAACACGGCCGTTCTCGAAGCCCAAACAAAGAGTCGGCGTCTGCAACGGCAACACTGCCGCCACTAAATGAGTACAGACATGCGAGTACTTGGATATGCATGCGATGGATAACCCCGACACGTGCCTGGTTCTCCGGGCCATTGGGCCCTGCGAACCTCCAAGCCCGTAATTGTGCAAAGCATTGTCAGGAGTCAGGACTTGCCAGCACGAGCAACATACAAAACACCACTGCAACCAAGCCGCCAGTCAATGCCGGCGATTGCTACGGTGCCCTCGGTGCCACTGTCGAGGCCTGGCCCAAACGGTCCCATCAAGCCACACATGCCGCCTCAGCTCACACCAGCAGAAGTGGCAACAACCGAAACTGCAAATGCGAACGGACACACTGCAGGCACAGGGTTTTAAGATGTCAAAAAGGCCGGGAAGACAGTAGATTGGCACCTTGTGGGAATAGATTCCTTCATTGTCGTAGACATGCACCTGCAGAAGCCATCATAAGCCATCAAAAGCCATCAGGTGCCATCAGGACATGTCTTGCGCATGCTGACAGGGCTGCATCGACCGTGAATCCCATGAAACCTCCATGCCTCGCCATTGAGAGTGCAGAAGAGGATGTTCTTGCCATCCGGCGACCACTCTACAAAGGCAAGCTGCGTCTTGACCTCCAGACTAAGCAGCTGCACAACTCCACAGGCACCTTCAACACTACCGCCAAGCGAAACCAAGAAAGCCAAGTACGCCCCTCGGAAGATCAAAACACCGCAATGCAGAGGCTCGGGCTTCCTTCCCCCACAGCCTGACGAGTTCGGTTCTGGGATGTGCATGCAAGGCAGTGCAAGGCTGGTAAAAGACTGCTTTGGTTGCTGATGAAGCTGTCACGAGCATGTCCCGCCTTTGCCCATCTACCGTGCCAACTATAACTGCACCATCTTCATAGATGATGCATATCCTCAGTCAACATCCATCCCCAACACAGCAAGGGATGAGCTTGCAAAGGCCGCACCCGAATCCTTTTGAATGCTAGGGCTGCCGCTTCTGGCAGTCGGCACCTGATTCTGCAGATACTCCGCCCGCCCCAGCGAAACTGATGGAAGGACGTGCTGGTCTCTGTATGCCGAGATTGCAGCACATCGAAGTGGCACACGTCAGTTCTAACCCCCAGACTTGCAACCCAAAGTATGCCCCAACCCGTCGTTGGTGGAGGTTCCGACTTTGGGCGTAGGGTTTCGAGGCCTCGCAGCATCCGTGGCGGCGAGCTCTCGATAAGGATATGCAAGTCATGTACCAGCCCAGTGACAGAACACATAGCTTGGTCATAGTGCAGCGAGTTCCCCGTGCCCCTTGCCACAAGGGGGGCCAGGAGGGGGTGGCAAAAGCGGTTGGGGGGGACGTACCTTCCCACCAGCGACTTAATTGCAAGAAAGCTGCTCGTTGTCACCAGTATTCACTTTCTTGTCCAGCTGAACTAATACAATAACGCCCAAGCACAGGCATCGTTCACGGATCTGCAGCATGCTGATGCCAAATGAAGACCAAGAAGCATTGGCTAACAAACATATCATTAAAGTCATTGAAACAAATCCTCACAGCGGTGGCACTTCTCGGCTGTACTCAAAACAAAGATCCACTTGAGTGAGGAGGCCTGATGCTTGGCAGGGCCTTTGAGCCTTTGGGGCCTTCTGGGCCTTTGGGCGCTGAGGCGAGTGGTCTGATCCATGCTGCAGATAGGATGCTTGGGCCCTGACTCCATTTCATGTCTCGAACGACACTTCTGTTTCGATTGTTGATCATTTCCTCGCAAGTGAGACTGACATAGACAGACTTCGGTTCCAAGCACCCAGCACAGAAAGCTGATAGAAGCCAGAAAGGCAGAAATCTAGTCGAGCGTTGTGTGCAACGTGAGCATCACACGCTCCTCAAACCAGATTCCTCTGTGGAGCATCCAAACGATGATGAGGCCATTCCTGCCAACTTCAAGCTCTCAGACCGCCCAGGGTATTGCTGCCCTCGCTCATGCTGGCCACTCGCAACCATGACATTTGAGGACACGTCCAATGCAACGCCCCACGGCTCATGCAACAAGCTGAGATGGTGCTGAGATCGTCGCTGGTCGCTGGTGGTCAGCTTCCGGAAGTTTTCATTCCAGGTGATGACCATGATCGTACCTACGACATGCGGACTTTGGTGGGCGTCTCGGTTCAGCATAGATAATAGAGAGCTGTCGTGTACTCTGAGGTTACATCGCAGGCTGTCGTCAGCCCTCGTTTTTGGTCGGTGTAATGTAATGTGTGGACACCAAGTCTGCATTCTGGACAGCCTTGGTGGCCCTCCAGCGTCTGATTCATGGACAGATTGCCTCAGAGCAGCGCAAGCAGTAGACCAAGCCCCGCAACTTGTAGAAACCGTTTTGGCAACGGCGTGGTGTTTATCTGATCGTCTTTTGGTCCCAGTGGGCGTCGTATGTGAGGAAAACTATCGGTCCAATGCTCTCATGGTCTCATGATTGATCCGGTGGAGGGGCTATTGGTCTGATGGCTTGATACACGGGGCAACAATCGGTCTGATGATCTAATGATCTCGTGACCTAATGATCGATGATCCTGTGGTCTGATGATCTGCTGGTGTAATGATGTCATGATCTAACGACCTAATGATCTAATAATCTTCTGTGTTTGCAAAACAGGGCACGCGTTTCGAAACACGTGTGCTCGAAATTCCCGATTGGTAGTATATATATATATATATATATATATATCGATGACCATACTATGTATATGTATGTATGTGCTTATAGTATGCTTACTAATGTATGTTTCTCATATGTCTTTGCGCGTGTCAGGGTTTGGGTTTAGGGGGTCATCTCTGCCCCAAAGCATCCACCCCAGAGGCCCCGGCTCTGTCCGGCCGCAGCTTTCGCGGCCCCATCAGAGGTGGACTCGAGCTTCAGGACCTGCAGTTTGGGGGCTCTTTGGGGTTCTAGGAACTCATGGGTTCCCCTATGACCCCCTCTATACTACCCCCCCCCCTAGGTTCCCCCCTTTTGGGACAAATAAGCCAGTTAAGGGTATCTAAGGGGCGGGACCCGTCTGTTAGGAAGGCTTGCAGGACACTTGGAGAGTTTCCTTATGTGGTTTGAGCTTCGTGGGGCGATACGTCTAGGAAGCCTTTTCCAAGGCTGCATCCGCTTGACCCATTCTGAGTGGCTGAGTTTCTAAACTCAGCTTCCTCTGCCTCTGACAAAAGAGGCCCTTGTCTGAAAGACAAGCCAAACTTGAGACAAGAATGCACAGCTCCCCTAGCTGGCCTTGAGCAGGCCGCTCTCGCCTGACCAGTGGTCAAGCCATGAGGCGATCTGCGGAAACTGGCATCCTGCAAGCCTCTTGTGCATCCGCGCATCTCAAAACGGGCCAAGAGGCCTCCGCAAGCAATCCATCCCTGCGCTGAGTTCCAAGACACCACCTAAGCAGCTCTCTCAACAGAAGAGACACGGCAAAACACAATGCCTCTGATGCGCCATGATGGCATGTTCGCTCTGCCGGGTTCCACGCCTGCAGCGCCAGCTGATGCGGTATGGCGATCTTCTTGCTCAAATAGACCTTGGCTACCGGTAGCTGACACATGAAGGACAGACAGCTTTGTTTCGTATGGTGGATAGAGCACAGCAGCAGAGTCTGATGTTCCTCTGAGTTTGGGACAAACATCGTTTGAGCACAATGTCAGCTAAAGCCTTTGCAGGGCCTTAGACTGATTTTTTCATGCTACTTCAGCAGACAAGAACACGCTGAACGCGCTCCCACACGACCCAATCAGTCAAGAGTCCGGAGTCAGGTCTGTGGTCACTGGCACAACACAACTCGAACAAAGATTCTGATTCTGAGGGTCACGCGCACACCATGCGCTGGATCGCGCCTGGCAAGAGGAGCAACGCTTGTGCTTCTTCGACCTCTCAACCCTGAAACATGAACAGAGGGCTCAAGGCAGCAACCCGGCCTTCTGTCGTGACACACTCACAAGTTCTGGGGCGTAAGGGCTCGACCAGGAGTGAAGTACGAGTAGGGGTTGGGAGACTTGTGGGGGCTATGAGTATCGGGGCTCTCTGATACCCGCTGGTATTTGAAGTCTGACTCTATTATGATAACCTGGTAAGCTTATGTAAGCTTCTAGCTGGGCATGGATATTACTCCAGGCTAAGGTGAGTTGTTTTGGTGCTGTCAGGTCTGCGGAGTCTGCAGCTCTGATCCGTTTCTTCATTTCTTTGAACCAAGCTGGGCAGCAGGATCATCATCGGACCAGCGAAGATGAAACCATGGAGTCTCAGGGTACTGTATGAGTTCTAACGCAGGCGAGTGCTTCCTTTTCTGACTTTTTTTGCCTGCGCCAGGATCGTCCAGGCAAAGCAACTGGATGCCCTGAACCTGCGGCAGCGCCAATCGAGCTGGGGCAGAAACCTTGGCGTGGATCAGTCCGAGGCAAATGTGCAGGGCCGGCGCCCGAAGAAGAGCTGCCATGGGAAACTGCTGCAAGAGTCCAAAAAGCTAGGCAGGGCGATGCTTAATTTCATTGAGATAGGACACCTGCGCCAGAGCGAGGGCTGCAAAGACCCAGCGCCTGGACCCTTGCACGAAGCTGAAGCCAGTCAAGATAGTGCCCCCTGCGCGCAAACTATAGCAAACTCATGGCATTGGCCAACACATATAGGCGAGCGTCACAAGCTTAGAAGCGACGAAGAACAAGATCACTAAAGCAGACTGAAGCCACTACAAGTGAAGTTGAGAAGCCCTACATGGTTCACTACTCCGCCGTGGTCTTGGGTGGTAGGGGTCTTGGCAAGTGTCTCAGGTACCCATCCCATCCTCCCAGGACCCGCGCCCGGTGCCGCCATCAGTTTTGGCTGGAATTTTTTTTTCGGTGCCACCTTCCCCATCCCAACCCCCCCCGCAATTTATTCTGCAATTGATGCGGGGTTGCGATCTCACCCGTCCAATGCACGCAGCGTTGCTTAAGGACCTCCGTTCGGCATGTCGGCTTTTGCAAAGACCCACACCCGGGCTCCTGATGAAGACCCCCGGGCCGAGTAGGTGTCCAGAACCCGAGATCTGACGCTGCAGGACCGTGCACAAGTGGGCACTTAGCTACTTAGCTGCCTGCTTCCATCTTCAGCTCTCCGAGCAAGTCCATCGCAAGCTGGAGCTGCGACGCCTGGGGTCAACTCGTGAGCCCTCTCTAAAGTTCAGGATTGCGGCGCTCCCCTCAAGCTGTAGAACGTGAAGCTTCAAACGCTGCTGAACTCAGTAACTCAGCATGTCTTCAATGGAGCTGAAGCCCGAAGCTAACGCAGATTTGCATGTGCATAGACTTGCAAGCTGGATGGCATCCCAAAAGGCAGCCCAGAACTATCGACAAGGCTCCTCCAGCAGGAGGATGAGGAGTTTGTCATCCACCCCAAGGTGCAGGCGAAGCCATCGTACCGCCAAGTCCTGCTTCTACACGGCAACCCCCAAGAGCGCGAGGCATGTGCAGACGACAGCCGGCTCTAGCCCCGTTCACCCTGAAGCCCTCAAGTGCAGAAGAAAACCTGCTTTGTTCAACTCGAGAGAAGCGCACCTTGAGAGAAATATGTTGTTTCGAAACCTTTCATGATAAAGACTCTCTCAAGGTGCGGCCCTTGGGTCCTGCCAGCGTCTGCGCCAAGCCACGGGGCCACAATCCTGAAAGACTCTGAAACCCCCCCGCCTGCCACATCCTGCCACCCTGTGAACCCCCTGGCTGTGGTGAGGCTTAGGGCCTTAGGGAGCTTAAGTCTACGAGCGGATTTGGGATGTCTAGGCCTTCGGGGGTTTGACGGCTAGACGGTTGGAGGGTTGGGGGGTTGGAGGGCTTAGAGGGTTGGAGGGTTAAAGAGAATTTGGGCGCAAAGAAAAGAATCTGGGGCCTTGAAGACTTTCAGAAGTGGTTGGTAGGGTCAATCGATGGTAGCTTGCAACTGTCCTCGAGCAGGGCCAGCACACCTAATGTGGAGAGGACAATGCGAAGTTGAACATTGGGGCAGTGGACTTGACTGTATTGGCTCAACTGGGTCAGCAACCGCATCCTTGTAGGATTTCATCTTGCACAGCAGAAGATTCCACCACCTCTCTGGTTTTGCGAAAAAAATCCGGATGACGTTTTGCGATGTCTTACTGGGCTAAAAGCAATGCACACCTCATGCCCTCGTCGATCCAGCTCACGTAGCACGACGGGATCATCGCACACGCAGCCTTTGCTATTCCGAGTCTGCCTTCTTCCCCGTCCCACTCCATGGATGGCAGCAGCTCTGTAGACCTCTGCTTTTTCTGCGGAATTGCTCAACTCTGAGCCAGCGGCAAATGAGGCGATTGTGGCAAGCCCGGCGTAGTTCTGGCACCAACGTGACGAAACCAGGCTCATGGATCAGGGCGGTGGCACCCATGGCACCCCCTGCATCCACGACGAGGTCAAAAAGGGCTGAACCAAAGATCAACCAAGCAATTACTTACCATGGCCGTAACATGTACCGTATAGGCACCGTGGAAAACAACATAACGACAGGACAGCAGAGCACAAGACAGCAACCGACTTGAAACTTGACTCGTCACCGACCTGCAGCCAGAAGTTGACGGAGCAGTGGCAGCAGCTTCTGCAGCCGTTTCCCCTCCAGAGATGGGGCCTTCACCCGACTTTCGTCCCAATTGCCTGACCGCACAAGGAGCAGCAAAAGCATCTTCTCGCATCTTGCCCAACGCGATCGTCGAACACTGCCGAGGCTACTTTTCGAAAGGAGCTTCAAAAGCATTCTCCTGGCTCGTATATTCTGCATGCTCGATATTCGATGACAAGGCTCGGTGGAACTCCACGGCGGCCTCCTGTCGGAAGCGCCAACACAGCAAAGCAGCTACCAGCAACAAAAACTCTTTGTTCGTTGATACTGGTGTTTATCAAACTTTGTTCCCCCAATGCGTCAACACTGAGGGAGGATGTCAAGACATTCGGGCGCCTATATATCTATATCTATATCTATATCTATATTTATATCTATATCCGCCGACCCCCTGGGCAAGGCGTCAGTGAAATCCCGAAAGGCTTTTGCCCTTGTCGCGAAGCTCATGAAAGGTTCGCAACGCGGTCTTGCTCCTCTCGCGAAGAAGCTCATGAAAGGTCCTTCCCACCCTTCCGGCCCCGCCCCGCCCCCCCAGCTTTACAGGTCCAACGCAGGCCCAACCCCCCCCGCCCCCGCTCTTCTCCGCCGCTCTCCCCGCCCCCACACCCGCACGCAGCACATGCCCAAGCCCCCCCCGCCCTTCCCGCCCCGCCCAAAACCCCCCTTAAAGAGCCCTGTAGAATGGACGTGTTTCCGCAAACCCCCCCCCCCTCCGCCCTTTTCGCCCCCCCCTTCCCGCCCCCACACCCGCACAGCAACACACGCCCATACCCCCCCTCGGCTAGCCTAAAGGCTTGCCTTCTACGGCTGCCGCCCGTGGCCGCCCTGAAAATCGCACGGCTCCTTGCACGGGGCTCTCTCCCGGGAGGGCTCCGAGCGGGGTCCCAAACGCGAATGCCTGGAAGTGCCGAACACAACGTGAATACCATGCTTTTCTGCGTTTTTGGAGGGCCGCCGCCAAACGCCCCATGGACCTACCTTTTCCGGTTTCCGAGCGCGCGCCGGCCTTAACATGGCCATCTTCCTCCCAGGGTTTAGGCCTCCCTTGAAAAACCCTTTGTTTACTCATGTTTTCGAAAGGCTGCCTTCAAGAAAACATTGGTTTACAGATGCTGGGTCTCCCGCAAAACATCGGCGCTGCCGATGTTTTGAGAACGCCCTCGCACTGAAGCATAGATCTTGCAAGACCCTTGATACGCCCTACAGCATTCTCGATTCTACCCCTAGTTTGGGGCACGTTTGGCTCCCCAGTACATTTATAGATGCTTTGCAGCACGCACCACTTGCGAAGATGAACTCTCCTCCACAATCCGAGCGAACGCGAACCACCGGGCACGCTGCCGCTCGAATCTTAGTGACCATTTTGGCGACCGCTTCAAGCGCCGCAGCGTGAGACTTGGTCCTTTGCTCGGCGCTTTCTGCTCTCTACCCCATGGGTATGAAGGACTCTGTCCCACGTCAAGCCTTGGTGATGTCCAAACCTGAAAAACCTGAAAACTGTGCTCGCACCTGCACGCCGGACACGTTGGCTTGGTTTCTCCGACTATTTCGGGAAGGTATAGGCATAGTGGCTATGTCCTATGGACCTTTACGTATACTGTGGGAACCGCAGGGTTATTAGCTTAAACTTGGCTGTGTGCGTCAGTAAACCACCATTTAACGCCGATGCGGAAGCACTACGCTACATCCTAAACTCAAAACCTTGAGGGTTCAATCATAGCTCAGGGTTTTTAAGGTTTTCAATTAGGCTTCTGTCGAAAACTTTTTTGTAGCACTGCAGCTGCAGCGACGCTTCGGTGACGTCCTTGCGAACACTCAGCGAACACTCACAAAAGAGAATGCAAGTTCGCATGTCTGTTGACACACGCAAAACACTCCGCAATCCTAGAGGAAAACTCTGGAATGCTATCCAAGATTGTACAAAATCTCCGGATGGGAGCCCCTGTGATACCTGCCTGCAGGTGTTTTTTTCTGGGTTTTCAATATCCCAGCACGTCATAGCATCGCTTCCAGCCACATGTTGCCACGACGACTTTCTGTAACGATACGCTCGGCCACCATGGGGGTGGATACTGAGGTTCACGGGGTTGTACCACATGACTGGGTGGACGTGTCTCTACTGAGTCAAGCTCTTGGTTTCGCTTTCTCTTCTTCACTGGCCTTGACAAAGCAAGAAGGCCAATTGGCAACGCTGCAGGGGTTTCTCGCTGCGCTAGAACACGAATCCCAACAGGAACCTTCTCTTGCTGAGCTCGAAGCGCAATTCCCACGGGCACCGAAGAGGTTGCATTGAAGTTCATCCCTGGCATCTTAGGTACTACTTCTAGTCTATCATTTCTCCTGAAAAGCACAAGCCCATTCACAACAAATGCCTGAAGTGCTTCTCTCAACCCTAAACCTAAACTCATATCGATTTTTAGCAGAAGGGATGTCTCTTGAGCCAAACCCGATGCAGGCAAGTGGAAGTGGACAGCATCACAGGAGAACATGTCGCACCTCAAAGTTTCAAGTCGGGTCTAGGGTGTAGGGCCGGCTTAGGGGACGGTTTAGAGATTAGGCAAATTAAGGTTCACGACTGTGGGAAGCTTGTGCTCTTTCTTACTCTACATACATTTTAGATTAGAAAGTGCCGGTACCTGAAGCACCTGTGCCGAGATCTACTGATGATGCTTTGCATCAACTTACGCCAAGTTCATCTGGGTTTGCTGTTTAGGGTTTGTGTGGGAAATCCTCTTTGCGCATATCTGCACCTATGTATATATGCATCAGCACATATATGACTGAGACCGTTAATGAGAGCGAGCATTGCGGGCGGAACAGAATATTGTCTTCCGGCTTGACACAGTAGCAAGCAATTTAGCTCTGCACACACATTCTACATTACGAAACGACTATATTAGCCATGCATCAAAGCTGTCTTTACAAACAATTTGGAAATGCCAGCAAATTTTACATTAAGCATGTGCGATAAAAACAATTCGAAGCGAATATTTTGAAGTTATGAAGCATACATAAACTATCTGTGCAGCAATAAAACAACGTAACTCAAAGCAAATGAACGGTGGCTCCGATGGACAAACCCAGGAGGGCTTCTGCAGCAATGTCCGGATCGGCTATGAGGATAGCCTCAAAATGACTTTGCAGAGCCTTCAGCGTGGAAACGTAATCTCCAGAGTTTGCCATGTTTTCTAACTTTCTGATAAAACAAACTATGCACTTGAGCCAACATGGCACGCGTTGGTGACCATTCAAGTTTGTTGCATGCAAACATCACAGGTATACATATATTATTATTGAGGCTGTGTGCCAAAACCCCCGCTTGTCGCGGACCGCGCGCGCACGCATCTGCTACAGACCTGTGTAACGCCCATCTTGATACAGACCTCTGTCGCGCATGCATACACGACTGGAGGAAGCCACAAGGAGGCTTGCAAAACACGACAACAAGCAGGTCTGTCGCAACACGTCGAGGCTTGATACATACCCTATGTAACGGGCATGTCGCGTGTGCGGGCCGCGGCCCTATTACAAGCAATTAATATTGGAGCGGCACGTATACATATGCTGGTGCTGCCAACAGTATTGGACGTCTGGGCTCACAAAACGCATAGTTGCTTTCAGAATAGTCTCCACAGCAGCTTCCCCTACTTCGGTCCAGCTCGCATCAGTACATGAGCTGCAGCACGCAATGCGGGAAACATGCTATCCTTTCACGGCTACATGTCAGATCATGGGCGAAAGGACGACAAGGCTTTCAATTGATTGCCCATATATGGCTGTTCTCAATAGGGGTATGTCGCGGTGTCCCGCCACCCGCCTGTGTTACATACGTATGTCGCGCCGACTTGTTTCATACGTATGTCGCGGGGTTTGTCGCGGCTGTTTCGCGCTGTCGTGAAAAAGAGATGCAAAACCCATGCAGTTCCAAGAAGGGGCTTGGCTTGTCGCGGAGGCTTGTCGCGGAGGTTTGTCGCGGACTGCTTGTCGCAAGCAGAACGGCTTTGTTACAAACCCTATGTCGCGGAAAGACGCCCGGGAGCCAGTTACATACCTAGAGTCTAGGTAACCTAGACTTTTGAGCCGCACCCATATACCCCGCTCCAGGTCCTCGCAGCCGGGTGCTTCCAGCAAAGCTGGCGGTAGCAAACCCACCTGCCACTGACAAAATCCTAAAGAATTCGAGGCTTCCCTGTAACCAGGCCACGAATGGCTCACAAACCAGGCCTCCGTGGTAGTCTGACTTCCAAGACGCACGAACACCGCCTTTGCTGAGGGCCCACGCTTTGCTGAGCGCCCTGATGCCGCAGCAAAACCCAAGGAAGCTTTGACAAAGGCACATGATGCACATGGTACACGAAGATGCGATGCGACAAAGATGCGATGCGACAAGGTGCAAGCCGCGAGTTGTTCGCTGTGAACTTCATGACCGACACTGCCGCAATGCTGTACCCATGACGGAAGCAGGCCTCGGAACTCCAGATGGGCTACCCCATTATGCTCCATTCTGCCGCATTATGCCGCATTAGCCTCTTCTTTCGGCATAGGTTTGCCCCGCTTGCCCTGTTTGCCCTGCTTGCCCTGCTTGCCCTGCTTGCCCTGCTTGCCCTGCTTGCCCTGCTTGCCGTGCTTGCCAACGAGCCACTTGTCTCAGGCCGGCCAGTGTCCAATCAACAGCACTACCCAGCCAGACTTCAGCTGTCGAGACATAAGCCACGGTGACCTTGGCCCAGAGCCGTTCGAGAAAGGCATCGGCATGAGAGAGATTCAGGAAAGGCATCGAGAGACATACATGGAGAGCAAGGGGTCAGTAGACTGAGTGGACTTTTCCAGTGGAGTCAATTCAGCCTGAGAGCTGCCAGCAGCGCATCTGGTGAAAGAAGCTGCAGGGCCAGCAGCTCGTTGAGGTGTGACCAGTCACTGCAGCTGTGAAGCCTAGATTCAAAGTTCACAGAGTGCGAGCTTTCGGCTTCGCAGCTTCTTGTTCCCGCTTTTGAACATCCTTAGACTGAGTCAGGCAGCTGTGTTGAGGTGCAGGCCCTGCCAGCATCATAGCCTTCAGCTGTCACGGATGCCAGGAAACTTCGCCACGGAAAGAGTGACCATGCTGTTGCACTCAGCTGGGAGCAGCAGCAACAAATATCTACAAACATTTCGTTGGCCAAGGCTCCAAGCCATGCAACCGCGAACATCTCCCGTGGAGTTCGGCTCGCCAGATGTTGGAGGTACTCCTTCGTGGACTCTGCTTGCATACTGCGAGCACAAGGAAAGCGGCAACTTCTGACTTCTGTTGAGTCCTCCATTACTGGAGCGCATCAAGAGCTGGAAACCAGCATCGTGAGTATCAGGTGTATAGCGCGCACGCGAGCAACACAAGAAAGCAAAAGAAAGTACTAGTACAATTGACAGCACATTGCAAGACAAAGGTGCGGGCTCCGCCCCTTGCAGCCCACACTACTGGGCACTGCGAGGCCTCAGCGTAAGGAGGCTCCATCGTAAACCCGTTCGGGTCTTCAGCCTTTTGTTGTCCGTTTTGAGTGGCGCCGATGCGCGTGATTGGCTCCAGAACACTAAGGGCACTAAAGAGTAGCACCCAAGGAGGTCAGTGAAGCCCAAAAAAAAGCGTGCGTGGGCAGAGCACAACATCTGAATCTAACTTGCTTCGATTCAAGGGGAAGAATGCGGCCATGTGAGCATACAAGGCTGAAGTGTCCAGCAGTGCAGCTCCAGAAAGTACACCGATCTCCCGTTCATGGATGGCGGCAGCGACCTCAGCCTGCACGGTCTTACAGCCCTGATGCAAGTCTTGAAAGAAATACTAGGCACTTGAATGGCACAAAACAGCCCCAGCACTGGCCTCTAGCTGGTCGGGCAGGGATGAGAGCACCGTGCAACCAAAGGCTTCCAGAGCTTGGGTGACGGGCAACAGCTTTACCTGAGAGGGTTTGCAGGACCCTACTCAGCAGGGCAGTTGTTGAGAGCCAATGTTGCCTGAGAGCCAAGCCGATTCCAGCGCAAGAGCGCGTGCTCCTCTCTCCGCCGAGGTGGCAAACGCCTTGGCGGCGAACCTGGCGGCACTACTGGCGATGACGCCAGAAAGGCTCTGAGATGCTCTGAGCCGAAAACTCCCCAAACATCTCCAAGTCACGCCTCAGGGCCCTTGCAAGTGGCAGCTCCAGGCCAGAAGCCAGGCCAAGGCCCACACGCCAATCGGCGCCAGGCACAAAGCTGGAAAGGGAAGCAGTGGAAAAGCAGAGCAGAGAATATGGAGAACGTGCCTACACATTGAGCCCTCGTGATTTCTTGCCAGAGCCATCACTCAGCCATCCCAACATGCAGGTGGCCTGAGTCCTTCTGCAACCGGTTTTCGGGCCAGAAGCCCCGAATCTGCATCATGGTCGACCACAAAGGCTGCCAGCACCATGGGAGTGGGAGCCTTGTACTCCATGGTGCCAAGTAAGGCCACCTCCAGAGGACGTGGTGGACACGGCGAGAAATTCAGAAGGACTTCCGGCTCAACTTTCCCCACGGCCTGGCGATGAGCTTCGCGTGCCGCGGCCCGCACACAGAGCACCAGGGCGTCCACCAGCTCACCCCTTTGGCAAGGCCGCAACTCCAAGGACCCCTCGGGATGAAGGGAAACCGCTGGGAAGCGCAAATGGAGCTGAGCCTGTAGAGCCTGGCAGCGCCGCGCTCCGAGAGGGTCACGGCCAGGATGCAGTGGGGGCGGAGAAGCGAGGCCGCAAAGAGCGTGCGGAGGTCCGCCTGCCTAGGGCGACCCTGTAGCCCGCAACACAAAATACCACAAGCAGCGCTCACAAGACCCACTTGCCCCACTTGACTATCCCAGCGCAGCCTTCGCCGACCAGGGGATGACCTCTGCGAGGTTGCACTCATCTGCACTCACATTGTTCACTGATCTTCACTCATGTTCACTCATGTTCACTGCTGTTCACTGTGTGCTGTCAGGAGGGCACGGGACAAGGCAGCAGAAACGCCCCACACACCGGGATGGCCGAGCATGGTCGAGTTACAACTCTAGAATCTAGAACAGGGCCCGAGCGCCAGTGTGCCACAGTAATCCAGCCACACAAAGTCGAAGCCCGGACATCGGGACCTGGCGTGCAATTGGGAAACACATACCGTGGCCTGGCATGACACAGGGCATGGCACGGTAACACAGCGACTGCCTGAAAGACTCCAACTGCGGAAAGGGTTCCGTGCTGGGCTTCAGCCATGCCTCGAATCGGCAGAGAAAACAATTGCGAATACTTTTCGGCAGAACTTCTTGCAGGTAACACTTAACCGTTTGCAGCCTGGGGTCTGCCAAAAGCTCGTGCGAGGTGCACGGGACGACGCAAAGTGCAGGGGCTGTTTGTGCAATTGCTTCACATTCTTCCAAGCCTCCGTACCAGCCACAAGAAGAACAGCAGAGCATGTCAACCGGGTCTCAAGTCTGGAAAAGCGCTACGCATCGTAACGTCAACAGCTCTGATCAACTCTGAACGAAGCCGAGAAACTAGGATTCGGCACAAGGGTCGTATCCTTACAAGGTTAAAACCTGTTCGTCCAAACATCGTGGATATGATGGTCATTTTCGTTGCAAGCCAAGTTGCATTCGGTGCCTGTAGGCCGGTTGCACGAAGGGCGGACAATGTTTGGAGTTCGCGCGTCTCCAGCAACAGGCTCCAGACAACCGTCTGCTCGCCAACTGCTCGAGTGCCTGGAGAGTTGGAGGGGCAGATAGGAGCAGGGCTGCTATCCCTGCAGTCTCAGGTCAATGAGATTAGAGATTCATAGCTTCACCATAGTCTCGACAGGGCCTGCAACCAGTTCGGCCAGCCAGGTGTTGATGGCCACTTTCGTCGCATTGGAATATGTTTGGCGCGAAAACCCTGGCAGCTGCGTGAGGCCAAATGAAGCCATCTTGAAGAACTCGACAAAATCGCAAACAAAAACAACATTTTCGTAAACTTGTACAGCGGGTGTTGATGCCCCGCCTGTCAAGCGTTGCTGGGTACGAAGGGACGTGATCCCGTCGGGTTTGCAGCGATCGGCCCACCAGCCATGTGCCGCTCAAGTGACAAGCTCACGCATGTATGTCCATATAGCAAGGACAAGAAAGCATGTCTCAAAAAGCGTTGTGAAAGACTGCCTCGCCGCGACATTTGTTCGATTTTGTTCGAGTCTTTGTTTGGTTCTTGGGAGGGGGCACGCATTTAATTTCGAGGGATGGGCTGTAGGCGATCCAGGAAACCCCATACAGCACACAGACCATGCTGGAAGAACCATTCCAACTTGGGAGCAGCACACTGAAACGACACCCAGCACTAGGCAAAATCGAAAACGTTTTTCATGCAATGTGGACCGCGAGCGAGAACTCTTCTCCGTCCCACGCCATCAGCCTGCACATGCGCAAGTGCATGAGATGCCGCACGAGCATTCCATTCGCGAAGGAGATGCAAAGGCCTCCAGCCCAAGCCTCGGCCATCCCGGTGAGTTGCACACTCTCGCATTGGCCATAGGAGCATGGTCTTCACTGGCATTACACTTGACTTTGAACATCTGCCGAAGCTGAGATTGAAACAGAAGGTGGGTTCGGCCTGAGACTTCAAGCAGGCCACAAGCTGGCAGTCTGCATGCAAAAGGCCCCACGGGTCATCATGAGTCATGCGCAGAGGTGGTCCAGGAGGTGCAAGGGGCATCGCAGCCGGAGGTGGCAATGGCGGTGGCAGAGCTGAGTCAGAGACACATGTTACTTTCCAGATCTCTTCAAGAAGGTTCGCGAATTTGCTCAACAAGATATTGCACTTGGGACAGGACCACCAATGCTGGAAGCAGACCTTGCTTGAAGGCCAGCTTCATGCAGCTTTTCTCTTTCATTTCTCGCTTCTGCTGCTGGAAGAGGGCCGAAGAGTGTCGGTCCGGACTCCCAAGTCGGCGTGTGACACTTCCACACACGCAAGTTGCCCGACCGGCAGGACACAATTTACACGTTCTCTGTCTGTCTGTCTCTCTCTCTCTCTGCACGCATGGCCCCCCCCCGAGAGAGGAGGCCGCCCCGAAGGGCGCGCATCGTCCATTGGTCTGTCTCTCTGTCTCTCTCTATTTTCATTCCTTCTTGTGCACGTCTTTCGTTCTTTATTTCTGTATTTCTGTGTCTTTATTTCTTTCTTTCCTTCTTAGCTGTTTTGGGGCACGGGGGCAAGCCCCCCGGGCGTCCGAGCCCGCCTCTGTATTCGAGGCCGCAGGTCTCCTCTCTTCTTCTTCTTCTTCTTCTTCTTCTTCTTCTTCTTCTTCTTCTTCTTCTTCTTCTTCTTCTTCTTCTGCTTCTTCTGCTTCTTCTGCTTCTTCTTCTTCTGTTTATTCTTCTTCTTCTGCTTCTTCTTCTGCAGGGCATGAGGGGTCCCCTAACGGGGCCCCGTGCGAGTGTGCGCCCGGATCCGGTCCCGTCGTGAGACCGAGAACTGAGACTTGGCGTTTAACGTTCACCCCCTTCTTCTTCTTATTTTTCTTCTTACTATTCTTCTTGTTCTTCTTATTATTCTTCTTATTCTTCTTATTATTCTTATTCTTCTTATTCTTCTTATTCTTCTTATTCTTCTTATTCTTCTTGTTCTTCTTATTCTTCTTATTCTTCTTATTCTTCTTATTCTTCTTATTCTTCTTATTCTTCTTATTCTTCTGATTCTTCTTCTTCTTCCTCTTATCCTTCTTCTTCTTCTTCTTCTTCTCCTCTCTCTCTCTCTCTCTCTTTCTCTCTATCTCTCTCTCTCTCTCTCGCTCTCTCTCTCGCTCCCTCTTCCTCTCTCTCTTTCTGTATCTTTCTTTCATGGCGCCTGGGGGGAGGACCCCTCTCTCTCTCTCTCTCTCTCTCTCTCCCTCTGTCTCTGACCGAAATCATCATGACCTTATGATTATCTTCCTTGCTCTGTTAATGTTCATGCCCATCTTCACCCGTATTACTAGTACTACTCGTGTGACCTTACACCCCTCAGATACCAGGCAGAAGGTCACCGCAAGCCGTTTTTCAAGCTCCAAAGAGCTAGCTTTCGTGACGTTGCTGCCTCGCGTCATTTGGTCCAAGGGCTTTGAGCCTGTGATGGCAGCAGGTTCGGCCAGGATCCTGAAGAACCCCCGGTTGAAAGGCAGCTGCTTCTGTCTCAGGGCGTTTGGGCGAAAAATGTGCTCGCCATTCTTGTTCGGGGGTCCCCCCCAGATATCCAAGGGAGTGCGTGCAGGCGACTGTCGTCGTGACTTTCTGTCACCCTACAAGCGAACCATTCGACAATGGCGACGTCGCCGCTGCTTTGTCTGGGTTAAAACGGTAAAAACACTACACCGCCGCTCCTTCTCTCTCTCTCTCTCTCTCTCTCTCTCTCTCTGTGCTTCTTACTACCACTACTCTGCTTCTTGTTTTTATTACTCTCATGTTAAGTCTTCCCCTTATCAGCACGCCTGATGGGCTCTCTCGTGGTTTTCATTTTTACATCTAATCAACACACTGATTGAGCTTGCGACGGAGGTGGCAGCGGGGGAACCTTGCCATCATGAGAGGACACCATACACAAGTATGGACATGTCGGTTGTGAGTACCCACTCAGTCATCCAAGGATGTTGCTGGAAATGTTCTGCCGGCAATGGTGCCGGGAGGCGTTGGAGGCGAGGGAGAGGACAAGGGGCGTGCCTCACATGGCTTCATCTGACCAATGCTGGCTGAAACCGACATTAAGCTGCTTGCTGGCACTGGAGTGGGAGCTAGTGGACGAGGTGGCGCAGGTGGGGATGGAGAAGATGCAGGTTGCGCCTTGGTGAACCGACGACAACAGTTTTCTGGTGTCATCGTCAACCTCAACGGTAGGCTTGGCCTTGCACTGGAACGGGAGCAAGGGGCTTGCATGCCCCCGGTGGGGAAGGCGCTGGTGGCGATGGTGAAGATGCCGGCCGTGCCTGCAGAAAAGCTCTGCATCCATTGACTAACCCAGAAGGCTTTCTCTTCTTTAAGGCTGCAGCAGGAACAGGAGGGACAGCCGCAGGTGACGGTACCGTTGCTGGTGCTGGTGCTGTTGGCTTTGCAACTGCCACGGGAAAGTTTGGCGGCGCAGGCGACACGGGCTTGACCTGGCAAGGGTGCTACCCCACACCCGCACACAGAAGAACGCACAAGAGTCTCGGAGCGCGGCTGGTGGGGCTGGTCCCGACCTTAGTGCTTCTTGTGAACTGTCCTGTGAAAGATTGACTGGCAAGGCCCAGCTCCTGATTAAGTGGACGACGTCTCGACTCCAGCCCATCTCAACATCGTGGGCCACAGCCTCACGAGGGAGGGCAGCCCACCGCACAGAGCTCCCTGGGCCGCTTCTTAGAGTCTTAGAATGCAACACAGACCCATCGGGCTTCTTGTCCAGCAAGGGCAGCCTGATGCTTCAAAAGGACTGAGGGACTTCACGACCAGCTTGTATGAGAACCACTGGGCAAAAGCTTCCTCGATGCGTAGACCCATTAGCCATGTACTCTCCAAGAGACACTAGAAGTGCCGACTGAGGCACAAGTTTGACCACTGTGCAGTGCTGAGAGGCTGAGGAGAGTATCTCGACCTGGGCGGAGACACTCATGACATCTAGAGTCCACCTCCAAGCCACTGCATTTGCTCGCCGGACCGTGGAGTTGTGCTCAATCCAAGGCCCTGACAGAACCGCTTGAACGTCGAGTGCTGCTACCTTGGCAGGGAAACGTGCCAAGGAGCTAAGCCCAACCTTCCCCAAGCTCTGAGGAAGCTGCCGATTCTGCTCCAAGCTGTTTGAAGAGATTCTCCAGCGGTGTTCCTGGAGCAGTTCACTAGTGTGGCCAGATTTCGGCCTGGCCGTAAGCATCGGAAGCTACCCAAGGGGCCCTCTGGTTTCCCACCTCACACAGTACGGCCCGATGTGTAAGGTCCCCCGGCCACCTCCACCCCCGCTTCTCATTCAACGTTGGACATTTGAGTGGAACCGAGATCTCACGTGCTGGGAAGTGGGTTCCTCGGGCTTTGCCTGTCGGGCCGAGGCCGTCGAGGCGAGGCGGTCGAGGCGCAGCACTTACAATTCTGGCAATGAAGCACATGGCACGCACAGGCATGCAGCATGCTCGCCTTGGGAACGGGTTATCTTGTCCACGGACTTGATCAGGTCCCTTCCCTTATGCAACGGCCACACAAGCATAGACAAGCTGCTTGCAACTCTGCCCGAGAGCCAGGCCCACTGCGCCTGAAACAAAACAGAAAAGTCTCCCAACCGGCCCGAACCGCAAAGTAGCAGCGCATGAGAAGCCCCCAAGCATCCCTCCGCTACAAGGGGCTGCGAGCCTGCGGGAGAGGATTCGGCAAGCTCATCATGCAAGCTTGGAAGTCCTGGTCTAGAGCATTCCAAGTGAAACCGAACAAGCCACAACAAAACACAAACATCCTCGAAGGACAGGCTCGGAGGCTGGTTCAGCTTCCGCCGGGCAAGCCGGTTAAAGAGCATGTCAGCCTCGGCGAGGCGGCAGCTAACAAGGCAGCTCAACAGGCGGAGCTACAATTTGGTCACACCTTTGATCACGTCTACCCGCGAGCCTCGGATCTCGACAGCGGGAAGCCGTGGTGCTCAACTGCCGACATAAAGCCTTGGCCATTCTGCACCACGGTTTGGCCACTTTTACCACCGACATGCAGTTGAGGAGCCTATTCCGCTGCACAGCACAGATCATAATAGACCATAGCTGTACCGAGTCCGGCACCTTCTTGCGAGACCGCCTGCACAGCTCACACGAGACTTTCATCGGCCTGCGCTCTCGGCCCCTGGACCCCCCCTGGCCTGCTCCATATGGGCATCGTACAAGACAAAAGCAGAGTTCACGGTGAGGCCTGGATGCGAGAGATGGATGCAAAGATATGCGAGGCGTGCAGCTCACAGAGTCATGAAGGCCCCATCGGACAACAAAACCCAACAAAAGGATGCAAAAAACGTGCGACAGCGCGTGGATGTGAGAAGCTGGCCCTTGGAAACCAGGTGATTTTGCAGGCGACTCAGGCCTTGCCCCCAGAGCACTTTTCTTCGCATGCCAAGGATGTGCTCTGACGAGGACAGAGCAACAGAAGGGATCCCTTCCCCGTCTCTTTCCTCAGCCCGGGGCATGCAATGGCAGGGAAGTCCTCCTGCGACAACCTCACTTGGGCTAACGCAACATCCCTTGGAGGTAACTAACGGTAAAGGGGCAACATGGCACCACCATGACAAACCGAGATAATCCGGGTGCCAGGCAGCGACAGGCGAGCTGAAAGCGGCGGCTGGGTGTGCGCAGCCTGTGGCCACACGGGCCACACGGGCCACACACTCGCGCTCCGACTCGGAAGTGGCTCTGAAAGAGTCCTGTGCAGTGATGTGACGTGTGCGGCTCTGGCTCCGTGGCCTCCAGGGCCGGCCACGTCGGCCACGCACTTCGGGGCCGATCCTGCGCTCCCACTTTCTTCTACAAGATGCTCCATACATGCTCTACAAGTAGCTCGAGAGTCAGATCGAAACAAATGGCAATTGCCACATATTGCCGCCTGCCGCCACTCTGCAGACAGCTGCTCTGGCGCCAACGTACTTGCAAGACGAGCCCCCCTGCAAGCCGACGACAGTTGGCATTCGTGCGATGTCATGTCCACTGCGTCTGATACTTCATGCGCACAACCTCAGGCAACTGCGGTGATAGGGGGAGCGCCCTTGGTCGAGGCTCAGTCAAAGCGGGCATGCTCGACTAGCAGATTAAGGCTCCATCTCGAGCTGCAGATTGGGCAGCGAAGCTGACATCGGAGACAGGACACCCCCACTGGGCGTTCTTGACCTGGCCGCAAGCAGGCATGCCGCAAGCGTGCCGCAGGCGCATCCGATGACCCAACGGCAACGTGTCTTGGACCGAGGCAACCCGCCGCTCTTGTCCAGCAACTGGGACCTCGGCTTCGGTGTAACTCGTCAAAAGGCAGATCTCGGGATCGTGCTTGGATTCGGACAGCATCTGCGTCTCACCCAGGTTTCCAGTCCCGATTGATGTAAGGCCCGGCTGGCGAAGCGCACTGCGATGTCATAAGCTATGGTCGCCAAGGTCCGGTATGTCACCGGATGTCACAAGCTATGATCACACCATGTTGCAGCTGCACTGTGGGGACGGAAAAAAGACATGCTCAGGAGTGCCAGAGCTCGCCCTCCGGGACAGAACCAAGTGCAGAAGTTGCTGAAGTCCAGGCCTGGGGCCTGTTCCGAGTGGATTTTTAGTTTGGAACACATTCTCTAACGGAAGCTGAGAAAGCGAGGGCCCAGCGCCCTCAGGAACCGTGAGGCGCCAGAGCCGAGCCACCACCTTCCCAAAAATAAGAAACGTGTCGGGCTCCGCTTCGCCGCTTCGGCGCTTCATCCCGCTGGTTGCCCTCCCAAAACGGCCTCCGGATCAATGTCCGGTTCGAAGGTCGAAAGAACCTCCGCAACTGGACTCCAGCTGCACCCCAAATAGATCGAACCATCAAGTTGGAAAACCTTCACCTGCTAAGCTACCCACATCACGAGACATCACGAGACCCACAAACCCGATAAGAAACCTTCAACTCCAAGACCAAACCCAATAATATACTCTTGAGACAACCGCTGGGGCGATGCAGGGCTCCGGGCTCGTGCCAGGTCGGCCCGGCTCATGGTCGTAGCCTGGGCTTTTGTCAGCAAGCTAAGGAAGCCCCCAGGTCAGCGTCCTGTCACTTTGGCCACAATGCAGTGTCTCATATGGGCTCAGAGGATGTCAATGGCATCAATCTAGAGACACGATTTGCCAAGTTAGGTGTCCGCCCTGAGCACCAGACTCCTCGACCTCCGGACTTGCAGAAGCCACGGAAAACCTGAGACAAGTCAAGTCAAGTCAACACACAGCGTTTCGCATTCCTTCGCTTCGTTTCGCTACCTTGAGGCCAGACAAAGACGTTCACGCTGACGTCTGCTTGGATTTCATTTAGTACGTTGAGGGTTGGGGGGTGGCTTGAGGCAACTCTCATCACAGGCCTCGCCTCGTCGAAGGGGCGATTGGACCGACCGACAGCACTTCGGACACGTCCCACAACTCTCTCAGCCTCCGTGCTTCATCCATGTGGCGTCTAGGACTCTATGAGATCTTCGGGCAACGCCAAAAGGCAAAGATATCTCACATATGATTCTGCACGCTTTCGTTTTGAAGTCAGGCATCCAGCGTTTCCAACGCCGTCCCCCCCCCAATGGCATGACGAATTTTTTGCCTGAACTCTGAGCTTATGCCGTACCCCCAACCCCGCACAGCGCGTGCCTGTTTTACGCTTGCGCGATTTAAATTCTGATTTTTTCCATGTCCTGGAGACATACAGCATCATACAGCACGGCGTAGAAAGGTCGTAAGTGGCCATCTTACTATGCCACTATGATGCCACAACGAAGGGTCACCATGGATCCTGTGTGGAGGTACGATGCGGGCCTCAGGGCTGAGCGGGGATGTGCTGTACCCATTGGCACAGGACCCATTGGCCAAAGGCCCATTGGCCAAAGGCCCATTGGCACAGCCTCATGGAAGCCAAGATTGCAATCCAAAGCCTAAACCCTAAACCCTAAGCCCTAAACCCTAAACCAGCCTCTTTTGCAGCCCTTCCCACGTTCTCTGTGACACCCAGGGGTGCGGACCAAGGTGTGAGCTTCCATTCATGGTAGGGGAAGTAGGCAACTCCAGCGCCTGAAGGTCAAAACTGTACGAACGTGTGCGGCGACTTGGGGAAGGCAAAGAAACAAGTACAGCGCCTGCGTGATTTCTTCCAGCACTGCCGTGTCCCTCTCGGTGCCTGGGTTGGAGCAACCCGAAGATGCCCCGTCCCTTAAAGATGAGCTGCCTTGTTCCTTTGTTGGTAAGCTGAGAGCTGCCTACAGCGAAGGCGAAGAGCTCCAAGACATCAGAATGGCCTTCAGAAGCAGACGTGAAGGCCTAGCTACAAAAGAAGGCGCGGAACTCCTGGGTTGCAGACTCACTGCAAGGTTGAGAGAAGCCTTGCATGCACCACGCCACCACCGCATGACCACAACCGTCTACGAAAGGCACCGGTCATCACAAGTCACTACACGGTTTAGGGGACCCGCAATGCAGGCCAAAAACTCGTCCCGGCTCAGAAGCCCTTGGCTTGCAGCCTCGCAAATCAGAGTGCCAGGATGCGCCGACATGGAAGCCGAAACTGAGGCTGCCACCACTGACCGCGCACGCAAGAAATTCGCAGGTGTCTCGCCCTGGAGTGCGGGGTGCAGCTGGAGTGTCAATCTAGCGTCCGCGAGTTCATTAAGGACCAACTTCCATGGCCTGCGAGTCGAGCTTTGCGCGAATTTGTCTCACGAGCGTTGCCTAACACTTGAATGTGCCCCACGTCCGGATGACAAGAAGACTTTTTCGAACTTGCGTGGCACACCGACGAAACAAGACTTGGTGCAAGACTCGCTTCGTGTCCTGCAAGAAGCATGTAAGCGCAGGCGCGATCCTAAACGCAACTAAACGTTCAGGAGTCTGTCAAGAACAAGAGGCACACAAGTTGAGCTTGAAAATTTGTGCATGGCTGTAAGCTACTCTCGGTGCGGGGTTGGTTGGTTGACTGAGCCCCTGTGCATTTCTGGGTCGCGAGCTTGCTGGGAGGACTAGTGTTAGGTTTACAGTATGCCCATTTCTGCCATGCAGCTTCCGTAACGGTCTGGGACTTGGGATGCAAGAAAACACTGATTTACCGCCGTGCCTGCGACGAGACAGCCAAGCTTGCCGACAGCCTGGCTGCAAACGACCGAGACATGCCAAGGAGTCCACTTCTGCCGAAAAGACTGACTTGAGATGGTTCTGCGCGAAGCAGTGAACGACTTCGATTCGGATTGTATTTTCGCGCACTAGCTCAGGAATTTCGCCTTCGCAGACAATCTGAACTTCCTCTACCATTACGACTATGACCAAGACCGGCTGAGCGTGTAGCGGGGGTCCAGCAAAGACTTGCTGCCGTCGCGCCTGACACTGCTGCAAATTCTTAGCGTCTTGCTCACCGCTGCAACGTGCCTCGTCTAAGCTGCGCGAAAGCGCCGTCTGCAACAATCGCATGCGTGCGGCCTTGGCTCCACTGCTTAAAAACGAAAACAACTTCGGCCTCTTTGCAAGCGATGCCGTGGCATGAGTATCATATATGCATATATCATACAGAATCATACATGTATATGCTTGTTGTTGGCAACCTCTGGGGAAGCGCACACAAACCTCTGCACAGGCCGCAGCTGCGTTGCGCATATGACTGGACCTCATCATGATCAAAGAGAATGTAGGAAGCTCGCCCCATAGAGCCGTAGAGACGTGGGCCACTTGGAGAGACAACGATGCGCTCAGCGCATCACATCGCTGCAAGCATCTCATCTTGAATTCCCTCAGTGATGTCAGCAACCTGGGCTCCAAAGTATCAAAAGAACATTCTAGAACGACGTTTCCAAGTGCTAGGTTACAGGGTGGCTATGGGCAGCTATGCGCCGAATGCTGCGGGGATCTGTGGGGTGGACTTGCGCCACATGCACCGTGCACCGCCCTGCCCCGTCTCACTCTGCTGTCGCATTTCACCACACCACACCACACCACACCACACCACACCACACCACACCACACCACACCACACCACACCACACCACACCACACCACACCCCACACCACACCAGACCGCGCCACACCACACCACACCACACCACACCAGACCAGACCAGACCAGACCAGACCACACCCGACCACACCACACCACGACCAACACACGCACACACACACACACACACAGACA